GTTCGGAAATCAAACGTATAATGTGATCAATGATTTTCCCAATTTGATCGATCAAGAAATTGGGTAAAGAAATCACGTTTCACAGAAAACGTAGATTCATTTTCTCTGTCTTTGTAATGACGAGAATGAACGGAACGGATCAGAATAGAAAAAAAAGACTCCAGGACTTCTTCGCCTCATACTTGCAGTTTTCTAGCGTTTAAACTGGCCCGGTTGCCCAACATTTCGTGGAATGAACCCAAGCATCCATCTTTGTTGGATGGCTCGAGACGTTCAAGTTCAAAGTGATTATTATACAGCCATTAGCTGTTTGGCTGCAAAACTCCAGGGGCACCCAACGAGAATATAGTCCAAAACCACATAAACATAGCATTGTTGAACGTACTTTAGTATTTAAACGGTAGATAAAGGCTTATTTTTATCCCCTAAACATTTTTCATCTGTTCGGATTTCCTAGCTGAAAGTATAGTGATCCGAAAATTATAGGGATCAAAATTTACGTTTTCGAAAATTTCAGCCAGAAAAAAGGCTCCCGAAAATTCTAGGTGACCTTTTTAGGGTAAAAATGCGTTAAAAATGGGCAATTATACGATTTTTTTGAAGTTCGAAAATCCTAGGAGAGGCATGCAAACAAGAAATTTTACAACAAATGTTCCGAAAATTCTAGATCTCAAATCGTCTTCCGAACAATCATATTTTTCCGAAAATTGCCATTGGGTGCCCCTGATATCATCACACATTGACAGCATACACTAACTTGAGTCCGGCGGTAATAACTCAATGGCCAAGGTGAACAGCTCAGCAGTCGATGTCAAGGAATTCGCAAAACAATTTTCCCGATTGTTTTCTTCACAAAAGTCAAGAATTGAAATTAAGTTTAAACGCTTCTGCGCTAGCTCTCTGCCATTCAAACCATACACTTTTTGTAAATATTCATTTTGGCAATTTATTTGATTTCACTATGGAGTAAAAAGATTTTTTAGGTTATACCTCCTTCCTTTTAGTCCACAGTGATTTTGGAGGAACACCAAATTTTTTGGTCCATAATATTTGCCTGGTCTACTTGAAATTAAGATAATCCATGTAGGATTACACAAACACGGTTGCGTCGGAAATCGAAAGGATTCTAGATTTTCGTATGTCAGAAAACTTGAGGAGACGGCTTTGTTCAGTTGAAATTTTAGTCGATCCATTGGCGGTATAACACTTTGCGTTGAGATTAACTTACTTCCGCTTGCTAGGGAATATCATCCACATGAGAGTCGTGTTAAACCCAATTGAAATTTCACACTCTTTTTTTTAGAGAATCTCTCCACAAGGTAGCCCAAAAAGAAATTGTATTGATCATATTTATTTCCTCTATTTTAACAGCTGAAGAAATGAAGTATTCATCCCTGGAATTAAAATAACCTTCATGTGTGGTGCATTTATAATAATCCTTAAAACAAATAGCAGGAAATCTTTAGCAATCTGCGCTGATCTCTCAGCCTTGTACCCCGTGGTTCTAGCAACTTCTGCAACGACTGTGATAAAACATAGAGGTCATGATGATCATTTTACTGAGTACTTGAATCCGTCTTCACCTCGGCCTTCTCTTTCTGTGATTGTTTCTTACTTCATACTTCTGATTTGGAGGGGTCAGAGGTGACCGGTCGTAAAAGATAAACTTCAATACTGAATAGACTGATCAGTAACCAGAAAATTTTACATTGATGGTCGCCTCAAAGGCATCGCCTTGAGTTTGAATACGAGTGGGATCGAAAAAAAAAGAAAAAGTTAGAGTGGTTTTACGAAACCAAGGGTCAACATTGAATAATCTTTTGAAGATCTTTCCAGAAATTGTAAAAGAAATATTGCTTAAAACATTCCCTTTCTTTTGTCTTTTGGTTTTCCGAGCAACGACTGTGCATTGTTCCTAATTTTGTGCTTTTTATTTAAACTCTCTTTTGGTTTTACAGTTAAATTCTTTGGCCGCTTTGTGCCTTATCTGGCAATTGCAATGGTACCCGGTTTATTCCAGTATACATGTAGGTAACTGGCAAAAATATGGACAACAATTGGCGAAATGCTCAAATACTGTAAAACATCTGGCAAAGTCAGTTGCAGCGTTACAATTGTGAAAAAGAAAATATGAATTAACAAAATTCACTTAATTATTACTATAAAAAGTCAAGTGTTCCCAAGCAATAAAGTTTTTGACACGAGACAATTTATTTTTTCTTCCCTTACCGGCAAAGGTTACGATTTCCGGAAACACCATGATATTAATTCAATAATACTTTCTGCTTTTACGCTTAAAGGCGTCTGCCACCAGGTACACGCAACAGGTTTTGCCATTTGTTGCAGCAAATGAATACACCCTCCCTAGGTTAACCTTATTAACTGGAACCATTCTTACCTTGGGCAGGTTGTTTTGGAAAATGGGTTTGATGCCTGAGTAGAAAACGTAAATCTTTTCTCCGGAGTATTTTACTATGATGCGGAATGCTGCGTCAAAGAAATTTATTGAAGAGCCATCATCTTTATAATCATGTTAGGGTGAATTAAACTATTCAAAATTGCCCGCAGGTCAAGTAAATAGGGCGTTGTATTCAGCTGTTAAATTTAAAATTTGTTCAAAGAAGGTACCAGAAAAATATCTTTTGTATAAGAAAGACGTGTGCGGATTTTTAATAGTAATTGGATCTGCGCAAACTTATTCCCGTGAATTTCTCAGATTTTTTTTTAAATTAAAGGCGTTCTTTTATAAGGGTACGGTTTCCGAGCTATTTCATGAGAAGATTCTGGAGAGTCTAAAAATTAATGTGAAAAAGGCATCAATTCCAAATTATTGAAGCAATAACACAACCTTAAGTGATAACTAATGTCTTCGCAAAACAAATACATTTAACAATTATTCTACGAGTGCGCGTTGGATATGAGATGGTAGTTGGCTATAATAATCTCATGTCCATGCAACACGCGTTCTTCGCGACTTTATTTGTAAAAACAACCGATTTTAAGCTTGTTTTTAATTTTGGGCAGACGCGTACAGTTAACATAATTGGAGAGCATGGTATGGTGGCTCATATACCGTGATGGCTAAGCCAACCAGAGCTCCAGAATTGCATTATCCAATGATTTAGTTTTTGATAAAAAACAATATAGGGCTTCAAAAAAACTTATACAACACCATAACTATTGATATAAACATACTTAAGTGAGTGATTGAGGGTATGTTTTAGCACTTGGGTCATTAGCTAGAATAGTTTTCTGAAACATCTTTGAGCAATTAATTTTGATGTACATTTATTATGCCTAAACAGAGATCATATCAGCTCTGAACTGCGTGTGTTTTAAAACGAATACCAAACTTGATGCACCCAATGCGTCCTTTTTTACAAATCTGTGGAAACCGACAAAACACTGAGTAATAAAGTGTCATTGCTCGTATAAATTAAAGAGGGCCCTTTGACGAATTATTTTAAAACATTACGAGGCTGAGGGGTATAAAACAAAGGAAGTGGCATTGAGATTCAGGGATAAATAGTTTATTGTTTTCATTTGCGAGAAAAGAGAGCAGGATTGCAGAGAGGAGGCCCGGCTTTAATTATATTAAACTCACCTCAAATTTTGTTGATCCCATTTAACAAAAGCGTCTAACTAAGAAGCGTCTAATACATCCTTTATTGCTTCCCCCATTACCAAAGATTGAGCTTCCATTCCTGGCCTTTTTTCCTTTTCGTGTGTTGAAGTTTATTTACATTTTGGAACATAAAGCTACTTTTAGCCTATTTAGAGAGATTCAGGGATAAATAGTTTATTGTTTTCATTTGCGAGAAAAGAGAGCAGGATTGCAGAGAGGAGGCCCGGCTTTAATTATATTAAACTCACCTCAAATTTTGTTGATCCCATTTAACAAAAGCGTCTAACTAAGAAGCGTCTAATACATCCTTTATTGCTTCCCCCATTACCAAAGATTGAGCTTCCATTCCTGGCCTTTTTTCCTTTTCGTGTGTTGAAGTTTATTTACATTTTGGAACATAAAGCTACTTTTAGCCTATTTAAGTTTAATTTTTCATCTTTCGTATTTACTAACTTACACTAGCAAATATTGATGCTACTATTCATAGCATCAGGCTATTGAATGAACAGGAGATTTAATTTAATAGCTTTGCTGTTACCGATGCGATACGACATGTACATGATAGAAAAAATTCTTCGGTGAGGTCACTAAAAGAAAGATTTGAATGGGTACTATTTTAAAAAGCCACTCACTGCAAATATTAGGGAATTTAAAGGTTATGTTACACGAGACGATTCGCAACGACCATTTTTAGCGCAACACAGGGTTGCAAAATTGTTGCGACATTGTTTTGAATGGTTACAACATTGTTCCAACATTGCAACGCTGTGTTGGGCTAACCATTCGTCGTTGGGAATCGTCCCGTGTAACATCACGTTAAGCAATCACGACAATGCTGGCAGTGACTGAACGAAATTTATCCTGTGCGTTCATGTCCCTCATAAAAAACCCAGGATAAAACGTCGCACTGGGATCGTCGCTTCTCTCCCTCCGAAAAATAGCTCGTAGTTGAGCAGTGATCCAAAAAGGGTGTTGCCCGTGAAATGCTGTTATGTTTTGTTCTCGTTGCTTAAAGGTGATATTACACGGAACGATTCGCAACGACCACTTTTAGCGCAACACAGCGTTGCAACATTGTTGCGATACTGTTTCGAACAGTAAAAAAAATCGTTCCGAAAACAGCTCTGCGCAGCGCTGAAAATTTCGAGTCGTCCAGTATAACTGTATCACTGTAAGGCCCCGTCCACACGAGTCCTGACATTTTTGAAAACTTTTTTTTTACACGAATCGGGATTGCGTCCACACTAAACCAGTGAATATACTTATTCATCCGTGGCCTATTCGTTTAAAACAATATGAGGTTTTAACATACCGTAAAATTCCGAAAATAAGCCCCTCCATGTATAGGCCTCTCCAAATACAAGCCCCCTTAACCGGTAACGCAAAAAAAAAACCCTCCGTTAAATCGCCCCTCCAAATATAAGCCCCTGGGGGCTTGTACTCGGAAAATTGCCCTCAAATACTAATAAAAACAAAGCAAAGAAGGTAAATTTACTTCCAACTGTAAGGCTAGCCCAATTGATTTTGAAACGCAAATTTCCCTCCCTACATAAGCCCCTCAAAAATGGTCTTTGAAAAATATAAGCCCCGGGGCTTATTTTCGGAGTTTTACGGTACATGAATTAAATTCGTATGGACGGGACCTAAGCTACCTATTATCAAAGGTTTGTTACCCTCAACTGTTCGGATATTTACTTTTCACACTGCCCTCGACCCATAGGCACCCTATATGCTAAAGCCTGAGCGCTTTCAAAAAACAGGGTTGTTGACTAAGGGACTTGAAAGTTTACTTTTGATTTAAATGTCTATTTTTCTAAAGAAATGGCTTTCATCATATTGCTTCTATTTTCGAAAGGAAGCAGTTCCCAAAAGTTCTGACAAATTTCACGAAATTCAAATACATGATAAATTCATCAACGTCGTCCGATTCAAATAGGCAGTAATTTTCTGGCTTACTAGAATATTTCTTAGGTTAAACGGTTTTCCATGTGTGGACCAATGACCAGTTAGCTGAAATTCCTTTTTTTTTTCTTTCAAGAGAACAGCTGTATCGTCTCGTGACCTTTTGATGGACCATTCGACTAGCACTTTAGCTAGCGTAGCATGTTACAAAAGTTCAGTTGGGTGGTTTATAGTTTGTAGTTTTATAATAATTTAAGACCCAACATAATATCTTCTTTTACAACTTTTTTGCATTTTTGTCGCTTTGCTGTCCACACCGACCCTTAACGAAACCAACCTCGTCGATTGCTATGTCTCCTCGATAGCTTTGACCTCTAACAGCTTCGATGATTACCTGAATAAGATAAAAATAAAATCAACAGCTTATTTCCAGGTCATTAAATCGGGTTGTACCATTAGTTTGAAAAATATAATACTTTTTTACTTTGAATTTAAGCAACTTCAGTGCGTACCGGATCAGAACGAGAGCCATGCATCTTAAACGCAGAGAAGGCCCTGGGAACGAGGTTGTGCGACAACAAAATGTTGGAGCGCTAAGCCGGGTAGCCTGCGTCGCAGACCGTCTAAATCCCCGACTCGAGTTCTTTGTCTTGGTCTCGAGCGACAAGTCGTGCTGCATGCAACGCAGACAAAAGAAGGGTACGATCGCGCGATCACGTGATTTTAGTGTGCCTTATGTTTCACAGCGGACAAACGAGTGAAATTTGCAAAAGTTAAGCGAAATACTTTAAAGTTAAGGTTGCTACTTTCACTATCGAAAGTTTAGGGTATTACCAACATCCTATTAGTTCACTCAACTTTTTAAAAGTTTACTAACAAAGTTCTAAGTGATTGAAAACCGATGCTGACGTTATTATCGGCGCCATTTTCAAACATGATTCTCTTTTAGCCCGAAGCGATTTCAGCGAAGAAAGCTCAAAATTTTGAGAAAAATGGAAAGATAGTTATGTTGACTAACTGATTTATACATCTTTGCCCATTTTTCTCTAACTGGTAAATAAAATCCCAGCAATAAAAAACAAAAATAACGATTTAGACGTTTCGCCGCGGTGGTGCCTTATGTTGTCCCAAATTTCTTATGCGCCTACTCGATTTATGGTCAGTAATGAAGCATGGAAGGTTGAGCCACTGATAATCACAATATAACTCATTACCTTGTATTGGTGATACCCCTGAATATTCACTTCAGCTTCTTGCCACCGTTTGCCCTGATTTCCGCTTCTAATCCACAGTTGGGCTGGGGAAACTCCTTTACCAAGCTCTTGTTGATAAACGGACAGGCTGCCGACATTTGTTCCTGACATGTGGAATGCAAAGGACAAACAACGGTCCTCTCCAGAACCATAGATCTTTAAGATGGCTTTGTCCCCTGGTCTGCGAGGGGCTGAGGCCTCGATAAAAGCGTACTTGCCTAAGTAGAAGATATTGGTGATATAAAGTGTAATGTTGATGGACTGTTCAACAAGATATGTATGTACATTGCGTTTTTTTAAATATCATGGGTGACGAATTACTCCTAAATTTTGACGCGAAATTTCAGCGTTAATTTAAAAGTTCACAAATGAAATTACAAATTTGCCATGGCAACCTTCCGTACGTCTCAGTGCCAAGATGGTGACGAAAATTTCAGGGCACAAAAAGACGCTTTAGAAAACCTAAACACACGAGAACAGATCAGAGCACATCAAGAAGGATTGTAACAGGAATTTTGTCAAAATATTATGTTCCTTGTTCCTTGGGTGCATGGGTAATTTATTTCCTTGGGTTATTCCCAAAACAGTTGAGGAGTTGAGGCGAGCCCCTCCCCCAAGATCGTTGTTTCACACTAATGCCTACCCCGCTGGTCGCCATAGTCTACTTTCCCTTGACCTCCCTAGTCTTCTTCGGTTTTTCAATTCAAAGAACGGCAATACCAACAACAAGACTTAGCCTGTCTCAAACAAGGGAGCTGTTCCGCAAGTTATTTTTTTAACAATTTCTGTAAGTACGTACTTTAATTTTATTGTTCCTCATTACCTGACCCGCCGAAACCTGTCATTGGTCCCGTTCCCCTTGAAGGTGTTTCACCCTCGGTGATTGACCAGTCGAACCGGTCCTCTGTTGCCTCATTTCTCCATCCACAGAAGCCATTGTCAAAGGAACATTTTCCTGAAATTTATAAATCAAAGAACGGTCTTATATATCTGAAGTCCAGTGGGGCACTTGGTTCTACCCTTAGTCCCTTCAGTGTGTGTCTTATTGTTCTGCAAAGTGTAGTGGACCCGGAACCGGAAGTCGTTCTACCTATTGCGTCATCTCACAAAGTAGCTGTAGTTATGGGATGTAGTAGGAACACGGAATGAACAAAATTTGTACGTAGTGTGCACGTCGGACTATTAAAGTATTTTGTGTTGAATGAATCTCTTCTCGAATATTCCCGTTCCTGAAAAAAGACCACTACACAAGCATGTTCAGAATAGCTTTACAAAGTATTAAAACGTACAACAGCAAAAGAATTAAATCACTACTCCTAAATACATTAATACCCTAGATAATGAAGATAATTATTAGAATGTTACTTATTTAATAGAATATTTTAAGAAGTTAACCTGCATGATACGTTGTGTATGCCTCCCTAGTAATTTTAGTCTTTTTTTCTAATAACAAAACCACTGTGCTTGAGTTTGTGTGAGTGGTTTTTCTTTCGGTGTGTTGTTGTATTTCTTTTCTTTTCCTTTTTTTCTTAATAGGTAATTTAATAACACCTTTATTTAAAATTTTGTCCTACCTAGATTAGCGCTCTAGCTATTTGCAGGGAATTAAACATTGTTAGCTTATGGATCTTAATGAAATACATTGTTGTTTGTTGTTGTTGTTAGTTAACATGTTTAGATATTGTTCACCAGTGAGGAAACGAGCCCGGTCCCTCTGCAAACTACTATCGGCGACAAAATTGTGAGACACTCTTGACAAAGTTGGGTCGGTTAATACTGCCCACAAGCCTTAAGACCAGTGGTACAACTTTGAATAGGGAGAGGGGTACCACTAAAAGGAGCGGTTTTGATTAGAAAAAATAAAAACATGGTCATGAGATGTTGTTTGGGCCGAAGTGTCTCAACTAATTTTGTCGCCGATAGTAGGTAAAGAGTGTGATATCACGACACCACCAGAGACTGAACCGACGGTGTGAAAATATGGCTGATTCAATTGATGTGAATATTCATCAGTCACTGTGGTAGATATTAAGATCGGGGTATTTCAGAGCTAACAGAGTAGACATAACAAAGAAGAAGGTCTTTACCTAACCCTAAATGGCTGTCAGATTGAATTTCCTCCTCGCTGAATACTAACTTGCACCTTCCAGGCGTAACTTCTATTGAATCCACAGCAATGTCTCCAGCAAATGTCGAGCCTCGTACACCCTCAATGGAAATCTGCAAAACAGGTCAAGTCATCTGTGTAAATAATTTTAACGGAGGCTGAAACTTTAATCCAAACTAAGTTGGACAATCAACTGAAATTACAACTTAAAACAAACATATTTCACTGAGGTGCAAACTTATGACGTTATTTATAAGAGAATAATACTTTCAAAGATTAAAACCATGTTGCAGCTTCTTGGAAGGGTGAACGACAAATTCAACATCAGTTACGGATTGACTGTAGCTGTTATTTTAACCAAAATTGGAACCCTAAACAGAACAGAGGCTACATTGCTGATCTCTATTTTCGTTCGAAAAATTACAACATATTGAGTACCCATGGCATTCAACATGTTGAGATAAACTGTCCAAACTGTATGAGGGGGCGTTGATAATTGAAGAAAAGAGTGGGAAATTAAACCTCTATTTAGCGGCTATGGCCACCTTTTGGTCTTCCCAAAGAGAATTCGCCCATTGTTGTCACCTCTATTCAGCGGCCATCAAGCGCTTGTTACACTTAGACTATGATGAAGAAAACTAAAGTCTGAGATAGAAGGTGACGACCGATTGTGGACCAGCAAGGCTGTTCCCGTCTCGAAATTGTTTAAAAATATAGTGATATTTCAGCTAAAGATTATGCTAATTTATGACGAACTTCTATCAAGCGGTCAGCCTTCATGAAGCGGCCACTTCCCGGTACCCCAAAGAAGGGCCCCTTAATTGAGGCTCAGCTGTAATTTTCATTTTCTAGTATCATACTTACAGTTAATGTAATAAAGTAATATCAGAAACAAACCCTATAAAAGTTTCCAAACAAATTTAATCGCGCTTCGTTCCAATCACCTCCCTGATCTCCGACTCGGTACCAAACTACTCTCGGTCTTGAGTTCTTCTTACTCATTTGATTTATTCTCAGGGAACCAGTCCCAGGTCCCCTCATGTGAAACTTGAAGCTAAGACACTGGGTTCCAGTCATGTACCCGCTAAGTAATCTGGTTTTCTGACCACTGGTGTGAAGTGAAGCTTCCAAATAGATATAACCACCTAAAGAAAAGGTAATTTGGTATTGAAATTTAGTAATTCGGAATCAGTACTTTTTTGTTTACAGCTGGATGCGATTATAACTTGGGGGGCTTATAGGTGGAGGGACTTATAAGCGATAGTTAACGGTATCTGATCATTGTGGCTGTGGCTGATAAAGTGCCTCTTTGCCTGAACATTTTTCTAGCCTGTGTAGCTAGCGGGATTATTTTTGCGCGAGTGAGAGTTTTGGCGGAAAAGCGTCTCCACCCCATTCTCCACACGGCTTCGCAGCTCCTCTGCTAAGACTTCCCTCGCGCGAACGATCCCGCCGGCTACGCTGGCATCATTTTTTTCCTACATACGATCAGTTAAAGGAGAGAGTGCAATTGTCAGGTACAAATGACATTTTTGTATCTGAAATATTTACCATCTCCACCCGCATCGGAAGTAGGTCCAGTTTCTCTGGTCATTGTTGCTCCACTGTGAAGCAGCCAATCAAAGTCATCGCTGTTGTCGTTTATCCAAGAGCAGAAATGGCCTGAAAACGAGCAGCTATCTAGGAAAGAAATCAAGACGTGAAGCCGGTAGAACTGGTCGTATGATGCGACATTGAAGCTGCGTTTCAAGCACGCTGATTCAGTAAAAATCTAATTACGGTCTACGTCATTTTGAAGGCATTTACTTAAAGGGGCTATATGTGACGGTATTTGCTACCTGCTTAAAAGCTAATACAGTAGAACCTCGACAACTCGAACTTGGATAACTCGAATTCCACGGTGACTCGAAGTAAATTTCCTTTCCCTTGATCAAAATTTCACTGAAATTTACCCCGATAACTCTAATTCCCCGCTAACTTGACCCGTTTTTCGTTTCCCTTCAGAGTTCGAGTTTCTGAGGTTCTACTGTACGCGTCTTCGCATCTGAATTGAATTTCAAAAATAATGGTCCAGTTTTGTTATTTAAGACTATTTTAGGCATTGAAACTGTTTCCTGCCGTCTGTTACTATGTATGGAAAGAATGGACATGGATTGAAACTCCTGCAAAAATTACCAAAATATTGTTATGGTTAGTGCTCACTTATGAAATTTGTTTGATATCTTTTTCAGAGCTCTACAGCAGCATTTTGTGTATGGGTAAAGGCACTAAGTACAGTCGACTCTTTCTTAACGGACACCTCTATAAGACAGACACCTCCCTAAAACGGACACCTGGAGTTGGTCCCTGCCTTTCTTTACTCCCTCAGTTTATTTGACTCTCTATAAGTCGGGCATCTCTCTAAAACGGACACCTAGAGTTTGTCCCTGACTTTCTTTACTCCCTTTATTTGACTCTCTATAAGACGGACACCTCTCTAAAACGGACACCTAGAGTTGGTCCCTGCCTTTCTTTACTCCCTTTATTTGACTCTCTATAAGACGGACATCTTTCTAAAACGGACACTTACTGCCGGCCCCAAAGGTGTCCGTCTTAGAGGGAGTTGACTATAATACATTTAGCACAGAATTGAACTAAAACAGCAGTATCCTGGTGACAATGACAGAGCCCCTTTAAAAAGGACATGATGCTGTAAGATAAGCCCACAAGTATGGTGACGAAAGTGGGGAAATGTGAGCTAACCACAATTATCACTCCATTTGATTAGAAGGTAAAGCTACTTTGACATTCCAAACGGGAAGCTGTATCATATTTTTAATTTTATTTCTTACTTTCGGGAAGCAATTGCTGCGATATCAGAGCTTTAGTAGTAGTCATCCTTGTTGTCGTCGCGGGTGTTGTAGTGGGTGCGAAAGAAGGACAAGCGCCTTTTGTGAACTTGATGTTGTCAATTGCGATATCACTCCTCCACACACTTATGACGGCCTCTATTTGTATCTACAGATTAAGTAAACGGTTTTCAATGGGATTATATACCAGGTAAAATGAGCAACACAGTCAAAACCTCCTCAATAAACACATCAAAAGGACAGAGCCTTGTGTCCCGCCCATTACAGAGTTGTCTGCATTAAGTAGGAAATATCTGAAGTTTGGTAACTTCGGGACCTGGAGAACTCTCCGCCATAGTAGGGGAGTCGTATTATATGTACGAGAAGTTCGACTGAACCAATCACGGATTGTCCTGAAAAGAGCTTTTTATACTGAGGCATAACTAGTGAGATAAGGAGGACGATGAAATACTTAACTCTGCGTGAACAAGAGCTCTGCTTTGGGGGTAATTGTTTACTGAAGTACTCTGTAATCAAAGACTAACTCCAAACTGATCGGAGTAAATTTGGCCAGCCCTGAACGGTGACGAACTTTATTCTCAAGACCCGCCAATATACAATAAACAAATATCTCTTCAGCAAAGGCGACGATATAGATACCAATCAGTCGGTAGGGGATTGTCCTGAAATCAAGATTTGCACGGTTTTAGCATTCAAGAGGGGTGGGCATATGGTAAGGCTAAATAAAAGCCCTGCCCATGATTCAGATTGGTTGAAACTACCCATATACGCTAAGAACCTGCCGGCTGAGCCGGCAGGTCCCTGCAATAAAATCCCATTATTATTTCGTCATGTTTTTTCAAACGGTCATAAGCTATAACAGGACAAAAGTAAAGGTTTTAGAAATAGGGTTATTTACAGTTGACACAACTGCTGATTTAAAGGAGGTCTTCTGTTATATATGATGAGCTAATAAAGAAAACTGAGAATAGGAGTCTGATAAAATATATCAACAGCAAACATGTATTAGAAAAATATAAAGAGCTAGGGAAGGCTAAGGATGGAGAGCATTAAATAGCAAATTTGAGAATAAGATGCAGGCGGAAATCCGAGTGATATAGCTTCTTGAAACAACTCTGTATGTAGCCTACGTAGAAGGCGCTGTGAAGTATTTTATATTTTAAAAAGAACAGGGCGCGCGAAGGAGACACGCGTGTCTCCATCGCGCGCCCCGTTCTTTCTTACGCTCATTATTTTCAAGAGTGTGCTACGGCAGGCTACTTTGTATGGCATAGTTACCTGATATGAAGTTGAGTTACATGGAAAGGTTATGCGTGCTTCGTGCCACCTGTCTCGTTGGTCACCATGACGACGCCAGAACAAGCTCTTCATGATGCCATCGCCAAAGCGATAAACAGAGAGTGAACCAATATCCTGGCCGTGCATGTGATACATAAAGCGCATACATTGTAGGCCTTTGAATACACCGCTGACTAAGACTGCTTTGTCACCAACTGCGCGTGGTTCAGAAGATTCCACGTAAAGATATTGACCTGAGAGAGGAATGTGTGAGAGAATATCAGACATGAGCAAGAAAAACTAAAAACGCTAAAAACGAATGACGTTTCGAAGTCATAATGACACCATTATCAAGTTCAAAATGATAAGAATAAACTGTGAGATTATGAAATTTTGGAGTGTCACGCAAATAGCTTGGCTCGAATTGAATTATGTAAAATTTCAGCGAACTATTTCATAATCTCATAGGTTGTTCTAACCATTTTGAACTTGATAATGGTGTCATGATAGCCTGTGTACAGACGTCCCCCTCAGATTTTTCTGAGGGGAGGGGGAGGTCTGTACACAGGCTATATCAGAAACAGCCTCGAAAAAAGAGAAAAGAGTAAATTGTCAATTGTTTTTACTTCTTCCACCGAGTGATCACTTTCTATTTTCAACAGAGCAGACAGAGCATAAAAGGCTGAAAGATACCACCATGATTTCAACACTGCGTTTGAAATAAAGCTACTCTATGATGCACGAGTTGCGGGAAAAAAATCAGCTTAGTTTCCACATCAGCCTCAGTAAACTGGACACATCACTTTTTTTGAATACTGGAGATTTGATCAACTGAAACATCGCAGGAAAGACCCCTACAAATTTACAAATTTGCCACCGAGTTGAGTCAACAAACAGTTTATAGGCTGAAAAAGAACGTCCTTTTTTAACATTTGAATAAATGTTATGTTGGCAATAATCTGAAACCTTCTCCGTTGTAACCAGCCGTCGGCCCTGTTTCCCTGCTTGGAGTTGCTCCTTCTATGAGCTGCCAGTCAAAATCATCGTTGTGGTCATTTCTCCATTCACATACTCCCTCATCAAAAGTACAGTTCCCTAGAAGGGAATGAAGAAGAATTATGAGTGTCCACAAACAACAAGATACGCCGGGTACTTACAAAACCTGTTTTATGAAGCGGTCAGTAGTGTTCAAGCATTGTCATATGAGAACTGAAAAAGGAGTTAATCATAGTCAAACGTCTCGAAAAAACACTTTTGTATAAGGTGGCAACGCTCTCCCGAGAACACAGTCTCTAGTGGGTACTCGCGCGAGATCAATATCTGGGTCCTTGCCCTCACGTACGGAACGCACTCGCAGTAATGAAAGCAGCTAAAGGGATAAGGAGTTCATTTGAAAACATAAAAACTCACCAATCAAACCTGCGTCAAATTTTTCTTGTCTCAGGTGGCAGCATGTTCCTTTGGTCAAGTAGATATCGTCCACGGCAATATCGGACAGGTAAGAAGGACCTACCACTCCCTCGAATAAAATCTGAAATTGTTTGAGTTACATATACCGTGAATGATATACCTCTCAATTTTCAGTCACATTACATATATATGAAAACTTCTAGGGCGTACGCGGTCACAAAACCTGGAACTTTATCTGTCTCTGGAGATTTACACTAGGGGAGATATTGCGCATTTGTGACGAATCCGGAGCATTTTCGTACCAGACCAGTTTTGCCGTTTACACGCAGATGCGTAAATCTGAAATAAAAACGTCCCAGTTTTGTCACGTGTCCGGACATTCTGAATCCGAAATCTAAAGTTAATACTTTGTATCTGAATAAATGTTCTTAGATTTATTGATGTGTGCTAACCTCATCAAATCCGAATGCCCTAAATGTAATACACCCGAGAACATTCATGGCTCCGGAAAAATCTCCTCCAAGATAAACCTAGCCTTGACTTTACGGGCTTTTGAACGGTGTCTTCGTCTCCATAAACCCTCACCTGGTAACAGGCCCCGCCAATGTCGACCAAGGCCTCATGCCACTCTGTCCCTTGGTGACCCGACATGGTCCACAACAGGTCGTCTCTTCGCATGCCCTCCCGTTTGTACACATTTAACGTACCCATGCGGCGTCCGTTCATGCTATAGAAAAACCGCATGCACATCCTTCCACACATGCGCGGTCCCATCAGTAGCGATTTTTGCCCGTACATTTGAGGCTCAGAAGCCTCAACGTAAATATACCCTCCTGGAATAAAAAAAGGAAAAACGATGAAAATTAATTGAATCACCCATTTTAGACTGTTCAGAGTCCCCTGTTTTTACGTAAGATCGGCGAGGTCGAGCTCTTAACGTTACGGGCAGCCATCTTGTTTTCTAATGTACCAAGGCGGCGGGCTCCGGGGTTTCAAGCAGTGGGGGACGGAGGCGACAAAAATATAGGGACCATCTATTTTTCCCAATTCCTCCCGCCCCCCTAAGTAGATTTGATACTCCTCCCCAGGCTATTAGACTCGGTACATTTGAAACCAAGATGGCCGCCAGTGAGGATAGGTGCTCGATTACAGGATCTTATGGAGAAATAGGGGACTGTGAACGGTCTAACGACAGCTCCATTTCATTTAATGCTTCTTCAATGGTGGAGAACACGAGAGGTCTTTATTATCAGTTTCAAGGGGCCTTTTTTAATTTTCCAATTAGTCATAATATAAGAGGCACTTCATACCTTGGTAGCCTGTGTGATCCTCTGTCGGACCAGTCAGCATCGTACCCGTTTTACCACTGTTCAGCGTCCAGTCAAACTCATCACCCAGGGGTAAGTTTATCCATTCGCAGAATCCACCATCAAAATTACACGTTCCTGTTGACAATAGACAAGTTTTAAAGTGCATGACGTAAAACCACAAAGAATACAACGATCAATCAAAACTCTGGAAAAATATGATGGCGACTCCAGCAAACGAAGGGGGGAAGATAAGAAGAATTCACAACTGGGAGTGGTTCGACTCCCGTCTAAGACCGGCTGAGAAAGAGGCCCGCTATTTATGAGTCAATCACAACGACAAGAGCAAAATATCAAGCAAAGCATCACAAGCTTAGTTTTCCTTTTTGATATCTTATACCTTGAATGCGCTCATGGACGGAGAGCAGCTTCCACTTTCGCGGGAAAAAGTGCTCTAAAATGTGCCAAAGAATAAACTGGTTGTTGAAAACGAGGTGACATAGGCCTAGAATAGGTGCAGCTCGCTCCGGGTTATGGGCTCCTAGCTCAGTGTAAACTATGTATTTTCTCGGAATTTGAGGATTTGTTTAAAAGTAACCAGTTACGAATCAATTTTTAAATGTTTAAGACTCGAAATAAGCTCTTGCTGAAAATTACAAGAAGTTTATAACCAGATCACAAAAAATGAGATCATGTCAATCAACAGGCTTAAGAGTCTGGCTCTTCTTGTAAGACATAAGGGAGAATTGGAATCACGTTCACTGCAACGCGGTGAGATTCACGTTGATAAAGTCTCAAACTAGGAAATGAGCAGATAAAAACTGTCAAAAATAAACTTTCTGGAATAACCTGGCATGCATTATAATACTTAAATTATTGGAAGATACGATGAACAGTAAAAGAAAAGTAAAGGGAAAATTGGCGTTTGTCATTTGCCGCTAACGTGATTTCTTGGAGATGCCCTAATGGGGTAATGTAACCCGCAAAACATATGCAAAACTAATCAGTAAAGCCCATAATTCGACACAGGACAACCAATGGCGTAAAAATCCATTTAAGACCACAAATTATACTTTTTCGAGGAAAATTATTCCAAATCAAACTCCGTAAACCTTAAATGGAATATTTTGAGCCTCAGTTTTAATTTCTCTTTTGAAAATATTACGGGAATAAACCTTCAAAACTGAAGTTCTCAGTTACCTGGTTCTCCTATTAACATGGTATGGTCTGTCTCGTTTAGTCTCTGAGGTACATACTTAAGCTCCTTTCCATCGCATGTTCCATTCACGAAGGTGATATCGTCCAAAGCGATGTCGCTCTGATACGTCTTGCCAACCCTAGCAGAGAATATAACCTATAAAGAGTTGCAGAGAATCAATATTTATTCAGAAGGTATTCTAACGGGATTCCAGTTAATAGCATTTCAGCACAAAACCCTCTTCCCATTGTCGGACGCCCTGGTTTCCCCTTTTTGTCTAAAATATATATGCATAGTCCTTACTGTATAATTGTTTCCATATACTGTTGCGTTACTGAATTTCCATGCGTTTCCCTGGTTTTTGTATCTTCCCCATACGTAATTCTCCATTCCAGATTTGGTGTCTTGCAGGTAGATTTGTAGGTCCGCAATATGCCTTCCGTACATATGGTAGTAGAACCGCATGCACATTATCCCTGAAAACGGGCCACCGACCAGCCGAGCAGTCTGTCCCAACTTTCGTGGCCAAGATGTCTCGACATAAATATAGTGTCCTAGTTGGAAAGAAATTCTGACTATAATACGCAGACGAGCTCGAAGATTCACTTTATATCACCTGAAAATGGTCTCACACAAACCATAAATGGTCTCACAAGGGCTTGCCATAACCGAATCTAAACTAACACAACCAAATTTTAACAGGAATTTTATTATTGACAGCAAATCAAGTCAAGTGACAGTGATTGACATTTGAACAACCTTTGCGAAAGTCGTCGAAAGTCAAAGCGAGTTTTGAATCATCAGTTGATCGTGTGAAACTTAAGAGATAGGCGTGAATGGTCACTAAATTATTTGCCCCATTTAAGGACTTTAAGGGAATCCAAGACAGTGTTGGATTCTGGATTCCACGCTGTGGATCACCGGATTCCAGTTACTGGATCCCTTTCTTTGTCAGTGGAACTTGAATTCCGGATTCTAATTGTTAGTTGGATTCCGGATTCCAAAGCCCAGGATTCCGGAATCCAAAAGGAAAAAGTTCACCACTCTCCGGAACTCGGATTCCCTTTCACGGAGCGAAATTATTGAAAAAAAGTCGCAATATTTTTGCCAAATAAGTATTAACTTATCAAGGGAAATGGGTCCAGTGGATAGCTTAACCTTGTAGCTGCCCAGCATTCGCTACGCACGCGCAGTTTACGGGATTACGTTCTTCAAAATGCCACACTCTTAATACCTTCTTCTGTACGGCCTGAAGATGGACCAGTCTTAGTGCTTGGAGTTCTTCCACTATGTCGCAGCCAATCAAAGTCGTCCCTGGAAGCCTCATTGGTCCAATTACAGAAATCCACTTCAAAATCGCACCCGCCAGGCACTGTGAATCCAAATAATGGTCAGGTCTAAACATGTAATAACGACACTTAAATCGTAATTCCCTACAGTGGTGACTGCAGTTTATCAAGAAAACAAACTTAGCCTCACCAACATAGCGCCACAGTTGATCATTCCCGGCTACAACTGAAATTAGTGCGAAATTTACTTGGGGCCACAATGTAAACTACTGGGTTCACCAGTAACTGTGACAGCCATTAAAGTTTTAATTATTTATTTATAATGGAATGGTCAGAGAAAAACGGGTCGGGGGGCGTTGCGCTACTTCCTAGTAGTAGGCTAATGGGGATGTGCCGCTGGATGGGGTCGCATTTTCACGGCTGGATTGACTGTACTGGACTATAATGGGGTCGCATTTTCATCAGAGATACTAGAATGGGATCGCACATTTTAGGGATTTGGGGGATCAGAAAATTCGCGTAGGTACGGATTTAAAACTGGGAAGATTTTTACCTCACTAAATTTAACCTATTTCAGGATGACCTAGTTTTAACTGGGATCACGAAAATTACATTTTCCCAAAAGTGGCTAAGATGGGGTCTATATTTGCCCACAGAATAGACTATAATGAGGTAGGGGTTTTGGGAGGCCAGCGGCACATACACAGCAAAAATGAACCCAATTAACCCTCCCCCCGGAATGTGAGCTGCCACCAAATTCACTGAAACATAAATATAAAGGCTCAAAACATCAAAAGAAGGTATGAATCACAGCAAATACAAAAGGAGCTACGGATGGACGAACTTGAGGAGGAAAAAACGGATTGCAATTGCGGATTTTGAAAACTTGTTAGCCTACCAGTTTTTTAAAGTTCATTTTTGTTTTTTGTGACCTTGATATAATGCTTTGGAGTGACATTTGTTTTAATACGAGGCTGTGCTTTTTTCATTTACATGTAAATTCCTCGCCAACTTCAACTTCGCCAGTTAAGACGTGTTATTGGATATATTAACCCAACACGAAACCCAATGAACTTGACAGCCGTGATAGAGTTGGACACGTGGAGGTATCGTGGCTTGAATTTCAGACGATTACTTCGACTCGTTTTCAGTACTCCCTCAGGAACTGCTGAGTTGCTGAGAGGAGAAAATGACTCGAAGTAATCGTACGAAATTCAGGCTAAGGGTATCGTTGCTGATCAGAATTGATTAGAATTCGCAGGATTCCCCAGTTACGTAATCAATTAACGTTACTTGTTATCAAATTGTTAGAATTAATTTTTCGAAGGCTTGTTTTGACCTTTGAAAAGTATTTATCTTCTAGTGTCGATAAATCCATAATTAAGACCGTTTTGTCACTCAATCGATCTGATTCGTTACTGCTGCATTTCTAAAAGTATGCTCATGTTTCTGTTATGGCCGAAATATGGTCACGTTTCCACAGCAATGTATACGTAGGAAAAGAAGGTAACACTCAGATTGCTTGGTAAAAGGGTGCCGAAGTGGAGACACTGAGCCTAGTATTTTGTCTATTTTCCGTCTCTCTGTCCATGTATTTTTTCAACCCACGGAAAACAATTATATTTGTATATTGTTTGCTCTATCTATTAAGCGGGCCACATTCTCTATTCCTCTTATATATATTTTAGACTTCATAATAGTTTTCAAAAGTCAATGAATTAACAGTAGATTTTAGACATATGACTAAACTAGGGCCTGGTCGCAATCAATACTGTCTTCATAGTTTTCGAATGCTTTACGAAACGTAAATTGATTCTCATCTTTTTATAGTAACATTATGTTCATATGGCTAAACGCAGACGCAAAGGTATTCTAAAGTACTGTAACAATTTCCGAATGCCTTTATAAGGTTACAGCTCAATTTTTCTATATTGACACACAGACACAGAGGAATTCTGGCGTAAATGTACCACAACTTTGTCTGATAACACATGGAATGTTCTGCATTAGAAAATAATTTTTAAGCCCACTTCTATCACTTAAAGGGGGGGGGGGGGCAACTTCCTTGTGCAAGGAAGTACCTGGGTCTCTTGCAGCCCTGTTCGATCAGGATACTATGAATAAGATTGTTGATCTGTTTTGGTGCGAAAATAGGACGGGAAATTGGTATCAGAACTTTTATGAGGCTTCCGGTCTATCGCCCTCTTCTATTCTCTACGATCCGAGGCAACAGAAAGCACGTATCAAGACTTGATGCGAACCTGATCTTTAAAATTGGCATCACGACTATTATAAGATTAAACCGTCTCAGGAAGGAAGCTATCGATCAACAGTGCGTATTGAAAATATTCTTGAAAAATCTCTGTTCATAGACAATTATCACAAGTACGTTGGTTTGAGATTTAGTTTCCTTGTATATATGCTGACAAACATAGTTAAAATCAAACATGAACAATTTCTTTCCTATTTCATCCTCTTGATAAGTCCGGCTCCAGCAGAGGTTAACCTTTATCCTCTGTCAGTTTCACTCAATATTTATTACAATAATTTCTCCCCCCCTCCTCCCACAGGAGATAGCGACTGACTTTTATGGGTAACAAGTAGGGGTAGGTGAAATTAGTGAAGAAAAGGGGGAGAATCAATCCATTGAGATTATCTTTTACCGCAAGACATGGTCTGAACCTCGGGTCTGAACATGGTCTCGTTAACGATAGGCGAGGATCATCCCTTCCGAGGTAAGTGATTCCCCAGCCTTCCCCTCCCCCACAAACATGAACGAGGTACCCCCCTTCCAAGCGATATCTTTTTTTCTTTCTAGCGCGGCATCCTTCAACAAATTTGCAAGGGTAAATCGTAGGTTCTGTGGGTCAAAAGAGGATGACGTGAAAGATGACGGAACAGTCGTGCTTAGCTTCAGCTACGTCAGCCGTGCGTTGAAATTTTTATTACCCACTTGTTTTTTCCGTTAATAGGACCTTTCATCTCGTACACTTGGAAATAATAGAAAAGATCAGAAGTTGGCTTTGGGTATGTAATTAAGCTTAAGCAAATTGAAGTATGTGGTTTTCCTTCTAACACGCGATTTTCATTTGCCACGTTTATAACTTGCATACTGTTTGTTTAATGAATTTGGTTATAAGCCGTAATAAGATTGACAATTGATCAAGTTTCCGTTTTGTTTACTTAGAGGCCTTAGTCAAAGCGAACTTTTGAGATATAAATTTAGAAATATATAAAAGGGACATTGCGCGCTTTCGTGAAAAGAAAGTATAATAGGCCAGAAAGATTTGGATTTTGCCGTAAAACCTTAACGCTTTTATTGGTTATCCTTGTTTTTCCAGCAGCCTTTCATAAGTAACCAAAAATACAGATAATGGGTAAATATTGAAAGGCAATTGGACATATAATGTGCTATTGGGGTCCTATTGAATATAGTACTTTACAAGTGGGAGCAAACTACCTTATGCCCCTCGATTAGAGAGGGTTTTTTTCCTTCAACTAGTGTTGTTAGTAACAAAGACCACCAATCACTTAAGGGTAACTGTACAGTTTTTGATGAAGATACTTCCTTCGCGATTTTTGCCATACTATCTTTTTAAGGCGATTCTTTTCATCTTTGTCTGAGTACTGCAACAACCAACTAGTCGAAAAACCTTTTGAAAAGCTGACCCAGAAGCAAAGACAACAAAGTTATATCTGCTAAAAACAGATTAACTCAAACGACTGCATGTAATATCGTTAATAAAACAGCACCGACAAACTTACAGAACACGAATTCTCGATCCTCCTTGACTGCTGTTGTATTGCCCTCATGACTCGTTGAATTGGTTTCAGTCGAGACATTTGAGCTTGAAGCACTAATACTACCACACGAAACGATCACCGTAGCGGTGAACAAGAAAGCTTTCCACCGAAGTACTTTCATGGCGAGATTTCACCCTAGCAGACTTAAGATTATCAAGGTCGTGTCGGAATAAACAATGGCGTAATCCTTTCAGCTATGATGGTCCTTTGCAATTGAGCTGAATGAGATCCTGGAATGTTGTAATTGTCGAACAGCAGGGAGTAGGTAGCCCTGGATCGTCACCCAATTAACAGTTCAAAGTACCGCAAAAACCGATGAAAACGAAAATGTGTGGATAAGGGAACCAGACTGAAAGGGGACGGTAAGATATTGACAGGTTGTTTTCAGAGGTTTTTTTTTTCATATTTGACCTTTGAAGGGTTCGGGATAGCTAAGAACATAACATAAAGACTGTTATCAGTAACAGTCGACAGTTAATGTTACAGTATCGTTGCAACGTCGACGAATTACTTATTTCCAGTGAAAACAGGCGTTAAGTGAAGTCAGTCAAAGGTCTTGAGAACACTGAAGACACAGTGATATGGCAGTTAACAATCATTTGGACAGAAATTACATTATAAAGGTTAATTCAGTTCAGATAAGAAATCTTTAGCTCCCAAATCGTATTTGCCAAATATAAAAGCATAACAGAATATATAACAGCAGAGAATTCTTTTAGGTGCACTATTTTTATTGCTTCTACAGTCATAAGTTAACGAACAGTTATAACCAATAACTAAACACCTATGATTCGAAGACGGGAACAAATTCAAAACAAATTCCCTTTCACGTCACAAGATGCCGGGGCTAAATTCTTACAAAACAGATCGTTTCTGTCGTATTCGGACACACGGCTGAAGAGAGACTAGCCTGTTCCAGGCTCCGAGAGAGTCAGTCAGGTCCGCCTTCCTTTTTCCTTTGTCCCGCCCGGCCAACTTTTCTCGTGCCTTCCACTTTCGCGACTTCCGCACGAACCGAGAGCCTGGAACAGGCTAAAGAGAGACTAAAGAGGGTTGGACATGCAGCAGTTGTGCAGCGAAAAGTGCTTCACAGAGTAACCTCTGTTTGAGAAATACTGGGTTTGTTGGGAAACCGCAGCAAGAAGCAAACTAGCTTTAACAGCTCTAAAAGCGGTAAATGAGTGAAAACCAACTTTATGCCAGTTTTTTTTATACAAGTTTTAGCGTAGCAAGGTTAAATCACCCCAATGTTTTGGGAAGACATGGTGGTACCTGCTCGAATCTCTTCTGCTGGGATGAACACCAAGGAAGCGAAAAGTGAACATAAGAAAACGGAGTAGAAAGTATTATGTTTACTTTAGCAGTTGCCATGGTTTTGTTATTCTGTGTTGTGATCAGTCAGATACATATAACCCGGAACAGGGTAAAATGCTACAAATCTCGTACATAAAGAACATAAAAACATGTCCGCCCGCATTTTCCCGCACGGCGTCCTGTTCCTTGGCCTGATTGGTTCCTCGGATTTTCGGCGTTCGGGTAATTAGCTAAAAATTAATTTTTGCAGTTTTATCTACGAACGTCAACCGAAAAACATTCTGTAGATCTGTCGATAGGAACTTTGCGGCACGACATCAAACATCTTGACTAGGAAGTCACTACGCAGTAGCTGGACAAGGGGTAGTCAGCGATGGGCTAGAAAAGGAATTCGCGCTCTTTCGAACTAAATTGAATCAACTGTTCCCATTTGCTACATTTTCCTTCAAGTTGTGTCCGAGACTGAATAACAGAGATTAAAGGGGTTGAAGCATTCGTCGCTTCAGTTCTTTTCTGCTCAACTAATATCTCTCTTAAGAGAAAGCCTTTTCAAGAGTCCGACCTACGTGAATGCTCAGATAAAGGAACTTAGCGAGATCTTTCTTTTAATAGTTCGCAATCAAGGCAGGATTATAATAGGAGGAGCTTTTGCGCATTTTTGCGGAACAGGCCCTGATAAATGCCATTCCATTTTCGTTACTAACGTTATCATTTTAAAGTCAAAAAAGCTAGATTATCTACCTAAAGCTTAGCCAGTTAAACACTTCGTAAGTTATATCGCTGCCAGCATCGGCGCTTTAGCTTAAAACTGTGCGGAATCGAGCCACTTATTAGTATTTATTAGTCCTTAGTTATGGAAGATCCGCTACTGGATAACACAGGCGTTCGTGTGCCGGAATGTGAGTAAAGAGCCAAAAAAGAACCAGACATCAGATTGAAGCAATTTACTATGATGGTGCAGATTTTTCAAAACTTGAATCCAGCTACATTAAAAGGGATGGAACTTTAACACTTACACAGTTTCACTAAAAGATCGCTTATGAGCTGTCTGTGTACAATCAAAGTTCTGCTATCAGTTCGTAAGAGAGCGCAAAAGAGAAGTGAACGCGCGTGCCCCTTTAAGTACAACATTTTCCACAAGTGAATAGCCTTTGATTGCTATTTTTTTCATGTACCTTACTCACAACGATCACTTTACCCCGCTCATGGGTGTGGCCTAGATTTTTTTTATTATTATTATTGAGAAAAAAATTGACAACATTAATACACAGCAGAAAGTAAAATAATAAATAAGTAAATAAATATGTCAGTAAGTAACAAAACAAATTACAATAAAAATAAACAGTATTGGAAAATAATGATAATAATAAAAAACCCTGTCAGTTGCCACACATATTCCATATTGTTTGCCACAATTTTCAATGCGATTTTGTTCAAAAGCCGCTTACGTAAAAATTCGTCTAAATTAGGTTTCGTTACAATGTTCTTGCAAGTATACAAGTATTTCTTTTGCAGTAAAACCAATAGACGGAGTTTGCGTTGAGTTGAAATTGGCATTTGCATTGGAAGGGAGTCATCGAACGTGTTAAATAAAATTTGCTTATTCGAAAGTTGTTACGTTCTCTTTATGATATTCATTAAACCACCTTAAAGTTTTGGAAAAGTGTGGCCTAGATGAAGCATCGCCTCTTACTTACCACGCGGGATTTTGGTTGTCATACACAAAGGAAAATTTGAACTGAAGGCAGAATGGTTTGCCAAAAAAGTCTGAAACGTGGGTATACAATAAGACTGCGAGCAGTCTCTTATTTTTCTTTGCAAAGTTACTGCACGCGAAACCTAAGCACGCGAGCGGCAAAGCCGCGAGCCGCGAGAAACGAGGGCGTAAACCCGAGAAGAAAAAATTTTCTCGTCTCGTCTCTGTAATACATAACGTCGTGGCTTGGAATCGCGCTGGATGAGATAAGAACTAGAAGGATTTTAAGAGAAAAGGCGGACTGCAAGCAGTCTAGTATACACTCGCCTTAACGTTTAAATACGAAAACGTCATGAGATAGAGATATCATGTCGTCGGAAGAAGAGAAGGTAGATTAAATGTTATTTTGGGCAGTCTTGACATGGCAAGTCCTCGAGGTCGAGGAGAGCTTTAACCCTTTCACTGCCAGAGTGTTTGATGGAGTTTTGTAAGGTGACTCTAACTTTTGAGTCTGTGGACGAAATCCTATGATGTGACCATTCAAATGAAAGCTCTCTGCCTGTACTTACACATGGTGCTATTTGTTTTTCAAAATTTTACAAAATGAAATTTGGAAATCTGGTCGAACTTTGCCTTTGGCTACATTTGGCAGTGAAAGGGTAAAAATAGTGCTTCTCTGGGCACGCATGGTAAACGTATTAATAGAATCAGAACTTTCTAGAACTTTGCCGGCACCCTTGAGAGAAAAGTCGGGATTAAATGTTTTTGCATTAACCCCCAGAGAGGATTAATTGGGAGTTAAGTGCGTTAATCACTCTTACACGTGACAGCAGTGTTGAGAGAAGCTTGCTGGAGCGGGTCTATTGCAGGCTGTCAAACGGAACTTCCTCGTCGTTTTAACCTTCTAGTTCAGGGCTTGTTTCGATATTTAGGGACTGCTCAATCAGGATTTGAATTTCTTGGTAAATGAAGCAGTGTTGTTGTTGTTGTTGTTGTTTTTAAGGAGGTATTCTAGATCTTCATCTTTCATCACTGGCCCCTTCTCTCACTCTGGCCTATTTTTTCAAATTATCGATTAAACTGTCGACCGGGGAGACTCTTTATATTACTGACCAACAAATTATACTCAGTAAGGCTGCGGGATCCATTTTGGAACTTTCCCCTCACGCTCCAATGTAAACCTTTACGAATAGGAATGTACCGTGTATAAGAGAACTCAAAGAGAAACACGTGACATCAACCGTCATTGACCCCATAGCTATTGTAGCTGCATAAGCTTGGCTAGTCGCCAAAGCCAACTTTCAATCTCTAGTTCTCATTTAAGTGCAAGTAAATCAATCTAATTTTCTCTCCTTCCTTTATCTTTACTTTAGTCCGACCATTCTGTAAAGAACTTTGTGATGTACAGGTTAATTTGTTATTTCCAACACATATCAATATTATTGTCGTTAATAAATCGCCCACTTCCTTTCACCAAACCAGTACGTTTTAAATGTAGCCCGCGAGCAGAGTCTCTTGTTATCGTTTGTGGTGGTGAAACAGGCAGAGAAGAGGAAATCAGCACAAGGGGGCCAGTGCGACTGGTACCTTCATTAAAGACGAAATGTTTCACGTTTCATTTCAAACGGTAATGAAGAGGACATGTTTGTAGTTCTGTTGAAAGGATAAGGAACTGGTTGAAATTTAAACGTAGTAACACGGGCTCTCCTTGGACTTTGGGACGCATACAAACAATCAACTGATTGACTGATTGATTGATTGATTGACTGATTAATTAACAATTGATTAATAGTGACTAGTAAAACATGCAATTTAAAAATGGACTTCATTAAATAAGACCTACATGCACAATGTACAAAAGCATAAAACTGATAACCTAAGTTGAACAGTGATTATTAGAAAACCCAGTAGATGGTTATCCCTGATATGAACACGGATGCACTAGCAAGTTCGATCGTTGTTGCTGACCAGACTTCAAAGTCTTTCCCCAAAAAAATACCACAACTGGAAAGAGTCCTTTTACACCAACACTACCAGATTTGTTCGAGAAATGCAACAAGCTAATTTAATTTCTAAGTAATTCTCTTATTGCCTCCCTGTGCTTGGCAAACTCTTCTCCACGTAGCGTAGCTCGTTTCATGTATTCACAAAATTTCTCCTCGCTGAACGAATTAAATGTCTCTCTCGCTGAAAGAGCAAAAAAAAACAACAAATAAAAGAAAAGAAAAGAATTGTCATCGTTAAGCAGAACTTCGCCTCACGTAAGTGAATGCGGGAAATTTTTGCTTGTGAAATCTGGAATCCAGCAAATTGTTGCCGTGAAATCCGGAATCCTGGGCTCAGAGGAATCCGGAATTCCACTAACGATTAGCATCCGGGATCCAGTACATCGAATCCAGAGTCTTGCATTCCCTTACGTGGGGCGAAAAACTTATGACATTCAGCCGAAAAGAAAGCAACTTATAAAAGCGGATTCTCACTTTCAACTGCTACAAAGCCACCTAATTCACAGACAGCCATAGGTCGTTCGTCTGATTCCGCATACGAGCTCTTCACCTCGGAACCTGTCAATACAATTACATAGCAGAGTTAGCCTGCATAGCTGGTTCCATAAAGATACTAAGTTCTTCAATGTGTCTGCAACAGTATGTACTATTGTTACTATGGCACGAGACGGTTTCAGATATTCTAGCAAGAGATCTTTACTAAAGAAAAAGTGATTTGTAAAAAAATGAATCTTAAGGAGAACTTAAGAGAAACTGTGCTATTTAATCACAGTTTTCCGGTTCTGCGGAAAGAAAGACATAATCAATACGTGCTCATTCTAGTGTAAATCAGAGCAAAACGAATGCTCGAAGGTCCGAGCCATATGGAGGGAAAAACCTAAAATCGTACTTTCCAGTAAGGATATTGAACTTAGCTAATAAAAGAAGAAGAAAAAATTGTTTATGAATTAGCCTGCGAGCAGCCGCCATCACCTCGCGCGATGGGCGTTTGACGCCAAAATTTCCACCGAACTCGCCAAAGTGACCCTGCTCGCAGACTATTTATGACAGTCTTTGTACTACTCACCAGTCACAGCATTTCGAGGCCAGAGGAAGACTCTGAGGACAGACTGTTGCTTACGTTCCTTGTTAACATACCCATTTATCAGCGCTTTTGAGGTACAAGCTTCTCCACGCATAATAAGACAAGTATGTGCGACCTCGTTTTGTATAAAATAAGACGATACTTGGTTTATTTTTCTGTGAATAAAACGGCGGCCGAGATTAACAGGCGGTGCGGTCAGTTAGATCGTTCATTTTTCTAACGGTTGCGTGGTTTTGTACTAATTGTGGCAGGAATTTAGAAGTTTGCAAGGGTGTGATTTTGTGGAACGCTAGGACAACACGTTTGCTAACATGCTCGGTGAAATCGGCACTTTCAGAGACTTTACATTTCGACACCTCGGCCTTGAAGGTTCTTATGTATACATCTGAGATTTAAACATGTACATAATAAATTGCATATCATACATACAGTATGTTATAAATAGCTTTTATTCCATCATATTTGTGCAAGCATTTCAATTTTTACTTTTATTTCTTTCGCGTTTGATTGAACCTAATTATGTAATGTTTAAAATACGAACAGCAGTGTTTTTAATGTAACTGGTTAAAAATACCACTATCAAACAACAGTAAAAGCAGCCCAAACCAGGCGTGCGACGTGCGTTTGCCTCAGTACTTTGGCGTGACATTATATACATGTAGAACTTCTATTTTAACGCTTTCCGTTTCGCGTGGAAAAGAGAGTAAAAAAAAAATAATAAAACAAGAAGAAGAAGAAAAAAAGTAATAAAAGATAAACTTTGGAATTATAGCTAAGGTAATTACAATCAACTTTCTGCTCTAATCGTAGAGGGGATTAGATTCCAGTCCCTTTTGGAGTAGCCGCTATAGGGTAAAAACTGTAGCTGAAACTGTACATACATGAAAGTTTTATTTCCTCCTCTTTTTCTTAACTAACAGAAAATACGATCAGGGGATGCTATTAAACTGTGTAATGAGTTATTACAACTTTTCGCTCCTTACCTCGCTAGTAAACTAGGATTAGTGTGAGGTCCTAACTCGAAGACGAACATAGTCGTTGCATAATCTCTAACTTCAAATAGGTCTTCACAAACAGGAAAAACGTCCTACAACAATTCATCAGTGAGAGACAAAACCTCGTAATTAATGCCGGCGTACTGAAAAGGCAAACAAACAGCGGGGAGAATTAAGGGGGGTGGGGTGGGGCGGGGCGGTGAAGGCACGCATGCCCACTTTGTGGAGGGATATTACTTATAATTTATTATCCCCAGTCTCCTGAAGACAATGGAGAGAATCTCGGAACGTGGGTTGAATCTAGCCTCCTATATGTAGCTCAAAAGCCTCCACCAATATTACAAAAACAAAGAATTCTCTCTGGTGCTCCCACTCAAAAAGACATATCTTAACCCATGGGCACTTTTCTTCACAGAACGCCAGCAAATATTTCAGAGGTTGGACTTTTTGCCATGTTAATGCGTGCAGGGGATGGAATGGGAATGAAGAATGAAAGGTCCTTAAACTAACTGGCATAAATTATAGCTCATCTCGGTCATAATTATTTCCCTATGTTAAATGTTTACTTCCACAGTACGACAAAAAGAAAGCATGGAAGCCGAATAAAATGCGGCAAGGTTGTCTAATGAACTCACCACTGTCTCAAGATAAGATGGATGTTTATTGTACCACACATGGAAATGTAAATGATTCACGGAACAGTAAGCACACAGGCTGTTAAAACCCAAACGGAATCCTCTACAGAAAAAAAAAAGGAGAAACGCGTGTTAAGCGGATCACCTGTATTAAGGGGACATGAATGTCATTAAGTCCTTTGCTTTTCTTCCACAATTTCTGTTAAGAAAATCTGTGTTAAAAGGAAATCTTCACAAACTTCACAATGTTTTGATCTCATGTAATGATCATAATAAGTTATTGCTATTTTAGTTTACCTGTGGTTACTTAACATAGACGTCTCCAGCCCAAGTAATATTGCTTCTTCAGTAAGAACCTAGCAGTTTATTACAAACATACAGCAATAAGTGACAAGATGATACTGGTAAGTCCACAGAATTTGCCACCTTTCCCATCCTAATATTCAGCATGTACAAAGCTGCACACTGACATGTATGCAAACCAGAGATTATCTAAGTTAAATGGTAAAACTCTCTAATAAAAAAGCTAATGATCTGATAATAATTAATTTTATTGTCCTTGAAGCACTTAACATATTAACATGTTTAATGCATTTAGCTGTTGGTTGAATGAATCCTGTGTCCCTAGGTTTCCCAAGAAAGATCAGTAAGGTTTCTTAACTAAAAGAAGAGTTCAATTGCGTGGGGAGGAGGGGGGTAGGGAGAGCTTTACCGCATTTTTGTACATTACTGGATAAGACCCAAGTGACAATAATGCCTCAAGGTTTTTGGTTTTGGTAGCTCAATTACGGGTAGAAAATTGCACGGAGAGTTTTTCATTTCTTTTTTTTTTTTTTTTCACTTTTAGTAGTTTAGTTCTTAAGAACTCGTTTAAATACGTCTGTGTGTTCCAAATTGACTGAATCGCAAACATTTGGAAGTGCATGTTGATTTTTAAGGAGAGGGATAACCAAAGAACCTGGAGAAAAACCTCCTGAATGAAAGAAGAGAGAACTAACAACAAACTTGAACAACATATTGCATCAATGCCGGGGTTTGAACCTGGTCATAGGTGGTTAAAGACGTTTTTCTCAGTAAAGCCAAAATCAAAGCTGAAAGTACCAAAGACACTTTACAGGTACCTGTGGAAGACAGGAGTTTACACTTGGAACCAACAGAGAATGTCCATATTCCATAGGACTGACATTAATTATCATGAGATGGTGATCATCATTTGCACTGACAGCTGCAGTATCATGCGTTGGACAAAGTTCAAATAGAACCTATGGGTACAGTAAAGAAAATAAGAGATTTTTGTTAACTTTTTTTAAGGACTTATATGCCTCCATTCTTAGTACAAGGATAAGCTACCATACATGAAAAAGTTTATTCCTGGTAGATAATTGAGTAATAGCCTGGCATTTCCATGTGGTTCTACACAGCAAAGAATGAGAAACTTTTTTTTTTTAAATTTTATTTTTATTTTTAATAACATTTATTCAATCAATCAACAATCAAAAATACTTACAAACACTACGATACTTACAATACTTACAATACAATATTTAGAATACAATAGACTAAGGTACTAACTCTGTTTACAATGTAAAGACTTACAATACTCAGTACTTACAACACTTACCTACTCACTACTCACACTACAATGCACTATTTACAAGCAGTAAACGGTAAACGCACTTATATCTTAAGTGTCTTAAAGAGGCAGCGATTGTGAAGCAAAAGATACACCAGGTTAATGCTGGAGAAAATGAGCAGAGGATCGAGATATACAAATGTATACAAAATCAAAGGCTTACTGAAATAAGGAGCTCACATTTTCCCATTTTTTCGGTAAAATGGGACCTGCAGTGGTCTCTATGTGGTAGAATGATTTGAGGTATTGCAGGAAGCCTGCTATCTTTGGCGAGGTTTCCCTTCTTTTGCTAATCCAGATGTAATTTCTGGCTAGAAGGAAAAGGAAATTACCGGTAATTTGCTGGCAGTTTTTTGAAGAATCCGGCTTTAGACCACTTGAGTACAACAAATATATCTAATGTGTAATGTTCCGGTGTAATGTGGAGCAAAGTCAGCTTAAGAGATAAACTATGCCAGAAAAAGGCCACTTTAGGACAAGACCAAAAAAGATGAAGAAGTTTCTCCGGTTCATTATTACAAAAAGAACAATTTGGGTTGTCTTTTACGCCAATTTTTGTTAAGAAGTCGTTCGTTGATATTCGTCTATGTAAAAATTTACATTGGAATTCAATAATTCGTGTACTTTTAGTATATTTAACGGCCAACTGGTAGGCTTCCCGCCAATTAATTGCCTCCACATCATTTTCGTTGCAGTCTTTTAGCCATTTCTGTTGATTATGGGATGGTAACTTGCATTTTGTAGAAAGCAACTTGGTGTATACAAGTTTGCTCGCACTTTGGCATTCTGTTAATCTTACTACAAAGGTTTCATAATTGTTGCAGTTTTTGATACAGTTTGTTTTACATGTAGTCCAAAGAGATTTTAGAGCAGACACTAGTCCGAAATACTTTAAAAGACAAACTTTGAGGCTGTATTTTTGCTGCAGCTCAGCTAGTGATAAAAATTTGTTATGTTCATCTTTCAAATGTTTCACTTTCGTAACGCCTCGATCAAACCATTCACGATAGAAGACGGGACAGTTATCGATTCTAATGAGTGAGTTGTGCCATAAAGTTTGTTCAAGAAATTGTTTCTCGGACGTTACGTTTTCATCAAAATTGACTTCCGCCCAGATTGAAAGTATCTCTTTTATAAAGTTATTCTTAATCTTGAGATTCTCAATGGTATCTTTCTTGTTTAAGTTACTTAAGTCAAAGACAACTCGTTCCATTTTTGGGGCGGCCAAAACCAAAAAATCCCATTTCTTGCCGTTCCTCTGTCTTTCTTTGCTCTGAAACCACATGGAAATGCTTGCTACTCAGGCTAATTTAATAATGACAACTATGACCATACCTCTTTACTTTGCACTTTAGTGAAGTTAAATTTTTCAGGATTGAATGGTTGACTAACACTGTTCATTGGATCTGGTTTCCTTCGCTGAGTAAAACGTAACTCATTCAACTGTCAAAACAAACGGTGAAAAGATAATGATACATGTAGCTGATGAAAAAATTTATAACTTCTTGTTCGCTTTAATTTGATGCCTTTTTCTGTCTATGAAATTTCTACATTCTTCAGGGAAATGAGCTCTCTCTTTTTAGACTTGTGCAATATTAATAATATTTCGTACTTTTTAGTACACCAGTACTGGGCTGCTATGATATCATAAATCCCATACACAACATACTAATAATTATACATGAAGGCAAATTACTATCCTCCAAGACCCTTCTGAATATATAAGATTAAAAAGACCCTAAAAAATAATAACAACACCATAAGACACTAGCTAACCAACAATAGTCTCTGCAACACCATTGAAGAAAGAGCTGAGGTATGTAATATCGGGTAAATAGGAGAGTTGACTGTAGCTGATATCTTACAATCCCTTCAATTTTTGTTTTTGTTTTGTTTGTTGTATGGTTATTTATGACAATGGGTAAACTACTTGAACTTAATGTAAAACTGACCCATAACAAATATACATGTGGGCCATAATATTCCAAAGATTTTGAAAATCATCACTCAAAAATAGACAAGATCATTGAAAACTCATTTTACCTGGATGTACAAGAAAAATTTCCCAGGTGCCATCCTTCCTTCAATTTTATCAAGTCTGTATTTAAAGTATCCAGCATCTGCTGCAGCATTCCATGTTTCAGAAAGTTCTTTGTCAAACTGAAATTTAAAAGAAAATCAGCCACGTATTTCAACTAAAGACACAGCATTATTCACAAATAAAATTTATAACAACCAGAAGTAAATAAGCAAAATATAATGATAATATTGAATTTTAATTTTTAAAATTGTATTTCAATTATCATTTTCAAGCATAAAGCCAATTATCTCTGACAATAATGTTGTACATCATAATTATGTATGATGATAAACTTGAAACAATTTCAAGAGTAATAACTTTTCCATAATCAAAAATTTAGGTAGGAACAGACTATTTCCAACACTATGTGTGGATAGAATAATAGTTGTATGTAGAACCCAATAAATTACGCTTCATGTGACTCATGAATTTTATCACCAAGCAGGCAATGTACATAATTTTATATCAATCAAGCAAATCCTGTGTTGTGATTGGCTAACCAAGCAGGCATTGTTAAGCCTATCTTATATATATATTTTTTTGCCAAAAATAGTTCCTTTATTTCCCAGCCTTGCTCTGTCAATAACTTGGCCAGTATCTAGCTGTATTAATCTCAATCTAAGTCACAATGGACCAAGCTATGATCTTTTAATCCCCACTTTTTGTAAACAAAACAATGTTAACTATCACTTCTCTATATCTTAGCTTATTTTTTGCCTCAGTAACATAAGGCTAAGTGTGCGGTGTTGGTCATCACAGCTCTAACAAAATAGGTCAAATTTTGTCATTGTGCATCATGCTTGCACAATAATCGGGCATAAGAAGCTGATGAACATGCTTTGAGCCTGAATTCCATTGATCATGCATAGATAGTGCCCTAGTGGTGCCTTTATTGAGCCTTAACTGTGCTTTCATCGGGTGTTTATCAAATAATAGTCAATCGTATTACCTAAAGTAAAAACTATGGTGTTGAAAAGAAAGAGAATGAATAACAATAAACTGGAATATTTAAGCTTGTAAGAAAGTCAGTTTTGTATCAACAAAGCATTTTCAACCACACTAATCAGTAATGTGGTTGAATTTACCAGCCCAGCATACTAAGTAGTTTCAGAGACATACTCCCTTCAAAGCTCCAAATTTTCAAAGACTGTCTGGCCTGGCAATCTGGCAGTTTTCGACTGCTGCTATATTTCCTCAGATATTCAGCTCGCAAAAATTCCTCCAGTTGATTGAAGTTAGTTTGCATATTTATACACTGTACAAATGAGCAAAAATGTGAACAGTGGAGTTTGCAAACCAAGCTCAGATATTTTTTTGCTTTGTACAGCACTGGGATTCAGGTTACTTTTAACGTTAATTACCTTGCTCAAGTAAAGTCCATTTTGTGTTGTATTATTACTGCAATGATAGCTTGGCCATTGAAAATCTTCACAAGTATAGAAGAATTGCCTTCCAGATGATATTCTCTTTGCAGAGGACATAAAAGCGGTTTGTTGGCTTACTACTTTTGATCGGAGACCTGCAATCTAGAGAATCACATGTAATAAATGATTATGCTCTTACATTAACACAAAAACTGTTGTCAAATTAATTCTTACACCAAGGCTGGGCTACCTGTTACTACATTTGTATACTATTAGGAATCACTCATTACTGACTTACATGTAGGCTTCATGTATTTTCTTCCTTTTTCTTAAAAAACATACGTTTACGTTTACGTTTAATTAATCAATTCCTGGAAGAAAAAAATACACAAGAACAGCCAAAGCCGGGGGCTTAAATGGCCATAAGAAATATGTACTTGTACTTTTGGTTGTCTACAATTCAAAGGCTTAGCTAGAAATTCATCGCACAGATTTGAACGCCATCAAAACGAAACTGAAATAAGTCATAAACAACTATCGCAGCTATCACGATGACATAAGCTTATTCTCAACATTACAGTGACTCTACATGCATGTAAATTAAATACAACCAATGCTAACGTAATGCTAAGTTCCGTCGGTATTAGGCCATGACTGGCCAAGGAAGCCTTCGAGCAGGCTTTCTGGTGTGAACAGGCTTAATTCGTTACGAAACCAGCCCAAACCTAGAAAAAGGCCCAACACAAAAGCCTCTTCTCAGGTGGAATGGTAGTGAATAATACAATGTAAGATTCGAGGCCCATATACACGGGATTTTCGCTTAAGCTTAAGCTTGATGCAAGTGTAAGAATTAAAAAATTATTGACACCCACAACAATGGTTTCCGCAACACCCAAATTACTTGAAAAAAAAACTGAAAAGAAAAATATTAAAGTAAGTATAACATTACCTTATTCAAACTGTGAAGCCCTATTACGTAAAGAATATCGCATTTTCTACAAAGAAAACCGGCGAAACCTTCCAAGCATAACATTAAGCCACCCCAGGCGATGGGTGCACGGTCACTAAGCTATGTCACAGGACTCTCAAGCCACTACTTGCACAGGTCGGAAATCGCCTAGCACTCTGCAGGCTCAAAGGCTATCGTTCCTCTACCTTTTCCAATTTCTGGTACCCTGCAAGCAGTGGTTTCTCCAGGCCGGACACTACGCTACGAAGGGAGAGAAACCACTGCGAGCATCCGTCTGCTTCTTTGATCGAACCACCGTCCAGCGCTATGGACGAATAAATTAAATTTATGTAAATCCTGTTTGAAAGCAAGTTTAGGCTCTCGCATTTGCTTACGCTTACGATTGCTACCTTAACGCGAACCTGCTGTGGATATTCAGTATTTCTTTGGATTATTTATTCCTATCTGCTTACTTTGTCAAATGTAGGCGAACCCAAATGGAGTTGAATTCCAAGGGACCATATCCAAGTTCAAGAGCGAAAAGAAGAATAAATTTCGTCGTTGCTTGTTTACGTTATCCATAAAACGCAAAATTAGGCATCTTCACGTCGTAGTCGTATCGTGCAAAAATGGCAAAGAAATGTAAAAATAAAAGCGTGATGCACGTGCAAAGTTGTTGTTTTGCTTATTAAACCTATTGTTTTGTTGAAGTTCTCCCTGCCGTCTTGTCGTTGGATATTCGTAGTCATTTCCTGGACGCGCATGCTCGATGGAAATGCAAACGGTTGCTCGCAGTGGTTTCTTTCCCATCGAAGCGTAGCGTCCGGCCTGGAGAAAACACTGCTCGCAGGGTAAATTTCTGGTTATAGCGTCGGAAAAGAAAACAAGATAATTGGGCTGTGTATAAAAGTGGGACGGGGACAAGGGGACGGGAACATCGGGACGCATGTGTGGGGACTTGGGACTTAGGGACGCGAGACGAGGGAATTGAGGACATCAAGTATGAGACGCGGGGACGTGTGGGACGGGGACGCGGGGACGTCAAACACAGGGACGTAGGGGACGCGGGATGTGAATAATTATTGCAAAAGTCGCAGGTAAATGCGATATCAGTCACTTTCCTCGTGAATATGTCTTGGTGAAGGCAGCACACCCTGCCCTCTTAAGGGTTCCTTCATGCCTGTTTACGAAGCGAAGACTCGGGGAAGACCCCCTATATTAAATTGCTAGTCTTGCATTGAAGAAAGTGAGACTGTTGTCCTGACGGTCTTCTTGCTGGTGGAATATTGGAGCCCAAAGCAAGGTAGGGTGGGTTGCGGTCGCCAAAATTTTAGTAGAATAACAGCATTCGATTCCAAATAAATAAAAAATTGTGCCATAAGCGAGCTTCGAACCCCGCGGTGCTAGCTCCGAAATCCATCCCCTGTACCACTAATCCACGGGGGATTCAGCTATTGTAGCAATATTTATTTTGATATTTTGTTCTACATATTTGTAGTGGCAAACCTAACAGTAAATGCTTGCTAACAGTACTTAAAGGTTGATTTCCACTGACGCGTTTTTGGCTATGCACGTTAACGCAAGTAAATTTTAATCACGTAAAAAAGGCCAAATAACATAGAGAAGATATAAATTGTTGAGATTAAACGTGATTAGATGTAACGTTGCCTTCACCAAGACATATTCACGAGGAAAGTGACTGATATCGCATTTACCTCCGACTTTTGCAGTAATTATTCACATCCCGTGTCCTCTGCGTCACTGTGTCTGACGTCTCCGCGTCCCCGCGTCCCATACTTGATGTTCTCAAGTCCCTCGTCTCGCGTCCCTAAGTCCCAAGTCCCCATGCACACGTGTCCGAAGTCCCCGTCCCACTTTCATACACAGCTTAAAAATACGGCTGACCCTCACTGGTTTGTCGCTGTGGTTTTGCCTTCACAAGTGTTTCTTTATCAACAGGCAACCCAGGAGTGCTTTTTGAGAATAATTATAGATCGAAAAAAATAAATAAATAAAGTTAGCCCGGTGGATACTCAACAAATATGCTATACGGGAAGGCTACACCCCGATGTCCAACTCCTCAGTTACCCTTTTTGGCAGAAAAGATACCACGTTTTGTGTCTTCATTTTAAACTGGCACCCTTTCAAATAGCTACTTACGAAAACTGCATCCCTTGTCTAAACCCTTGGAATGAATTTTTGATATACCTGAAGCCTGAAACAAGTACCCCTTTCGGGCGGAGCATCCCGGTATAGGTCGTTGTAGGGAATACCCCAACCCTCTCCCCCTGCTGGGGGTCGAAGGAGGATCGGAGTCGACTTTATTCGACTGAAGAGGAGTCAAAATATATGTAGTAATAAACCCAAATAAATATTCCTTTACTATTATGCAATTGCCTATTTGTTTTTCCTGGCCGGTTTAATTGACATTTTTCTTGACTTTGTCGGTTTTGCACTTGGAGTTAGAGGCATTATTCAGTGAGTATATTCATCTAAAGATATGTGAGCTTTGTTTTGGAAAGTTTTCGTTTTAGGCTCTATTTAGTCCGTTTGGGCTTTTTTTGGAATTAGCAGCTCATTGGAGCGTCGAATTGGATTAGATAAATTGGATGAGAAACAGAGTAAAATTAACCAAGGAAAATCAATTAATTTATTATCTGGAATTGATTTTAAACATGGTCCAACTTGGATAATAAAAAGTTAACTGATCTTGCGGTTTTCAAGATCCTGAAATATCTCTGAGACAGTGGTCCTAGATTCTTTAAAGCGGGGTGAGGTGGTTTCCAAGAAGTTGACGAAAGCCTCCCTCCTTTCTTCGCATGAACATTCGTAAAGCAAAGTCGTTTGTTATTAAGAGGTAGGTTAAAGCTTTGTTCAGACTATACCGGATGGCTTTTGAGTCGGCACGAAACCCACACCGGGTAGGGTTTCTATTCACACAAAAGAACATTGATTTCGGCGCGATTTCTGTAAGGGTTGATTTCCAGTGTCGCCTAAATTCTACATAACTACGTGCGTAACATTTACGTTCGCTAACAAAATAGAGGCAATGCATGAAAGGTCGCTCGTAAGCGTAAAAGTTGAACCTCTCTCTACTTCTCGTTTCGAAGCTCAGCACTTTTTATCTTGCTTCTATTTTATTTACGTGAAAAAAATTTACGTGCGTCAACGTGCGTGGCTGTGCGTAGCCAAAAACGCGTCAGTGAAAATCAGCCTTAACAGAGCAATGCTGGGCCGCGCGTATCTCTAAAGTGGAGAGTCACATATCGGAAAGGTGTTTACACTATACTTATAGCTTTTCGTGTCAGCACCAAAAGCTATCCGGTAGTTTGCAAACAGAATTTCCAGACTTCCCATGTAAATGGTGAGTACTCTAGATCTCTGGTTTACAACTTCTTTATTGGTGTACAATCTCAAGTACGTCTAAAATTAAAAGAACAAAGCACCAAAATAGTTAATATTTCATGCCACAACAATTTATCGGATCAACTCAATCATTATTGTGGTATACGAGACAACCTACCGAGTCCCCATTTTGCTCGAACTAGAATACATTTGAAGGCTACTGTGTAGTACGTAGGCAACTGTCGACCTTGATACTACTACGATACTGCACGAGGTACATCGAACAAAAGAATAATCCAGAACCCCTCTAATAACCCTCTTGTTTTGAAGTCTCCTGAGTCCCTTCTGTACCCATGCAGTCTCCCTCGAACTCTTTTACCCATCCTGTCATACCCGTTTTCGCCTCACACAGGTTAGCTCGTTCGAGAAGCACTGAGCCTTCTTTCAAAAAACATTTCTCCTCAGTTTGTACGTTTGCTTGTTTACAGCGGACGTTTATCCTTGATTATCAGGTCGCATTCTTGACGGACAATAATTCTCGTATCGCCTCCTTATGTCTGATGAACACTTCTTCTGCTAGCGAAGCTCGACTTAAGTAGGCACAAAAATCCTCTTCGGTAAATGAATCATATTTTTCTTTTGCTGAAAGATGTTAAAAAGCAAAATACATGTAAATAGCTCTTCCTTTTAGCATTCAGTTTCATTATTATAGTTTCCAATTTCAACAAAAAATAGACAACCATAGCCTGCGAATCCAGTCGTCTCTAGCTTACTCCTCGCCGCTTTTTGGTTCAGAAACGCAGACGTCTCTCTTGCGAAACATCCCTACTGGCGAGGAAAGACCGCTGTATTCGCAGGCTAAAACAACCGGAGCGAGTTTCATGACGATACGGTCAAACTTGAAAAAAAAAAATGCCTTGTACATTCTCGAACTATAACTTTAGGAGGGTGTTAAATGACCAAGAAAAAAATAAGGGGTCTTCTTTTTTTTCCATGGATGTTCCGAGTAGACAAAGAAGTAACATTTTACGGGGATTTTCTTGAAGGTTTAAGTAGAAATGTCTTACTATCGATTGCCAAAGAGCCAGCAAACTCGTACACAGCAATAGGTCGCCTCTCAGACTGATAGGAACTTAAGTCTTTGGCACCTGTTGAACAAAACAACAATGTAGGTTACAAACACAACTGTGAATCGATCGGAGGGTAACTAATCAAGTGCCTCAAGTCACGCGAGGCGTTTTGTAAGAACCCTGGAGTTACGGTCACCCGAAATTTAGCATTGTTACGTAGCCCCTTAATTTTGAGGGAACTTAAAGTCGTTATAAAAACGCAGTGAGGCAATAACTTCCAAGCCGTGTAAGGTAAAATCTTTAAAAAACCAAGACCTTTCCCATATTACCGTGAACAAAGGCACTAGCTTGAGGCCCGGTGATATATAGGCGTTTGCAGAAAATCGTCCACCCAAACCAAAATCTGGTTTTACTGTGTACGCTCACTGGAGCGGAAAGCAAGAAGGTCTTTGACGGGCGAAATAATCCAAAACGAGAAACCTTAGAGCGACTTGACCGAAAAGTGATCAGCTGAGAGGTTTTTCCTACCATGAACAGGGTTTCTTGGCCACAGGAACACTCTAAGAACTGAATATCGCTGGCCGTCTTCTTGACGCACAGCTCCATTTATTTGGGGGTTTGAATAACATCTCGTTCCTCGCATAATGTGAAAGTTGTGGGCTATCTCATTCTCTATGAAATACGACGTGACCTTGTGTATTTTCCTAAAAAAAGATCGTATAACAGATAATTATTATACAATTTAATGCTGACCGAAATCGACGCCCTCCTTGTCTGCCTACATACAATGTAAAGTAATCCAAGACAGTCTTGGATTCTGGATTCCACGCCGTGGATTCCGCATTCGAAGTACTGGATTCTAGTCTTTGTCAGTGGAACCTGGATTCTGAATTCCAATCGTTAGTGGGATTCCGGATTCCTTGAACTGTATTCCGGATTCCAAAGCCAAGGATTTCGGATTCCACAAGCAAATTTTTTCCGGATTCCACAGCCAACAATTTCCCGGATTCCAGAATCCGGATTACCTAATATGGGGCGATCCTTGTGACCACTAAGCGACCACTTTCGTAAGCGACCAGCTCTAGTTAGAAGGAAGGGAGAAGGGGTACACCTCCTAAAGGTCCCGCCCTTTCTTTTCGTAGCTTCTTCTCTTTAGCGGCCCTTTTTTAATTGCGAAATATTGAGCATTGTTGGGTAATTTACCCCAATTTCTCTTGCTTCACACCTAGTTTCCTCTGGTTGAATTTTGGTGAATTTCGTGACACAGCTGATCTAATGTACAACCAAACCTTTAAAAGGAGTAGTTTGTAAGAATTACACTTTTGTCCAAAACTACCTCAGAAGCTTCTTGAAAGTTACAAACAAATCACTTCAAATTGTTACATAGACACCCTTCTTGTAGCCTCAAATAATACTAGAACTTTGTGAGCAATTTTTTTTTATAAAGTACCTTGCCAGAGAGCATACGTCAGTTTCTGGTGCCAGCTCAAAAACAAATGCATTTGTTGGATAATTCCTGACCTCAAACACATCTTTACAAATGGGACTGACCTCCTGTTTATCCGAGAAAATGAATAAATACTGTTAATTATAACAAGAGCCCGGCCCCCAAAGCTACTACAGTACCTGCTTTGACCACTGAGAGTCATATTGTTGAGAATTGTTTTTATGTATTTTTAGATTCATTTCTCTTCCTGTGAAATTTACTGTATTCACAAACAAACATCTGCACAATCCAAAACGTCAGTCAACCTTTCAGTAGTACGCACAATCCAATACGTCATTCGACCTTCTCAGTAGTAAAGATTGAGGCTTCTTCGTCCTTACTTCCAATGTTCTTCAGCTCAGTTACACCCTCTTCGCTCGACATTTTGTTGATCTCATAGGTCATTCAGCTAGATCCTTCCAGCTGCAATTGGCTGAGAAAATTTGGCGCAGAAGATAAATCTATAAACAGTCTGAACGTCATAGTGTAACCAAGGTTTCACGATATATATGAGATGGGCGCTCCACATTTAACAGAACAACTGGCAATTCTGTTAATTTTTTTTCTTTTTTCTTTTATGAAGTAAGAGTTTTATGATGTGCCACGTGAGGCAATTTTAAGTGTGTGTATATCGTCCATTACAAATGCACATGGGCAACTCACTGCTGACTCGAGATAAGAAGGATACTGGCTGTACCAAGTGTGAAAATGAAGATGATTCACTGAGGCATGTGCACAAAGGCTGTTGAAACCAACATGAAATCCTCTACAACAAAAGCAGATACACACATTTTTAATAAATACATAAACAAGCACACAAATAATATACTAATTACAGCCTCCTGTCTTTATCTAGCCTGCCGAGGCTAGGCGCTTTTATTTTAACGAAAGCGCGATACAAAATACGCCTGCCTTGTAGGCTAGTCTTAATCTACCTGGAACAAATTAGTTTGACAAGAGTGGGACTTGAACTTGAGGTGTCATTTGTTTGGAAGAAAAATGAGATAATGATTGGAGATAGTTTTGTTTAAAGATGACATGGTTCCATTGTCCATATTACAGAAAATTAAAGATATTCACTCTTTCATTCCCAGAGTTAATGATTATGAAAACAGGTAAATCAGACGTATTTAGTTCTAAATTTCAATCATGTGGACAATATGTGGTGTGACCATTAAAAATGAAACCTCTCTGGCGGTACTTTGTCAGAATTTTATAAGACAAAATCTACATCAATAAGAATTGGTGCATGCTTGGCGTGCGTATAACGAATTACGTATGCACGAGGGAAATATTGAGAACACTTGAAACGTGCTGGGATGCCGAGAGCAAATCAAGCTCCTTGAGTGCTCTCCAAACTCCCCAGGTAAACGTTTTATTGGCTGGCCACACAATCGTCTAGACAAAAAGATCTAACATTTCGTCTTTGATTGAAAATCTTTAGTAGTACCCAGACCCTTGCATCACGGCTGGTTGGCTCGACCGCACTCGTTTTCTGGCGGAAACTTTCGAAAAAAGCTTAATTTGTTTTTAAAAAGACTGGTCCAACTGGCCAGTTTTGACATAGAGCGCCCTGAGGGTGCGGTTATAACACTTTAATTATAAAAAAAAATACGCTTTGTACGTTCTAAGGACGGGTCGGTATTTGGAAACAACACTTTAATCCGGGACTTTAATAACTGTATTTATATAGTTAATATCTTGTAACACAGGGTTTTGCTAAAATTAAACTTCGGACTATGAGCTGTCTATATAGTAACTACATAGGTTTCAGGATTTACTTAAACTTCTGTTACGTCGCTTGAGTAGCAATTCCTTGGTCCTCGACAATTTGCCTTGACATTTTCATTTGTTTATTTTTCAATGTTTTTCCTTCTTTGCAGGCTATCCTATCCGCCCAAATGAGCATGCTGCGCAGCCATTTTTTTTCGTGTCCGTCACGAAACGTTCCTCCTTTTGTGGGAAGGAGCGTTGCGTGATGACACCAAAAGACATGCTGCGCATGACAGCCTACTGTTTACTACACGAAGTCATTTCCCTGTTCCCCGACTTGGGTCTGCCCAGTCGCGACTTGATGAATTTCTTTCCCGTGTTAGGCCGTGCCTATCCCTTACTGAGCGTTTTAACAGTTTGTCAAATCGAATCCAAACGATAAACATGGAAGATTTAGAACCAATCCGTGTAGCTGAACAGAGCTCTTTCTGTGTGGAATTGCTGAGGCGACTAAACATGCAACGCGGAGAAACCTATTTGTGCGACATCACCTTAGTGGCGAAAGAAGGAACGGAATTCAGAGCCCACAAAAATGTACTATCGGCGGTAAGTCCGTTTTTTGTGAAGCTCCTCAAGACTGACATGAAGGAAAAAGAAGAAGGAGTCATTCGATTTGAAGAAATTTCGGAGTCTATCCTGGCAGATGTTTTGGACTTCGTCTACACTGGAAGCATTAAAATGAAAGATGAAGAAACTGCCAAAGAACTGATCTTCGCAGCGGAATATTTACTTCTTGTGAGTTTGAAAACCAGGGCCGGAAGGTTTCTAGAGAAACAACTGACTAGTACAAATTGCATCTCAACTCTTCGCTTCGCTCAAAAATATAGATGTGACGAACTTGTCGATAAATGCACGAAGTTTATACACAACAATTTCGCTTCGGTAGCTGAATCTGACGAATTTTTAAAGTTGGAAGCCGAAGAGGTTGAAAAGTGGATTTCAAGTGAAAACATTTGTGTTCCAGATGAAGAAGACGTGTTCAGAATCATATTAAAGTGGATTGAACAAGACAAAAGTGAGCGAAAAGCCGAATTTGAGCGGCTCTTTCGTCACATTCGACTGGCATCATTGTCGCGTGACTATTTGCTGAATGTCGTGACCAACGAACTGGTTGTAGAAAATGTTTCTTGTTCAAGGCAAGTTGTGGATGCTATAAAGTTAGTTATTACTGCAAGCGAAGATACTCTGGTGCAGTCGGCAAGAAGAATTGAAACCCACGCCATTGTGGTTCGTGGGGGAAATCACTCGTACTGTTACCTCCCTGAAAAAGACACGTGGAAACTATTGGCAGGTGGATTTTCAGAAGACCGAAACCATACCACACAGCTTATAAGATGCCGAAATCAGGTCTACAGCTTTCCTAACGCGTTCTATGCTGACACTGAAAGATACGATCCTGCTTTTGACAGCTGGGCTAAAATCAAGCTCTCCCCTGGCGGTGATGATTGCTCCTTTGCAGTCCTTGGAGGAAAAATCTATGTTATCTGCCGCCCCGATCGACGCAGCTCACCTGTTATTAAAAGATATGATGAGGAATTGTGTGCCTGGCAAACTGTTCGATCTTCTCCTGACGTTCTATACAGCCGAACTTATTCATGTGTTGTCACCTCTGGCAACTGTCTGTATGTTCTTGGGTGTGGATATTTTAGTAAAGCTGGCAGATACGACACTGTGACGAGCAAATGGGAGAAAATTGCACCCATGCAAGTTATAGAAAGTAGTCCTTTCGGTGTCGCATCTCAAGGGAAGATTTTCGCTACAGGATTGGTTAAAAGTTCGCTTTCTGCATGTGAAGTGTACAATGTTGCTAGAAATGAATGGCACACTATCGCAAGCTTGAATACTAGACGTGTTTCGGGTAGTATGGTATGTGTTAACGGAACGCTTTATGTACTGGGTGGTTTAAATGATATATCGTCAAAGCCCGAGCTCGCAGTTGAAAGCTATGATCCCAAAGTGAACAAGTGGATCCAGAGGACCTCCATACCTCGATACAGTAGCTCTGAGGAAGACAAACATTCATTTCAAGCCTGTACAATAAAATTTTCCAAAGGAGTGCTTGGAAAACTATATAGCATTCATTAAACTAATTAACTCAAAACATTCTAGCTGATCAGCAAATTCAGACAAAGCTTTTGAGGCCGGTAAGATTTTTAGGCCAAAAGGGATCGTGTACAAATGTTCCTGAATGTACTTGTACGCTTGGGTCATCTACATATTATTTTCCGTATCGGAGACTGGCAGTCAAAGAAAGAGAAAAGAAGTCTGACATTCGATGTTGAGAAGATTTAGGCCCTTCCAGTGGAAGCTCCTTTAGAGTCCATCTACAAATTCAGATCGTTTCGGGTTGAAGATGACAGAGATGACAAAGAACTGATTATCATAGGGGAATATTTACTACTCGTTAGTTTGAAAAACCAGTTGCGCGCGAATTATACAGCCTTATCATGAGCGGTTCCAAAGTTATAGATGGGGAGACTTTGAACTCCCCGCCCCCCACCCCCTCACCCGTCTCAGCCCAAAAACGCCCGGTCTTAATAGGTAAAAAATGATGCTTGCGGTAGTAAAATTGTAAACCTACCGCAAAATAAGCTATCAGAACAGTTTATTGTGTTGGATTTAAAGAATGCATCTCTTACTTCGATAGAACTAAGTGCGTTTAAGTGGCAGTGTCCTGCGTTTCCGTACTTAGGGCGAAAATTAGATGAGATCCCTAATGAAAATCTGTAAGAAAGGGCAACAGAGCTCTCGAACGAATAAAAAGTTTGAAAACTAAAACATTCGTAAAAACGCCTGGAGCAAGAATCCAGGAAAGTTGACGTAGTTCAATTCTTTTAATAGCGTGCTCACAGAACAAAAATCGCAAAAATCGCAAAAATCCGCACTGAATAAGGGGAAAACGTCTGTGGACGGCTTTCAGTGACAACATCACTTAGCCTGCCTATCATCTTACCCCAGGAGCCGATTACGGCTCCTGTCTTACACTATACTTTGCATTTCTTTCCAAATGATAACAGAAGACCTCGCTACAGTTGTTTTTACAAATAATGAATTTATGATTTTTTTTTGCTAATTTCTCTCCACGGATTATTCGGTTCACAACGAATATAACGTATTTAAAAAGACAGGTTCACGGTTCAGCGCATGCTCATTTATCAAAATGCTGTTTTTCTGCTGTGACATGCTGTATCGTCTATGCAAGCAATATCATCATGACATAATGTTGTCAAAAAAACCAATCTGCACACTCCCCTAGCAGTCACTTGCACTTGATCAACTTAAATATTTGCAAACTGTAGCTGTAAATTAATCAACCATGGAATAAAACCTTCGGGTCAACAATAAATTCAACGTTGGTGGTGTTGGCATAATCCACTAAATTTTTTCTGCGATTTTAGTACTCCTCCATCCTACTTCAGGTTACCCTGAAACACACTTCTAATGTAAAATACACTCTGAGATCGCTGAGATACATGCGAGTGGGATTATTAACCGATAGAATTAATAATGCATTGGAAAAAAGTAATTTAATTAACGAGCATGCGCTTAACCGTGAACCTGTCCCTTTAACTCGAAAAAAAGGAAGAAATCTTGCCATTGGATGTTCGCTGACACAGACAAATTTGTGGCCTTTACTTCCAGCTCAATGTCAGTATTTTATTCTCTGTTCTTCTCTTTTCTTCAGGTCTATTAAACAATACTGCCTCTGGGAAATTTGCCAAACGCACTGTCTCAAGCTAATTCATTTTCACCGCTTTTTCCTTTTGATAGAGTGGCTCGAAGGTCAATTCCCACAAAGTGATAAAGTTCTTCAATACATACTTTAGTCCATTATTAGGAGACTGTAATGCCTAATCCCTGTCCGGCGTCTTCCCGGGCCTTCTCGTTAAATGCATTTCGGTGAAGTATCCGAGACGAACGGCCGGGAGACGCCTCAAAAACTCGCTTGAACCACGTGACCCGAAACTCATAAGCCGCACGCTGGCCGCGCGGAATAACGAGGCCAAGGAACTTACCGATGGAAACACTTGGTTCTAAAAATAGGACGGGCATGGAAAAGAATACAAGTAAAGGCTAATTCTAGTTAACTGCCAATTGGCACAACCCTTAGGAATATGTGGTGTCGTACTTAACAAAAATAAGTTACCGAAGTATCAGTTATACGAACTTACACAGTTCGTAAAGTATTTCATTAAAACATCTTCATATACACAGGTGTACAGTCAGCCTTGTCACAAACCCAGATACGACAGATAGATTTGAGTAAAATACGGCAATAGCATAAATCCAAAACAGTTCTTGTTTACATGTACGGTGTACGTGGTGTTCGTGGAGTACGTGATCATGACTCACGAATGAATTTCCTCTGTCGTGCAATTTTTACGTCCGTAAATAAATAAGAGGCAATGTATGTAAAAGGTCGCACGTAAATGTAAAAGTTGAACCTGGTACGCACGTTTGACGTGACAGTGGAAATCCACCCTAAGGGACGAAAGGCCGCGTATAAATACACACGGCCGTTCCTATAAAGAGATTTCTACCCTGGTGGCTCAATAGGGATAATTTAAGGCCAGAAGGCAACTAAATATATATGTACCTGTGGTTACTGAGTAGAGATGTTTCCAAAGCCAACAGTATTGATTCCTCTGTTAGGACCTTATAACATATCCACACACAACTGTCAGTGGTGCAATAATAAACCCTTCAAAAAATTTCCATTCCCAAGAATCTCAATTTTTCCCGATACGAGAGATAAAACATTGAAATTTAAGCGAAGAAACAAAAGTACTAGTCTCCCATCATACAAAGTTTTTAATTTTTTTTTCATGGCCAATATCATAGCCCAAGAACAAAAAGTTAAACTTAAAAGCCACTTTCTTTATCTCATAAGTTCTAATTTGCTCAATGTACATGTATGCATAGCTTTTTTGCCATAACATTTTTTTTTTCAACAACGTTTACCTTCTTTGGCAAAATTCCACAAGGGAAGTTTTTGCCTGGAAATGTTTCAAAAGACCTAGTACTCATTGTAAGATCCGGTGAGTATACTCTTTGTGAATCATTCCCTACTTTACCTCGTTTATCAATGTTAGATATTTACAGTGCACAAGCGAAAGTTGTGTAAAATATGTCTTAATCTCCCACCTAAATGTTCTTTAGCTTGCTATGATGCCTACAGTTAAAAGCCTGTGAGTATAAGAACCTGCATTTTCCCAAGTTAACCTAAACAACGTCTTACATAAATGGTATTTACATATAACACAAATTTAGGCTATTTAGGTTCTTAAATAGGTTCTTATTCTCAGAAGGAAAAAATACAGTGTAGCTAAGAGTATATAGGAGGAATTCAGCTTATTCCTTATATAAAATCTGCATACCATTACATCGCAGTTGGAGTGATAAGACACCAGCTGGAATGTCTCCAAAGAGGATGCTGAAATGTGACTTTTAAGTGAACGGAATTTTTTATAGATTTTCAAAAAAGTTAATGAAGACCTGTTTCAAATTTTAGGCACAATGGGTTCTTATTTAGAAGGCGCCTAACTGGCAAAGTTTAGCCTAACAGGTTTTTTAAAAACCAGGTTCTTACTTCAACCTCTGCAGGCATTTTCACAGACTATGGCCAGCAAGAAAAATTTGATGCATTACATTCTTACCACAAAAATAAGATATCATTGTGGGCTGTTTTCACATTTGATTCACAAATAACCAAGCTGGGACATCTGTGTAAATGTAAAGTTATAAACTAAGTTATTTGTCATACCTGTGGGAGGCATTTATTTACAGCTGGAGCTAACAAACAATGTCCATATTCCAAAGGACTGATATTTATTATCATAAGGTTATGTTCATCTCTTGACAATCTGTGATGTGGGCACAGTTCAAACAAAACCTGTGTGAAAAACACAATGTTATAAGACTGCCATATTTTTTTTGGCCTATAGCCAAAATTTTTCATTTTTCACTTTATAACAGAAACAGTGTGAGTGTGTTGTACCCATTTGTCCCATGCAGGTAAATGGCTGAATGTTTCCAAATACAACAGGAGTGTGAACAAGTGGTATTTGCTATACTTTAGAAGCCTGTTTGATTAATTTGGGGCTGCCTAAAAGCAATTAAATAGTTTTTAGGCAGCCCCAGGTAAATTTGATCTCTTTGGATGTCTTAGCCCTGGGGAACTTTAATCATCTTGAAAGTTTTGGGTAGCATCATCATCTCATCCAAAATTTTTTGCTACCCTGAAGGGTCTGGTTGAAAGTTAGAATTTCGGTAGAATTTTCTAGGGAACGTTTTCTCTTTATACCAAAATTTTTCAAGAGACCTTTTTGAGCAATAATCACAATATCTTGGTAATAAAATGTGAAAAAACATTCCATCCTCTGAAAATCTTAGGAAAGTAAGATAAGGATTAGAAATCTTGGACAAGTACAGTGTAGAACAGTCGTTCAGAAATTTGGAGCCTTTCTCAAGCTTTAATAAATTCTAGGCAACTTTTTCTCCTCTGAACAGATATTTTACAAAAAATGTTGTTGGGTGCCCCTGCATTGTCACAGAACTTTCCTTTTACATGGTGCACCTCTTAACTATTAATAGTACCTACTAAAAAAATGACAGGCCAAATAACACTGGTAAAAATGGCTGAAGAAGCTCAACAAGCACAAGGTCAAAAACACATCAATCACTGACAAACAAAGTGTTACTAATAGTTGCACACAGCAAATCAACTCCACAGCATGATGAAGACCAACAGTAAGCGGTTAAAAGTCATTGAGTGCAACAAAAGTCAAACTAACCCTATCAAACAAACATATGGTATTACCTCTTTACTCTTTACTTTAGTGAAGTTAAATTTGTCTGGGTTAAAAGGTTGAGACACACTGCTCATTACTTGAGGCTGTCTTCGCTTGTTGAATCTCATTTCATTGTGCTATGTAAGAGAAATAATATCATTAATTTGAACTGTATTTTAAGCTTTACACTTGTTTCAAGAATCCCAATAAGACTCGCGTTCTTATTTTCCTTTGTTATAAGATTTTTTTTTCAAGTACAAGGGTGCCCAAGGTTGAGTAGGATGGGAAAGTTAGAGTCTGTTTGAGAATAGGCTTTTCCATTTTGTTTGAGGGCAGGTCCTGTGCTCAGAGTACACTGGTGCCAGCACTTGAGTCCTGGCTTGTTATGAAACCCCTGACGAAGACTAATCTCAAGAATAAGAACATAATATCAGGCTACCCTATTTCAGCCTTTTATTTACTGGTATGGGGTTTGTATGTGAATTGAACATATAGCAGATTGTTCAGTTAATTGCTACAAAGTCTGGTGGTTAGCATATTCTGCCTTCAATATCCTACTATCCAGTCTCCCAAATTTTTTCTTGTGATAACAGACTATGCCTGCTAACTTTTCCCTAGTTAAAGGCATGAAACACGTCTCATGACAAAAAATACTGAAGATTTTCATGGCTCCAGAAAACCTTCCGAGGGTGTTAAGAAAATTTTTTAAGTTCTCCTAAACAGTAATGTGACATGTATCAAGTCAGACTTCATGAACAGACTGGAAACTCAAAATAAGAATGCTAGCATCATATACATAATTTGTACACATACTCATCACACGAAAGTTGACCTTCCTTGACAAACTGGAGTTGCCTAAACTTTTCAGCCAGTAATGAAAATTGACTCTTAACTATGAGTTGGCAAAACTACTTTAAGTGCTACTTTCTCTCCTGCTTGGCATATACATGACTTCTAATGTTATCCCTTTATATATGTGTGGAGGTGTGTGTTGCCGAGTGGTTAACACCTCTAACTCCCGATCTGCAGGTCTGCGCTTCAAGCCTCGCCCATCGCGAGGTTTCCATAAACAACAAACTTTACCCCACCTTGGACCTCTCTTTACCCAAGTATGGGTACCGGCAACATACTACTAGGGGTAACCCTGCCATGGACTACATGTAGCATCCTGTCCAGGGGGGGGGGAGTAGCAATACTCCTAGGAATGCTTCATGCTGAGGAACCAAGATAAGCTTCGGCTGTTTGGGCCTTTGGCTTGTGTGTACCTTTGCCTTTTTACCTATACATACATGGATGTGATGTATGTCTCTTCTCCTTCTCCCTTGTTCCTCAACCCCCTCACCCATCAACTACAATCATACTGTACCTGAATATAAATTTGATATTTGCCCGGAACAACTCTCCCTTTCACATGGTCCAGCTTATATGCAAAGCAACTGGCATCCACAGCAGCATTCCACCTCCGCCGAATTTCCTTATCAAACTTAAATTAATAAAACAAAACAGTGTTTCAAGCTAAGATAAACTTTTTGAAAATATTTATTGTTAAATGAAGCTCATTCTCAAGCCTTTTCTAAGGGAGAAGGGTAATTTTCATTCAGAGGATTTTTACAGGCTTGACTTTCTGTTCCCATTCAATCATTTTTAATCTGGGTTTAGGGGCCTAACCTGCAGCATGAACTGAAAAACCAACTTGAAGTTTTTAGAAAAGGCCCAAAAACCTGGCAACCGGAGAAAAAACCTGGGGATTGATAAATTATAATCATAAAGAAATGTACATGTAGTGTATCAGTGCCTGTGTCAGAAAGAGGGGGGTTGGTGCCAACCTCCACAAAATTAATGTAGCTCAGGGCCCGGTTCCTCGAAAGATGGTTAAGTTTAACCAAGGATTAAGCCAAATTTCAAGCACAGTTTTCTCGTCTAAGAACATGCAACTCGAGGTTACAAAGTAGTGTTGAGTCTTTACTACGAGATACAGTAACGATAACACAAAATGTTACCTTAAGCAATGCATAGGAATGTAAAATACAAAAACGGAACAAAATTTTAATCCTGGATTAATGCTAATCGGCCTTTCAGGAACCGGGCCCTGGTGACCAGTTCAATCAATTGTGTGACCACATGACTACATGAGGGTCCCCAATAGGGTTCCTCAATCTTATCATTCCCAATTAAATTTTTGTGCAATCCGTAATCCTGAAGCTTATTTTTGGCAACTACGCATAGTTTCTAACCTGAATCTTGTCCCCATTTTTCATTAAATACCGGAATTCTGCTCTTCAAATAAAGCCAATTCCACATCCCAAAAAACATATTGGAAATCCTCCTATAAGTGAAACCATTATAACTAGCCAAGCTCTGGATGATTGATATAGGAGAGTAGTAGTGGGACTGCTTGGTTCTTTTTTGGAATTTATGCTTCAAGGAAATTAAGAGAATTATTCTTTTTAAACATTGATTTTGGCAGTTTTCCATTAGATGTCCCCAAATTTTGAGGACAAGAAGAAGTTCTTGTTCAAAACTGGGAGTCCCTGGGGACTGATTTGTCTGCCCACATGAGTCTCCTTCTCCAAATGCAACACTCTAAATTTGAGATTGCTCCGAAACTCTCAATTTAAGAAATAGAGGATATTACATGCACATGGCAGCGCAGAGATACGAAATTTCTCTTCAAGTGTTGAAAAATATTTCACAAGTGAGTGCAGTGAACAAGTGGAATATTTTTTCAACACAAGAAGAGAAATTTTGTATCTCCAAGCGGCCATGAAATGCTCTATTAAATTTTATTATATAAACACCAATGAAATACCAAACCATTTCACTTTAATAGTTTTTTGGTGTGAAAGGTGTGATTTATTATGTAGCCATAGCAAAGGTGATATTTTCACATGTGAAGATAACATGTTATTTTCACATGTGAAGATATCAAGTTTTCGCGCGAAAGCTCACCTGGTATTTCATTGGTGTTTACATAATAAAACGTTTTATTTTATGAGTTGTTTTTTCTTAAAATAAGAAATCCAAGAAATCTCGAATTTGGCCATATGGCTAGATGTAGATGGGTTTGAGCGTTCAAGAGGCAACAACTCTTCGATGCTATTGTATTAAACTTGTCTTACCTCAACAGATCTTACCAATTCTCGCACACTTCAACAGACATTAACGTAACCTTATGTTTCTCGAAATCAGAAATGTACTTTTACCTTGGTAAAGACGTATTCATTTTGTTCTTCATCGCTTACTATGCAATGCCATGTAAAATCACCTGAGGTATAAAAGTATTTTTGATCCAACATTACCGCTCCCTTATCAGCTGACATAGTTGCGGGTGTTGCCACTTTGGTAAGCAATCAGTCAGTTAATTCACAGCATGAATTCGGACACTCGCTGATTTCTGTATCCATCACTGATCAGTACAGCCGCCTGACGGTGTAGTAGGTTGTTTGTGACGCAAGATAATATTTATAACGTGCTCTGTATTCTCGCCAAGATCAAATTTCAGCACAACTTTTCCTTCTACAGCAGAGATGTCCTCAAACAATTTGTATTCCACACAGAACCTTCGATCTAAGATAGGGTAAACCGAACGAACGGGCAAGTTACGTGTTGTTTCAACATGCCGCCATATTGAATGACCGCGAACGTTGAGAACTGGAACCAAGCACGAAATGCGCGGGATCGCGGGAGTGACGTCATTAAACCCCAAGCAATGTAAACAAAGGACGCCCTGCAAACGGGCGCAGGGGGAAACGTAAAAGAATTCGACGTGTTCCAGCCTTCAGGAAAACAGAAAAGGGCTATGCAGAACTCAAGGGAAAGGAACTCGACGAAACTGCATTGAAACTGGCTGGAAGGCCTCCATGGGATAAAGGTAAGGAAGGTTTTTATGACCTTTTATAGTAGCCATTCATTTACTGCCGAGATCGTGGGTGATGTTTTTCCCGATGCTTTGTTTTTTTTTAAGTTGACATCACCATAACTACGGTGCACGTAAGTATTTCAAAGTCCCCTAGGCGAAAATGGCCAAACTGCGAGTGATAATGCAAAGATTATGAAATTTAGTAAGCTACTGAAGGTGTTTGGGTTATTTCTCACATAGTACGCTTGGGCTGCCTGTGGTCGAAAAGAATTAAGACTCCGAAGGCGTCTTATTTTGTGCACTTGCTTTCCAATCTCGGTGCTTTTAACCGCTTCGGACGCAATTATCGGGAAAAGTTTCAGATGGACCTTTTTCCCCTGGTAAGTGAAGTACACATTCATTAACCGATCGCCTCCTCATGATGGCTTAGAATTCGTAAGGCTGAGTTTTAACAACATCAATCATTTTTTGATGATTGGGAACCGATAGAAGCTGAAATATCAAAAATATGTAATTAGTGTAATCTGTTGTTGGCCGGCCGCGACTCGCCTGGACCAGCAGCAACGACTGACAGGAACCAAAGAAAAAGCGTTTATTGTTGCATCTCTGCTATAGACTGCTACTACTAGAACAACTTCTGTTACAACTACTCCACTTTTAAATAAACCTCGTTTATAGATAGTTGTGAACAGTGTAAAGATGTGTACCGGCGCACGTTCCAAAGATGAATGGAAATAAGAATTATCCTCTACTATGGTAACACCTGCGATTTTTAGTACTGATTTCTTTCTAGAATCAACCGAACAAAACCAGAAGGGTTGTTCACAAAAATACCGTTCAACAAGTAAAAACCATGGAAGTAGAAACGTCACAAACTGAGCATAAACATGGCGTTCCACTAAAATTGCTTCTTACACGTACAAGCATGGTCATAGCTTATAAGCTTAAACCCATTCACCAAAACCTTTCATTTCTAATAACAACAAAGCAAGTCCAAGAAGGGAAACCGGCCAAGCTGTGCATAACTGGCTGCAAAGGCACATTCTGGACTGATGCCTCATTAGATAATTTTCCATTTTTAAATTTTTTGACCATAACCATAACACTATTTTTAGAAGGCGCGCGCTTCGCTGTTTTAAATACTATTCAATAATGCCGGCGCTTGAAGATGAATAATCAAACTTTTACTCTTGTCAAACTCACTCAAAAATAAATGCGAGATACGAAACGCGATGGCGCCCCGTGGTGACTTGTCGATTTTTCCGGGGCGCCGAGACAAGAAGCCATGTGTGCGCAAAAAGTTATTCAAGATTACGCAATGAAATACTCTGCTAGAGACGAATCAAGTTTACTTAATATTCAATTGAGATGTCTTTTCTGTCCGTATAATTACTTTTGCGATTATTATTAAAAGCTCCAAACCTGAAAAAAGTAATTGGTTCGAGAATCAGGCCTCAGGCTAAAAATAAGGAAATTTTAAAAATCATGTAAACAAAGATTGAAGGTAGAGTAGGAGGCAACGGTTGCTGGTAAACGAATGCCAAGGTGAATATAAAAGAGGAAAGAGTTGCCTGTAGAGAAGGCTGAGCATGAAAAAAAGAACATGGTTGTTCTGTGAGATGAGTAAAAGAAGGGAGGGTCGAGGCCCTGAAAAAGGAAAGACGAGCCCCTCAACAGACCCCACGACTTCTACCACCCGTTGTGTCCTGAAAATGCATTACACATACATAAATTTGCTAACAAATTACACCAATAAAGCATTGTTGACTATGATGTAGAAACGTAATGAGTATGGAAGTAAACACTGTCACACTTGAGAGGGATATGAATGGGTTACATGTCGCCTTCTCTAAACACTGTTTTAATTTTATGTTAGATGAGTCATCACGTTGAATACACCTTTAGAAAAGGTATATTTATCACTTATCAGAAGATGAATTGTCTTTTTTTGTCAGTTTTTTGTAACTGGGGAAAATAGTTTGTAAAAATGTGCGGAGCTGTAAAATTTTTTGTGGTAGCGAAAGAAAAAAGGAAAGCCAAAACATTAATCTCCGCATTGGAACAGCAAAGTCGAAAAATGCATTATTTAATGCAAGAGACTTAAATGGAGACATTTAGTGCACCGTTGCACACAGCTGCAATAACACCTGAATTTTTAATAACAAGCGGGAATTTTCACATAGACCTTTTACATAGATATAACTACAAATAGAACTTCGAGGGCATCTGCAGCATATCAACTATTAAAGTGCTACTGTAAAGTAAAGTATTCTTAATTGACAGAATTTGAGGATGAACATCCCCACTGCATCAACAAACCTCTTTTCTTCCTATGTACGTGCTATTCTTAACAAGGCAATATGCCAAAGAATGCATCCATGAATAAAAGGACCCTTTAGAGTATTTAAACAGCCCAGACAATATTGTTCCTTGACGAACATGTTCGTGTTTTTTTACCTTTGCCAAATGCCAATTTTAGATTTTTACTTCCCGAAAGAATGATTTTTTAAAACTTTTCCTTCCGTCGAACTATTATAAGTTAAGAAGGCCTTGGGAATTGCAACTTAACCACTTCTGAATAAGTCATAATTTCGGAGAGTAGCGGTTAATGAAATGTAAATATATTGGATGTGTGCCATGTAGAACTACTTAAATGTGCATACAAACTCCAGTGTATAAGTACGGAATTAAAACTGGTGCACTATTGGACTTTTCTGCGGCTTTTTCGCAGTTTTCACCACTTGTTTTTCCGTCCCAGGAGAGAAGGAACTCAATGGTTATTCAAGGGGTTTATTGGAAAATTAACGTACGAAACTTAATTGCGTTTGACCGCATTTATGAGATCTGTATGTTTTGTCCACCGAAAGGCTTGCTTCGTCGCAACACTAATGAAATCCCATACTCACGCAACTCGAGAGAAAGGGCTCTGTTTGCAATTGTATACATACGTATTGATAACTTCTTTAAGTAAACATCGGCATTTTTGAGGCTTTATTGCAGTCCAGCTGAAACCACTTTAACAGACAAACTAAACCGTACAAATGCCTCGTTTCGTGTCACTTGTTTAGGCTGATACAATACACGGTTGGTTGCTATGTCTTTGCCTCAGTAAAGTTCGAAATAACTTCGATTAATTCCAATCCTGCATTTTAACGTTATACCCCAGTTATCTAAGCGGGAAGTTAACCCCTTGGGGATAAAGTTCGAAACCCGTATCAATAATTTGCGCTGGAAGATTTACTAGGAACTTACAAGATAACGAAGTCTAGTGGGCAAATTATTTGCCATCCGTCTCGCACTGATTAATATTTACTTTGGATAGATTAGATGTTGTCCGAAGAGCGGTAATTAATTTCCAGTCATCAAAACTGATACACCTGTCGAAGTTCCGTAACTTGAAGGGCTATGTCATTGGTCAATACACGTCTAACGGCTATTTATAATATATAAAGAAATATTCAATCACGACAATTAGTATTCTTCTAGTCAAGATTCACGTAATTCGCGGTGGGAACGTACACAAAGCAAATTTTAAATTTTTCCCGTTGAGCAGATCTCAGATTGGCAAAATTGCGCCGCTCAAAGCAGTGGTATAAAAGCAATATCATTTGAAAACACACTGACGGAGAATTTACGCTTAAAAAATGCGGGCGTTCTGTGGAGCGATTTCTTTAGTCGTCCAGGTGTGCGTTGATTCTGGTTTAAGAACAGTTAGAGTTCATTGGCTGTGGAGACATATATAGCTACAGTTCTTCTAACTTCTTTTTTGTTGCATACATAGGGCCTGTTGTTGGTGTTTACTGCCCTCGTTGCTTGCAACACTGTTGGTAAGTCCCAGTTTCTTTATTACCTCGATATTATCGGCGTATCATATGTATACCATAAAGCCGGTTCGTTTAGGAAGTTAACTCGAAATATGCTTATTCACAGGAAAATTCTGACAGATAGTGAATTCAGTCGTTTTCTGCTACCAGTTGTCTGATTGAATTAACGACAACGAAGCCATCAGAAGTGCCTACGGCAAATTTATTTTTGTTATTAAACTCGTAGACTTATTTTGAATATTCTGATAAAAAAAAAAAAGAAGAAAAGATGCACGCTTTCGATATTTTCCCACTCTCTAGCAGTTAGTTATCAATGGAATGTTCGGCACGGCTGAGATTAAAAAAAAGAAAAAAGTCATTTTGTAATGAAAGGTTCAGCTCCATGTTTGCTTCATTTATTGAACAATTTATTTGCTTAACTATGTGTATAATCATTGACTATAAAGCTAAAGGGAATAAGACACATTTGTCATAAAAATATCCTCCCACGCTTGCAAAAAAAGAATCATCGACGAATCAGAAGTCACCATAAAACGAGCCTCGGATTTGATTAAGTCACTACGAAATTGCATCTAAATAACCAAAAACGTATTTTAATTTTATTGCTTTAATCTTTTGAAAACCGAGCTATTTTTCTGTTTAAAATGTTTTCCGTATTATTACCCTCCGAGGAATGTTTTCGTCACTATTATATCAATTTATTCGTCCCATACTTCTGTAATTGCGAATTTACGTAATTTAATGCGACAATGCGTTAATTCAAGGCATTTACCGCACGATAACCTTTCCAAGATTACAAGGAAATGCTAAAGAAGGTATTTCCACACGCTACTTTTTATTCCTTAGATAAAATATAAGTCAATAAGTGCTAGTCGCGAGAGACTCAAGATTAAAGGATGTGAAAAGTTTGCCTCAGTTATAAACAACCTGTACATACTTTTCAAGCTATTATGTCTCCCTGGAAAGTGTTTTAACTGAACACGCGAGAAAAATACCAAAGAAATTAATCATTTTTCTTCGATTCCCAAATTTTAATCGAGAAGAAAAAAAACATGTTATCATGGTAGTTGCTGGATGAGGTAGAGTGAAATCGGATCCACCAGCAAGAAAATTAGGTAATGGATCAGTTTTTATTTGACTATTGATGGCACATATTTCTACGTACTTAGTGTTTGTTTACGAATCAAGCGTATATTGCGCATGCTTCTCGTAAGCAGAAGTCTCTATATTACTTGCTATGTTTAACTTCTTAATTACACTTTCCTACGACCCCGACCAACTGATATAGGCCCTCTCGCTGCAGTTTCTGAGTATTGCGGGTCTGAATGTTGGCAAAGGAGTGTTTTTGAAGTGGATTAAAACATGTGCAACTCAGGGGCGCCCAATACTCTTGATAATGTCAAACAACTTGGTGTAATAAATATAATGGCTGGTTAAGCGTTCAAGTACATTCTGTAACGTGGTTATGGTATGATGAAATTGAAAAGAAAGGCGGAAACGTATAAAGCCAGTTTGATTTACACTACCCTGTCATCATTAGCTGAATGGACCGGACATTCTTCAAGGTGTATAGCAGCACAATTGACGTCGTCCTTCATGCCTTATCGCATACAGTCAAACGCAAAAATAAAATATTTGAATAGCTTAAATTGTAATGGGTTTCTTTTGTCTCCTTAATCTGACGCAAGATTGTACTGCAACTTCAGCTCCTCAGCTCTGAAATTCTGGTTAAGGTTCCTTTTTTTTTCTCAATTTTCATATGGCTACAAACTCCCTTTGTAGTTGCATGTGTTCTGCGAGATTCACTCACCGCTTACTTCAATACAGATTTTTATCGACCCAGCAATATTTTTTCAAGTGTAAAAAGCGGAAAAAAAAAAAACATCTTGGCCAACAACGAATGTCCAGCTCATAATAAATGAAGTGTAAGTGCATTGTTAATGACAAGCTTTTTGAAAGTATGATTTTAAAAGGGAAAAAGGTATCATTGAAAATTACATTTTAAAAGAGAAACGAAACTAATGTCATTATGGATTATAAATAGATCGTATAGATATAGAATAGTCTGATAAATGCTGTTATGATCTTATCTTTATATTACAGTATATGACAACAAGACAATTTAGTCTAACACTTTCTTTAGCAATTTACAGTGACCAAACTATCATTCGTCACTTTTTTTTCTCACCAAACTATTACACACATTTGCTTTCGACAGGCACTTAAGTGCAAGTAACAGCTATAAGACCCGTCGTGTTAATTTTTTTTTTCTTGGTCGCCAAAAAGCAAGTTGTCGTTATAAAAATGCCAAACCGAAAAATTAATAATAACTATAAATAATAATAATGATCACAAAAAAAAAGTTCAGCCGTAACCTTTTGGGTGACAGCAGTTGACTTTAACACTTTTGCTACATTAGTTTCTTCACTGAAATAAAGAGAACGCAAAACTCAACGGTCCTTTTCCGTTCTTTCTTTTCGGCTCTGCGAACTTGATCAAGTTAAGTTATTTCTTTCTGCTTATGAATTGTTAGAAATTCAAAGTAATTAACACAGAGGAGAGCGCGTACTGCTAATGCGTTAACCAGATTTCTAAATTGTCTTTTAATTTAAGCAGTCGAATCGCAATAAATGTACCGTTTCTGATTTTTTTATACGGTTATCGTATCTCCAAATTTTTATTGCGTGGTAGCAAATAATCGATACTAGATTGCATTTTCGGACTCTGATAGGAGAATTTGGCAGGAAAAACATTCGTAACATTTCGAATCTTTAATCCAAGCAGCCGTTTTGCAATGCAGATCAGTGGAATACGCTTATAACTCAGTTTGTACGTGCTTGGTAACAGATGAATGGAAGTTTTGAGGTTGTCCTATAAATTATAAATTATTTCAATTTTGTCAAGAAACATTTCAGGCCGTTTATTGCTTTTTTCCTCCAACCATATAGACAATGACGTTGTTTGAACGTTGTTGAATACAAGTCCTTTACCATCGTCATTTAGTTTTAAAATCCTAGAAAACTTGCTTCTGGTTATACGGTTGCCAAGCGAGGGATTTCAGTCGCATTTTATTTATCTGAACAAATTAAAACCATAGAAAATCGTCACTTTCATCTGACGATGTAAGTGGCTTCTGTCCATATTCACTTAACAGTAATTTATAACAGAAGTACAGCCCAGTACTAAGCCGGTATTGCAGGTATATCATAGGATTACATATCATAGGCGTATTACAAATAATTGTGAAAAACGTATCAACCGTTCCAAGATATCTGAAAGAAAAACAAAAATGCAGTAAAAATGCAAAGTAAATGTTCCGTTGGAAATGCGTAGCGACATAAAAAGCATACATAACTGACTCGAGAACTGGCCGTGAATGAGACGTTCCCGCTGGTCGCCAGAGGCTAGGAGGAACCATATCAATATATATTGATATGTTGTAAACAAGTGATTCGGTGATATGACTAAAGATAGAAGAAAAGCGACGGGCAGCAAAAAAGGGGCAAGCATAAACATTATCAACGTTGGTTCGCAAGGTAGCCTCTTTGAACGTGTCAGTACAGGATCTAGAGTAAAGCCGGATCATGTGACCTTTTTGAGTCTTCTCATTATCGCCATATTTATTTTAATTATTGGTGTTATGAAACCGCGCGGCATTTCTCTTCAAAACTCTCTGGACAAAGTAAAGTGGATATTAGCCAAATATTGCCAAACAAGGGCTCACGCACGCAAGCACACACAACCATTAGCAAATGACTGATATCTGCATGACTGTCTGACTGTCTTGCTGCGGCCATTTCTTAAAAACGGAGCTAAACTAGCCAAAAAAAGACATTATTTTGGGGGCTTGATAGCTATATCAAAAAGCACATTGACTTGGTACGTGGTATGATTTTAGGTGAATGTAACAAGGCGCTTTCAAGATAATTGAAATATTGGCTGAATTTACTACTTTAACTCACTGGGATACATTTTATATTATTCAATGAAACTTGTCAAAGAATCTGTAAGGGACTAACAATGATCCTACCACTTTAAATGAATAGAACAGTACTTAACAGGTTTTCACTTAACAAATTAACATTCTTCACGCAAAGAAGTGAGGTCCGTTATTTATTCAACTTCTAGTTTATAGGGTTAAAAAATTTTACGAGAAAATATTCGAAAAACGTTAGAGAGATTTTTGCGGGCAATCTATATGTTATCTTTTTGGAAAACTATACGAGTTCAGTAGACAGTTAATAACAAAATGACGGGAAGTTGCTAAAAATGGGTCGGACTCACTTGAAGTCATGTTCAGTGTTGCCCTTTTCCGTTCCAAACAATATAGCCGTTTTTTTTTTTTTTTTTTTTTAAATCACTTCGAAACAGAAGGGCAGATATGGTGTAGAATAAAGACACGTTTCCAATATTTCAACTTTGGTATGTGCGGTTTCTGAGAAAAATTGCCGAGACTGTCACTGTGCAAATGCCTATAAAAAACGAATTCAGTTACCCAGTTAGACACCTACTTATGTTAAAAGCGTTCCAGCACATCACATTTTCCGCAAAACTTGGTCGAGTCGAATCAGTTTCTGCAGTTTTAGTGCAATCTATGTATATAAACTTATGGAAAAGTCAAACAACATTGATAGCCACAAAAAACCGAATGCAGGAAATACTGAAGGAGAGCGAAATTTCTATCACTTAAAATTCTTAAACTTGAGATGCTTGGAAATTTCTAGACACGTTTTATTTGGCCCACCTTCAGCCGCCACAAATACTACAAGGCTAGCGTTGATATATAAGCAAATAGGAGCTTCTATTTCCCGCCAAAATTGGAGCTGAAATGTTGTATTAATAAGACATATTTTCTTGTTGCACAAGGGGTTTCATAAGAGCCACCTCAAAATATTAAACAAGGACGTTCCAACCCCCCTCCCTCCCCCCCCAAAAAAGAAAATGTCTTCATTTTTTATCATTCATCTTGTTATAGCGATAGAATAACTGAGTAAAGATATATAAGTTTTCAACAAGTATCAAGTTCTTTGGTCACATTAAGAGACACGATTGAGTGTGAAAGACTGTTCTGGAAAGACAATTACCTGTGGAAAGATCACGAGGTAGGCCGAAAAGGAGATAGGAAATTGCGTCAACGATTGGCTTACATACACCACGAATGAGGCTGGGAGATTAGTAAAGAATCGCGTTTTGTACCGAGCTGCCGTGAATGGCACAACGCCGATCAAAGGAGGATATGTTACCATTCAATTCAATTGAATATTCTGCCAGAAATAAGGTTTTTGCTATTCATTTAAGGCCTAGTAACAATCATCCAGTTGGCAACTATATACTAAATTTCTCCTCTCGCCTTTCATTACATTTCGATATTCAGACGCACTTAAAATATTACCCGCCGGTGAAGCTTGGAGACTAGTACACTGAAAGGATCACTGGAGTTCTTAAAAAACGAAATCTTAGTAAACATGTGGACAAAACTGAGCTGGCAAATCGATGAGAGATGATTATTGATAATGTGTCAACGAAAGCGTTCGGTTCATTCATATTTGAATGAATCAGATTGACTAATATTGCCACAATACCGATCGAGTTGCTTTAAATATACTTAGATGCATTAGCATTTTTAGCGTATTTGTAGTAACATTGTTGTTTCTGTGAATTACACATACAATATACGCAACAGGGCCACAACAGTGAAATTTCTGTAAATGGAAAAGTAGTACAGGGTTAATATTGAGAGAAATGGATACATTTGACGTGTTAGGTGAAGCCGTCTGATAACCTAATTGCGAAGTTTCGATTTTTACGAGATGACGTTCATGGATTCTAAAATGTTTTGTCTTCTAATAGCCCTGATCTAATAGCAAGGATCGACGAGCCAAAAACAATGTTTCACCAAGTAAGTAGCTTGTTATAATAGTTTGGCTATTTTCTACTAAGCAAATAATATCAACGGTCGATTCCTTGTGTGTCTTACGGTTCTACACAAAGGAGAATTTTGCTCAATTTTTTCATGCGAAGGCAGAACTAATTAAGATGGTCGACATGAGACGGCTTGCGCTGAGGCATAATTATTCATAGTCGTTGTCTATTTTTGGCAGGGTTTTGTTTAAAATATTTCAGGTATGGTACTCAGAGATTTGGTTCTTGAACGAAACTTAACCATATAAGCCAGTATAAGTAATTGAAGAATTTTTAAGTGGCGAGTTTATGATGGTAATTTAACCAAGACTACATCATAACGTTCCTTAGAAACGTGAAATAACCTTGCTTCCGTCTCAAGTGCCAGAGAAGTGCGGTCAAGGCTTCCATATTTTGTTCAAGAGGCTGGTCCAACTGAAGAAATCATTCTTGAAAGTCAGGTACCATTAAATTTCAAGAGTCAGATTATAATCACGCAAGCAAAGTGAAATATTCACTCGATCTCGCTGCAAGAATCGATATTGCCATCAATAATATCCAACCGGAATGGATACAGATAACTAAAATAAAGAAAGGCCATCAAGCCAGTCTTTAATCCTCAAATTATCTGAGCTTTCAGGCTATAGGATTGTGCCACAAGGCTCAACAACGTCAGTGGTTTTGTAGACCAGTTGGTAGAACATCCACCTGTCCAGTAACGTGGTGATCGTTTGTTCGACGATTTCACGTTAAAGCTTTATTTCCGTTTTTTGTATAAATTAAAGTTTGAGTCTGGTCACTATTGCAGACTGCCTAGTAACTTCCTTGTACCATTGTAAAAGCCATTTCATGACAACCTGTTAGGGTAAAATTTTGACAAGCGACGTGGCTTCGAACAGCCTGTGTACAGACGTTCCCCCTGAGGGAGGGGGACGTCTGTACACAGGCTAGGCTTCGAACAGAAACAATGACAACAAAGGACAACAAAGATGAGCTGAAACTACAACATCAACGAATCGAAGCCAAGCTCAAAAAGAATAGTAAATTACGTAGCTTCCTCATCACGCAAAATGACGGGTCTTGCACAATTCAGACCAGGGACATACAAACCCACCCGAAGAGGGCCACTTTTTGGATCATTTTACGTTTCTGTGAAACTACCCACCTACCCCTCCTCTAAGTTAACATTGACACTTACTTCTCACTTAGAGCAAAATGTTGGCTTAGGTAAGGGGTAGGTGGGCAGTTTCGCTGAAACGTAAAATGATCCCACTTTTTGTGTCTTACAAATATTTGGCTACATTTGAACGCTAAAAACTGGGACATGCATGTACTGCAGTAATGTCTGACGTTTGAAGCCACGCGTCTCTTTATTAATTTCTATGTTGCGTGTGTCAACTCAAACGAAACCTCCTAAGCAGTGCTTTTGCATGACGCTTATTATTTTAAAGTAATGTCCAAAATGAGAATTGGGTTTTGCTAGAATTCTAATTGATTGGGTACCCTTAAAAGTTAAATTCAAGTGTGACATTGCAGTTATTTCAGGAGCTTATCTGATTCTGTAAACCTTTACATTTATAGCAAAATATTTTTATTTATGCTCCTAAAAAAGTTTATAAGCGACTGAGTGAAATAAGGAATCAATTTAACAACTTATTTCATGCTTTTAGTCCTTTCGTGAGTTTTTGGTGACGAATGATTGCTCTGAGCTTCAAGGTCCTTTCCGTTCAAGTGCTCTAATCGACTTGAATGCATCGTCAGCATGCCAGTGCTAAAACTATTCCTGCCTTTTGTTAACAGGCTGAGAGAGTTTCTCTTTTCTCTTGTTCTGTAAAAAGTAGAATTTGATATGCTTGATCTACATTATGACACTCTAGATTTATCTACGTTCATTCCTCTAGCTGAAAATCATATTAGCTAGACATATTCCTATCTCGGGTATAACATTTTAACTTTCACTCGTCATTTTCATTGAGTTTTTTGAGTAAATGTTGAAAAAACTAGAATTCGTGACCGGAAACATCTTCCTTTTCGAAGCTAGATGACTCAAACTGGTTTCTATTCTTTAGCTTTACCGATGCCGATGCTATGTTTTAAGTGGCTGTAGAGTGTAGAGAAGAGATTTAAGTAGTTGGTTTGAAAAGCTGTCAACCAGGTTTAAGTGACCTTGTAATCACTTCATTCAAAAAGAAAGACAGATTATGCATTTTTAGCCGCACACTCACGAAAAGAAAGAAATCCCAAAATGACTGCGTATGACTTAATTCCGTTGTCACACCACGACTATCAAGTGCTGTTCGAGAACAGCCCTGTATCACAGGAAAAATAAGCGAATCTCTTTAAATTGGGGTTAATCCTGGTTCAAATCTGGGTCTAGTTTGGAAATAAACTTGGCAACTACACCATTCCCAAAACAATAGTTAGTCAAGTTGGAAAATGGGAATATCTCCAAAGTTATTACATAACCGTGATCAGATGTATGGAATTATGAAGTTCGCAAGATGTATTTGTCCCGAATGTAGCGTCTAATTTTTGGAGTATGTTTTCTCCAATTGATCCCGAAAAAGTTCCATGAACAATTTATTCAAAGCTGTTAAGAGATAGGTGTAATATTTCTTGTTATTAATTTATCGAAGGGCGTGCATCAAATTAAAGATAACAACCCCTTATTAAGGTATTTTAATCGGTTTTCATTCTTATTTCGGGCCTGGTAAGTGAAAGTTAAAGCACAGTTGATTAGTGACCTGTCACCCCTTATCAGCTCCATTATGTAGGTCGAAGTACTCAATAATCACCTTAAAAAACTCATCAAGAAGGTAGATAGTGTATTTAGTAACTTACACTTAACACATTAGGAATATTGCTTAAGCGCAAGCCATTCTTGGACAAATGGTGATGAAATCTTCACGAACTTACTCTCGAACTCTTTTGAGATCCATACATCAAATAAACTGATTTATTCATGCTGTTAATGATTACGGACCAGGCTTCTAAATGACCTCATAGTTAAACATTGCACCTTTGATTTCTAAAGCGCTTCAGCACAAAAGTCAATTAGTAAGTTTTCACGAGCTATCACTGACCCGTCTCCACCGTCTCTATACTGTTGTATGCAATATAGAAATTTTAAAGACCTTTCAGGTTCACTGTGCACAAAACGTGGCGCGGGATTGTGCGCTGAAGGAAGGCTCATATCAACCATGGTTCCGTTTACAGTTTTGTTTGTTTTTCGGACGATCGAGCCGGAATGTGCACAATCATTCTTTTACGGTACTAAACGCAACCTCGAAGTTCTTAGACATGTAAACTGAATTGATAATTAGTGCCAAAGAACGTTCAGAAGTCAGTCTTATTCTGCCGGTTGTGTGTTATGGCAGGTCTGGTATCAAAAGTTGTAAAACAGAAATTCTTCGACAGAGCTTTGGAGTGAATGTGGTTCGGCAAACCAAAAAAAGCATATTTTCAGTACTTTAAAAATAAAACGAACCTGTCTTTCTGACGTAGATAAGCAGGTGAACACGTAAGACCTCACGTAACGTATATTGAAACGAAATATCACTACTGACCAGGTATTTCGCCCCGGATCGGTCAAGCTATGAAGCTGAGAACTTCAAATTATGAATATTATTTCCGTTCAAAAACCCACAGCCATCTGCTGTCGAGTCAAAAAAACGCCTTCCGTTTAGCTCAGTTGGAGGAACGTGCGTGTGCTGAGTGGGAGGCCGGGGATGTCACTGCCCAATGCGGCGATCACGTGGACTGAGACAAAGTTTCATCACCGCTAGCATGTTCCCACGAGTTTTTTTTAAAGGTTCAGCCAACTCACTTTCTGACTATCCATGGTTACATTTAGCCGTTAGTCTCGTCTCCCTCATCCTTGTCCATTAAAAAAGACTGAGAGCAATTCAAAGAAATGACGCAAGTAACTCCCTTGTGTCCATGCAACGGCGTGTTCACAGGCCCGTTTGATTTAGGATCGACTTTCCGCAAATTTTTACTACCAAAATAACTCCTACATATCAGTCAGTAATAGTGGAGACCAGGAAATAGTATCTCTGGCCCGATCTGATGTTTTGATGACATTTGCTTCTCTCCTTTCCACTGATACGGTGGAACCTCGATATAACGAACCTCCTATAACGAAGTCCTCGTTACAATAAACGGCGATATTATTTGCCCCCGTAATATTAAAATATATGGAAAAGAACCTCGATATAACGAAACCTCGTTATAGCGAACATATTCTATCAGTGATGTCCACTTCCTTTTAATGTAACAGGAGACTGCCCTGCCTCAGTTCATCCGTTAGAAGGGAGGTGCAAAATCGACTGTTTGTCAGACAATCACTGTCAACGTTGGCAATACTGCTGTAAAACTGGCTGCTGGCAAACGTGTGGTAAGGAGTAAATAATCGTGAACGAACAAGACCGTTTAGTTTAAGCTTGTACATAGTTCTATGGATATTATTCAAGTCGAGAAGACACAGTGAAGGAGATGTATAAAATTATTTTCGTTACCATAGTCCTTAGAATGAGAATTATTCTAAAAACTTAGATTTCCCATAAGCGACCACAGGAGAGAGGAGAGGTATGGAAAGGCTTGTTGAAAAGGGCGTGGCTTGGCTTTGATAGATTGTGCTCGGCAAAGTAGCATAATATGCTACTAGCAATGCTCACATATTTCTAAAATTATGACAATAATTATATATGCTAGTTTTTGCAAATTATGCTCATTTTTGCAAAAATGCAGAAATTATGCTTCTGCGTTTAGCTTTAAATTTGGTAAAAACACCTCTGTCAATAACTATGCAACAAACAAGTAAATGAATGTGACAATAAGCAGACCCAAAAAATGATTTCTGAACTTAAATTTGCCTGTAACACAAATCTCGGGCCAAAATTGGTTGCATGATCAATAAATGACAATTTTGACAAAAATGCTCTTAGTGTGTTTTTTTTTTCGGAAATACACGCAATTGTGCTTGTCATGACGAATTATGCCAAACATTATGCTAGCACAATCGATCTAACCAGAGATCTGGGATTCTTTTTCCCCCTCGTCTCCCAAACAAAAAGGCCGAAAGAAGGAGCACCTGATCAAAGGTTACAATCTATCAAAGCCTAGGCGTGCCTCAGCTGTCTTAAACCTTTCACTGCCAAATGTAGTTAAAGGCAAATTTCAAACATTTCCAAATTTCATTTTCTAACATTTTGAAAAACAAAACGTACCATGTGAAAGTACAGGCAGGGAGCTTTCACTTGAATGGTCACATCGTAGGAATTTCGTCCACAAACGCAAAAGTTACAATCACCTTTCAAAACTCGATCAAGCACTCTGGAAGTGAAAGGGTTAAAGAAACTACAGTAAAACAGGCAGCCTATTCCCGGAACCTCAGTTAAGAGCTGTAGAGATTTAAATTGCGCGAACGATGTTGAAATCGAATGCTGCTTCACGAAGGTGTTTTGTTTTCTTGGTATACATTTCTTTTACTCACGATAACGATATCTGTGATGGGAGCTTCGAGTCCTAACTTCCCTAAATGAGACAAAAATATGCAAATTACACCCATAAGCGCGCCCCTGTTTCTTTCATATGGGGAAGTTGTCTCTTTTTAGGGATTCGAACTGTGGTACTTTGACTTAAAATACTTACTGATTCTGGTATTTTGGATGGGTGGCGTGATCCCCAGCTATCATGGGTGGTCGCACCAGTTTGAGGTTTAAGTGTATTTACACTGATCCTTCTATTTTGTTGATTCTAACGGTGGTGCTTTGACTTTAAATACTGATAATGGTATTTTGGATGGGTTGTCCCCAGCTATTATGGATTGTTGCACCAGTTCGAGGTTCAAGTGTACTAACACTGATCCTGCGTTTTAATTGATAGCAAATTATACAAAGTGCCAGCTACAAAAGATTAAGTCGTCAATACTGAGAAGTCCGTTCACTCCTACCTGCAAGGCGGACGGAAGCTATCAGGAAATCCAGTGCATCACGACACCAAGCTTAAAGTGCTGGAGAGTGGACCAAGAAGGCAGGAAGATTCAGGATGTAGACGTTACAATCCAACATGATGCTCCTATTCGACAATCAGATGCAAGAGTAGGGCAGAGGATTGGGCGATTTTTCAGTATGGAAGATGATGAAATAGGTAGTTTGCACAGACAACTTTAGTTTTGGGGTAAACAATTAAAGATTCAAGTTGGCTACTACAATGGCTTAAACTCGTTTTTTTTTTCGTGTCTAAAACAGGTTTTCCGCACACTTCTTGGCATTTGTTCTGAATTCAATCTTTTATCAGCTCCGCCGTAAAAGTACGAAGGGAAGGAGACCAAACAACTAAATGGGGAAATTAAACTAGGCAATTAGAACGTACTTAAATTCATTTTAAAAATGGGTGACAGGGACACCTTAGCAGCCGAGGGCAATTACCGTGGACCCCCGGGGGTACTCCCTTATAATGGCCTAGACAGGGAGGCTCCGCCCGAAAAGGGTACCTTTTTCGGGCTTCACGTTTTTGAAGGGTTGGGATTTCATTAGTTGAAGTATATGAAAACTGAGTAGGGAAATCTGTCATTGCGGTCTGCAAAAGAACCTAACAGAGTTAACAGATGAATTTGATGGCTGTCGGAAAGACAAGAAAACTTTCTGGTTTATTGATTTATTCATATTTAAGAGACTGTGCATAAACAGCAGTTAAAAGGGATGCAGCGTTCTAACCTAGATATTTGAAAGGGGTACCATTTGTCAATAAAAGGTATACAAAAGGGGCACCCTTTCCGTTAAAAAAAAGTTATATGAAGGGTAAGGGGTTGGACCTCGGGCTGGAGTCTCCTCGTATAAAATTTTGAAGAGTACCCACCCTGGGCTACGGGCTCTCTTTCAAATTATTTTTATTGTACCTTAGGCAACCCGACGCAATGACGAAGGCAAAAAAACAATTTTCTTAAAGGTACCCCCTGCAAAACAACCTGACCTTTAGCAAAGAAGGCGAGAACTTACGTCGATGTCTATTGCAGTTGGAGTACTGGGTCAAGATGTCAGCACCAAAATTAGCGCTTCTTTACGATACCTTTATTCCGAGATTCCAAATTTTCCCTTCGGCAGGTACAAATGATAAATTGATTTAGATTTTATGAAAGATAAGATTTTCTACGCCTTGCTTCAGCTCTTCAGCTCTCACAAGTCTTAAAAGAATGGGCGCAGAGATGTATTTTGTGTGTGTGTGTGTGTGTTACAATATGGAAGGATAACATTAATTACATAAATGCTCCCAAAATAATTCAACGCCTAATCGTCGCAGCTTTTAGTAAAACGCCTTAACCCTTTGAACAGCTTTCTCTTACTAAGCCAAAAGTTTTAGACTTCCACAAACTGTCAAAAAGGTAAAAACACAAATGGGAACATTACAAAAAATACTCACGTTCACTGCACAACCGGAGTTGTACCGAAATGGCGTCCCGAATGCCGTAATGTGGACGTGAAGGCATGCGCAGTAACACTGAATGTTGATTTCGGTCGTTCCAGTTCTCTATGATAGATCGATAAAGGTCCATGTTGTTACAGGAGGTCGTGGACACGCGACGACAAATGGTTTTCTCAAATTTGATCGGACGCGGTCGCTAACAATTCAAATCCAGGAAAATTTGCCACCGTTTGGCAAATTATTTAAGATAACCTGTTTTAGCGACACACCCGTTGCCGTCGTAGTTGCCGAAGCTCCCTTTTCTTTCGCATACAAATTTATATCTACAATCTAAAATATATACTTTAATTGGGTTATTATTATGTTTTTCAGAAGAGAACGATAGAACGCAAGGGAAAACGAAGTGCCAGAGAGCTCGTGAACGCAGACTTCAAAGACGAAAAACACGATCGACCGTGTTTGTGCCAAAGTGCAAAGCAAACGGGCAGTTTAGAGCGACACAGTGTCACAAAAGAACGAAGACCTGCTGGTGCGTCTACGAAGATGGAACGGAAATTCCCGAGACAAGAGTGAAAAAACCGGAGAGACCAAATTGCAAATTAAGTAAGTGAATGGACACGTTGCGTGTTATCGCAGACGAGAAGAATACTTTTTCTCAATTTTAAAACCTGTGGACAACGGAAAAGATGATATTGTGAATTTTTATTGAAAGAACACTTGAAGGTGGAGAAGTACTGTCACGACCTCTGATCCTCTGCTTCAATATTGGTTTCAGTTTCAGGTGATTGTGGACTACGTTTCTCGCTTTACAGAAAACAAAGCACACGTCGCTCGCGTAGGGTTGTGGGTGGTCGTCAGAGTGTGGCCAATTCCTGGCCGTGGATGGTTGCTCTTTTCTTCAACAAAACGAACTTCCGCTGCGGAGGATCGATCATTAAACCTTCCTGGATCATAACTGCTGCCCATTGTTTTAGTAAGTCACAAAGCTGAGTAGTGGGACTCGTCAAGATTCCTTAGGATTCTCTTTTATTGTAGGGTGCTTGCATCTTCATTTGACGTTTTCAAACAATATCAAATTGGCCTTAGCGTGACCAATGATTAACCGGTTGTTAACCGGTTGTTAACGGGAGTTAAGTTACTTGTCGCAAAACAAGTTTGCCTCGGGCCAGTAAAACGCGCAACATGTACAGATTTTGAAAAACAAAAGTAGAGCTACTCTCTACTTTCTGTAACAACTTTTCGCAACCTTTAACAAGCTGATTTGTTGCAAGAGAGGTTTGATTCATTGGTGGTAAAACGCGCATCAACTCGTTTTGCAGCAACATTGCAAAACAAGTAGCACTTTTTTGCTGCCCGTTTTACCCTACCTTAAGTATTGCCTCAGCCAATTATCAGTGACTTGTCAGGATGACTAGTGATAGCTAAACTAAACAGTAAAAGTATCAGATTCAACTGGTTCTATTCTTCGTCTGGGTAGTTTATCTGGAATCATCATAACGGTGTTGCTTCGCCCCATGTAAGGGAAACCAAGACAAGACATGGGGCGAGTTGTCTACCCAACGGTGGCAATTGAGACTGTAAATACGTAGTGTAACAGACTTTAGTCCACTTGGAAGAACATTTATGAACTGTTCTCGTCTTCGTCTTCTTCAAGGTGACTCTACTTCGAAGAATCCGGCGGATTGGACCGTGCGGGTTGGAGAACATTCATTTAAGAGCAAAGAAGAAAAAGAGAAAAGGCTTGGTGTCAGACAGATCATCATTCACCCGGGATACAAGCGGAGTAACTCCTCTCATCCTGGCGACAATGATATAGGTATGACCAAAAAAATTATTTATCTCATTACACAGTAATGCGTGGATTTGTAGCTGATACAAGTTATTGCCAAAATGTCCGTCAATCTTGTTTGTCTAAACAACACAAGTCAGTAGAAATTTGGGGTATGAACGTGAATCCAGTGGTTAGATTTTGTGACTTTGGCAACTCGTGACAAATTTAAATCCCGACTTAATATTTACTCTGTCATTAAAGGGAGCAAGTCGTGGGTAAGTAAGGTAGTGCATCAGGGAGAAGAATTATAAGAGGCTAGAGTGCAGATAATGATGTACCACGAAGCTCTTTGTAGCAAACGATGGTAGCCAAAGGGAGGTTTGACTTAACAGTAACTTATCTTTTTTCACTAATCAGCTCTGGTGCGCCTGTCCAGTTCGATAAGATTCGGATCGCTCGTCAACCAAATCTGCCTACCTCCTAGTTTTGCATACTTTAAACCTGGTCTACGCTGCACGGTTACTGGCTGGGGTCACACCTCTTGGAACGGAACAATGTCACATGTCTTAAGAGAGGGCTGGATCGATCTGGTATCAAAACCCGTCTGCAATTCAGAACGGTCAGTAGTCTCCTCAACCTATTCGCTTCAAGCCGTCACGTTATGGCGAGATCAATATTTTGTCACTCTTATTTTTAAATCCGTGGACGAAGTCCTATTGTGTGACCATTTAAATAAAACCTCTTGGGCAGAAATTTTTGATAATATTATTTATTTCTTATTATTTATTTTTGCATAGTATTATTTTTATTTTATGAAGAGCCAGCTTGATGGGACACATTTCTAGGAAATATGGCAAGAAAATTACGCAGTCATTTTTCCAACCATCTAACAGATTGGTTCACACACCTGATTTTCTTTAAAATAAGGAAATAACAAACGTCTCGGGTTGAGTTGTGTGGCTCTTGCACAATGTACAGGAACACCACGTACAGGCTTGGCAGGCTTCGTGACCAGGAAATTTAAATGTAATTTTTCAACGCTCATTAGGGCAAAAATGAACTGGTTAACCAAACCATTATTGGGCTTGAATCTGATATTGAACACTTTTTACGGAAAGTAAGTTAATGCATTAATTGTGTCAGTAACAAAATTCTCAAATCTGATTGGTTCTCGGCAACCCTCATTTGCTGATGCAGTACCAAACTTTCTAATTATATTTGACTTGTCCGATTAGAAGCTGCTTGTAATCGGACAGTTGAATAGCCAATGAAAATCAAACATGAAATGTTGCTAACCGATAAGATTTAACAAATTAGTCCATGCAAGCAAATCAAACCAGCGAAAAAAACTTCGGTGACCCAGTTATCCAGTTTCAGTTTAACACATTTAATTTGAAAAAAAAAATGTATTTAAAACATGTTGAAAAAATTTCACGCAGTTGGAACTCCATATTCCGATGTTTTAACTTGGTGTAATACGACTTTGTGTCGTACATTTCAAAGTAATCGGCCACGTGGTTTCAAATCGTCTTCGTGCTACAAGCGCACTCGCTCGGCCGATTTGAAATTACCAGCCTGATTACTGCCTGAATTGTACTTCACTCAGTCCTATTCCCATTACTAATCAAAGATATTCCCTAATTGTCAATCATTGTTTTCGATAGCTCATACAATGGGACAATAGGACCAAATTTCCTGTGCGCCGGTTTCAAAGAAGGACGAACTGATGCATGCTTATATGACAGTGGAGGACCTCTGAACTGTCCAGAGCCAAACGGACGATGGATTCTTGCAGGCATTGTCAGCTGGGGAGAAAGGTGTGCTTTGCCACACAAGTATGGAGTGTACACGAATGTTCACCGGTATACTCCGTGGATTACAGAAACCTTAAAATTGGATAGATAAACTGGTGAAGACCATAATTAAACAGCATCGAAGAAGGGCTGGGCTGCACTGTTCTTGACGATTCTGTCCATGAATCGCTTAAAGAGCGTCTCGGGGCAATCAAAGAAAATCATGACGCATGTCCCCGCCATAGCATAAGCCTAAGATTTCAGTTAATCATGTATTGTGTCAGACTGCAGAATTTGCTTTTTAACTAATTTTGCTGGTCTTAAATCGAATTGATTGCTCTCAGAAGAGTGTGAATCAGTGATCTACGCTTACAACTGAAAACAATAGTTATAGCAGGTAGCCAAAATTTCATCGAAATATACGTCGACTGACCGTAATTAGCCTGTTCACAGACCCTCGAATTGTCGAAAAAGAAAAACGTTTGTGGACGGGCTAGACCTTAATGATCTAGAAACCTCTTCGTCTTTTGCCATTTTATTTCATAGAGTCAAACGAGGTATCGAAGCTATTGCGTCGAAATATTTTGTCATTAACAGGATCGCCAGATACGGTGTGATCAAACCCCGTTTTGGCAAAGGACAATTATTACTATTACGATATTTAAAGTTCTGATACATGATTGCTGCATGTAGTGATTCATAAATCTGTAAATAGTAGAGAAAAAGTATGTACAGAATTAGAGAGGATAGACAAAGGCTCTTAGAGGCTAATTTAAGTGTATCAGTATCGACAATTTGATGTCAAATATCGAGATACATGGATTAAGGACGTTACTATTCAGAACTGATCGATTTAACAGTCCAGCTAGAAACTGGTCTTATGGCCAGTCAAGCTTTGTTATCCCAGCGTGAAGTACAAAGGCTGGAATCATCAAAGTTCTGTTTCGTCGTCTTGACTAAGGTATCTTTAAAATCTGTTGGATTGAGATTATATTCATATTTATAGAGTTATATGTTTATAAAGAGTGTTCCTTGACGTACATTCTCTTCAAAATAAGTGTAAACATACATGTAAATAATTTTTCTGTTGCCATAATTATGCCAGCAACGTAAATGAAAACAATCGGGAAAAGCATTACTTTATCGTTTTACCGACGTTCTTTCTGTGGGAACAATAAAAAAGAGACCTTTCTTTCTAATCTACTTGCGTATATGTAAGGAACACAGGTTGTTGGTTGCAGACAGTCTAAGAGCCTATTTAAGTTCAGTTCTTTTTTTCATTGGTAAAAGAGTGAAAAAGACGAAGAAAAAAAAAGCTTGAATTAATTTGCATTTGTGTGTAGCTTGCGAGCAAGCTCTCCCAGGAGTGCGCTCGCGCCAGGGAAAAAAAATTTAGAGGGCCAATTTTCTATTCGATCCTCCGCACCTACCACGCCCGAGAAAGCTTGCTCGTAGGCTAATTTGTATGATGGCAACCTCTCTTTTTAATATCATTAATTAAACTACAAAAGAAATGTAATCTTAACAAACTCTATACACAGATCTTTTTATGCTTTTGTAATCATACTGAATGCACTCGTTTAAGCGTTACACGTTTGCGTTTGTTGTTCTAAGGAACTTGATGTAAATTAGGATGCGTTTCTTTGGGGGAATCCAAAACGGGATTCTTGAATCCAAAGATCAGTCCGTTTTGCGTATCTTTGGAAAAATAACAAACGGATTTGGACCTCATAAAGAATCTACACACCGAATGGATTCAACAGATCAAATGTAACCGATTCATGATCCTTGGGTTTCTTTGGACACGGTCTGAAAAAGTAAACTCTAGGGCAAGAATTAAATGTTGGATTCTCAAAAGGAAACGAACCCTAATATTAAGACCCGTTTCAAACGTCAAACTTCACATGCGCCGACTAATGCAAATGAGAGAGAACAATAGATTTTCTTCATTACCATTAAATTTGGCCCCTGTAAAGGCCGGCGTTTGAAACGGGCCTTTAAGCATGTTTCGCTTGTTTCACATGTTCATATTTACATTTTTTGTCACTTTTGAAAATGCAATTGAAAACAAATGTGTTGCCATAAACTCTCAGTTACATAAAGAATTAACGCGATGAAAGATGTACAATATAGCTATATTTAAGCCGATCCAAGTTTATCTAGGATTAAGTAGTTAACGCATGTATAACGTCGCTAATCACATCGGCAGAAAGCTGATAGAAAACTGCTGCGATATTTAACTGAAAGTGGTTACCACCGCATGTTACTGTTGCTACAATACAGCGTTGGAAACAGTTGTAGATCAGTCTGTGACCATAAGTTGAGACAATAAATAAGGCCAGGCGCAAACTGTCGTACTTCATGCGGTTTCCCAAGACGGGGACATTAAGACTGAGATACACAATTTACGTGGTTACGGTTATGGAGAATTTACATTTACGGCGGAATCGAGGTGAGAAAAGAAGACGATGATGGTGAGGAAGAGCATTTTATAGTCTCAGTTTCAATCTCTTGCAATCGGTCTTCTGGTGACCAGGAAACGTTCATTGGTCAAATCGATTTTTTCATGATGGTAACTAATCATCGTCCCTCGTCAATCCGCTAAATAACGCCTGTTACAAAGGCTTAGCTATTTAAATGAAGATATATATGATCGTCGCAGTGGTAATTGCAATTTAAGCAACGATCATATCTTCATTTAAATATGTATTTCCGCAGTTCACATTATCATTCTAACTCTCTGCCAGGGATGTCAGCTGCCTTTTTCCAATGGCCACAGTCATGAAAGGCGGGAAGACAAGAAGCGCTCTGCGTCTTTGGAGGCAAATGTACTCTGCAAACCATCCACGCTTAAACCATATTAATTTATTTGCTAGCTCCAAAATACATTTCAACGGGGCGTGGCAGCCACCCCTTTCAAAGGTTGTCCTGGTTTTGCTTGTTTTTTTGTTTATTTTTTCGTTTTCCAGAAAGTTTTCTCTTCTGCGACTGTTTGCCTATCCTTCAGACACGGTATAAAACACAGCTGCAATGGTTACGAGATGTGTCGTCATGAGTTAGATTCACCGCTTTTTTTGATGAATTGTAATTTTCAGCAAATCTAAAATAGCGTCTATCTCGACGGCCATTTTTGATGACGTCACTGTTCCAAAGCAGCGCGATTGTAAACATTTGCGGTACACGTCTTTCCTCACGGTGCGATATATAAAGGTAATGAAACAGGTTTTTTCTAAGAAAACAGTACTGCGGTGTCCCAATGGAGTCCTCTTTAATTTTATTATGTGAAGTAATAAACTAAGAAAAAAAATTGTCTTCTAGGGTAATTAAACGGCAGTAAATGGTTTTCTTGTTTACAATATTCACGATTACATGAACACACGAAATGAAAGCAAGCAATTGCAATGTTCTCCATAGCATGTTTCCCCCTCTCCATCTGCCATTAAGTGATCTTGATTATCACTTGTCAATGCAATGTTGTATTGCCCGTATATGTTAGGCTTCTTCTATCCTAATGAAATAACCATTTAGACACACTTACACAGGAGAATGATGGTTGCGCGCTTACTCAGAACTCACAAAACATTGTTTTGTGAAAAAAAGCATAAGCCTCCCCCCTTATGCGAGGGAATCCAAGACATTCTTGGATCCCGGATTCCAGATACTGGAATTCAGTCTCTGGATGTCAGTGGAACGTGGATTCTGGATTGCAATCGTTAGTGGGATTCCGGATTCCTTGAGCTGAGACGATACGATACCATTGGTCTCTCAGGGCCGTAGCCAGAAAAAAATAAGGACTGAGGCAATATCTATGGTTGAATTCCCCGCCTAGCTATTTAGGGTCTTTATGATGACTACGTTTAAACAAAACACTGGGATCAAACCTTAAATGACTGAGGCAAGTGCCTCAGTTTGCCTCATACTGGCTACGGCCCTGTCTCTGCGATATATATTAATCTGAGTTTGAATTTTTGGAGTCAGAAGCTTCACTGCCCTTTATGTAAAATATCAAGCATGAGACGCAGTGTTTCATCACGAGACGAAACACTGAGAAGAGAGTTGAAAATACGACGCGCAGCCGAGTATTTTTGACGAATTTCGAGGTGTTTCATCTGGTGATGAAATACTGTGTCGAATGTTTACTTCTCAAACAAAATGATTTTAGAAGGAGAAATTAAGGATGCAAAAATGAGCAGTTTTTCATCTGATTTCCAAACACTCATTAAACATCAATTTACTTTGTAAATTCTTTATGAATCATTGATGAGTTTGAGAAGCTTCTCAAACTCATCAATAATTCATAAAGAAAATACAAATAAATGTCTGCTACTAAGATTGCAATTATACAAAAATCTTAATTCTACTTACAACCACATGTTCTTCCTTGAGTTAGATGAACTTCATCAAAAGCAACAAATCCCATTTGATCAGGAGTTTTAATTCCCTCGATACAGATCTGAAAAACAAAAGTAATAATTGCAATCTTTAATAGTAGAATAGTGGACAACAAACTAGGTTTGGGACATCCCAACTGTCTCCGTAGCATTTAATGTTCGCTAGCTTCGAGTTGGATTGGAAATCTAATTTGTTTGTCGATTTCTGGTAACAAAAAAGTCCCGAAAAACTTAGAAACTGCAAATAACTGAATTCTTAAAGACCACCTTAAGGTGACGTTACACGGGAGGATTTGCAAAGCGTCAATAGCGCAACAATGTTGGAACAATAATGTCGCAACAATGTTGCAACGCTGGTTTGTGCTAAATATTTGAGATGTCAACTCTACGAGAACCACAGAAAGTCCCAAATTTTCCTATATGATGGTAGAAAAAGCGACATACGGGAGCGCGCATGACATCTCCTCGCTCAGGGGAAGGCGTCACGTCCCTGGCGCAAGGTGTGTGCGCTGGTGCAAAAAATTTCAATTGGCTTTTTCCAAGTTTCCTCAGTCAAGTATCTGTCTTAACCCTTTAACTCCCAGAAGTGATCGGCATCTAACTTCTCCTAATAATATCAATTCATTGTCCAGCAGAAAGGTTATAGGAATAGGGAGGTGTAGCAGCCAGAGGATGCACTGTTGATATAAATCCAAATTCTCTAAACTAAGAACTAAGTACAATGAAATATACAGCAGCTGGAAAGGAGAATTACAAATCAGATCTTGGGAGTAAAAGGGTGAAAACACGGAAAAGTTCGAGGCCTTTGGTTTTTCCTTTATAAGCCTCATTTTCAAAGGCATTACTTGTTTATTCATCAAGTCAACCAGCGATTAACATGTCAGACCTCATAAAGTTTATCTTTGCCGGATATTGATGTTTTCATCTTCTTCCACTTGTTGCCCTGTGGACCTGTCTTTTCCCAGATAAGAACATATGGGTTTTTCCTCTTTGAATCCTTCTCTTTTGTAAACACCCTAAGATAGCCGCCAGTGCTCATGTGATAGTAGAACCTTAAACAGCTTGATCCATTAAAGAAACCGCTGTATAATACGCCGCTACTCATGTACTCGGCATAGGATTTCGGCGGTTCAAAGAAGATGAATTTACCTTGAAAAAGATTGAAAAAGATCGGGTTATACAGAAAGAAAGATTTTTATAACATGAGTAGACTAAATATAGCTGATTTTAGGATAAGTCTAGGTCATAAAAAGTAAAATAACAGAAAAAAATAGTATTTCTTGTTGTTGCTGAAACTATCCTTGATGAGGTACAGTATTGTCGATTGGGGTGTGAATATAGCTCACCGACTGTTGCGCGCAACTGGGGCGTATCAAGACACTGAAGGTTCCAAAAAAGAGAGATTCTCACTTCTCTTTGTGGCTAATCCATAAACTAAGAGAAAATAGACTGGTCGCAGCCTAGAAGGCAGAGCGGCCGAGTAGTTAGAGCGTTTGACAGGCAAACCGTAGGCCCCAAGTTCAAGTTAGCCCTGACCGCTTGCTGGATTTGTTCACAGCTGTCCCGAGTTCATATCCTCGACCCCGCATGTTAGTAGCCAACAGGTTTGCCTCCGGGAAGTTGGGATTCTTTGCTTTGTTGTGTTTGACTGTTTCATTAGTTTCAGTCATGTACTCGACAACACTAGCCTTTGCGCTAGACTGAATATAGCCCAGAGGTAAAAAAGGAATCAATCTTTAATCGTCCAATATAAAGTGGTAAATTCGAGGTGATTTGTCAGTATATCTTACCGTACGGTTGCCCATATGTTTCCCCAGCTAGATGATGCGGATCATTTACTATCCCTATCTCCCAGTTAAACTGGTCGTCAACTTTATTTTTCCAGTTTCGCCAGTTGCAAAAGCCGTTTTCAAAGTTGCAACTTCCTAAAATCACAACAGAAATTTCACTGAAATAAGCATCAACAAGAAAGGTTGTCCTTCATCCTCTCTTGGTATCAAATATTCGTTAGAAAAACTGATTGAAATGTCGGGTTCGCACAGGTCAGTCAGTATGTTAAATAAGTGAGCAGGAGTGGTCTTTAGTTTAAAATACGAGACGCAGCAACTTGTTTTAATTAGACATGATAGAAAAAGGGCTTTGGGGCTATCCACATTTTTATCCACTACTGGTGGAGTTTTTACTGACAGTTATAAACCTTATTGATTTTTCTCAAGTCCAGAAAACTTCCACATTCATCGTCAAGTACCATTGCGTATACTCTAAGTTTTACTCGCCTTATTAGTTAAATTACCTGAAACTATTTTAAGCTTTTTCTCCTCGGGCGTGAACACGGGTCCTACACAAGATACCAAGAAAAAAATAACTAACAACAATAAGAACCAATTATTCTAGACACAATAAAATTCAAATTTCAATGTTTAAATGGTAGTTTAATGCTAAACATTGAATAGCTATAATGGTACTTACTGATATAGTTTTTGCAGTTATAAAACTTATTGATTTTTCTCAAATCCAGAGGAGAGAATCCTTCCCGCTGACCAATTTGCGCGCCTCCAGGCATTAACTTGACAATCGTTGGAATAGTCGGATTAATGCTAAAGAAGTCAAATCCGTAATGCGTCACAGATTCAAAGTCGTACGGCTCTCCAAGCACATATCCTTTCAAAATTTGGAACTCGATTTTGGCTTCTGTAACAGAAACCAAAACGATAGGCATTTTGCTTCTTCTTCTTTTTATTATTATTTGAAAAGCGTTTCAGCAAACGCCAAAGCAAACAAAGCTATATTTCACGACGAATGCTATCGGAGACCTTAAGATTCTAAGACGAGAACGACTACGACAACGAGATTTTCTCGACACTTAAGGTTGAATTCCACTGTCGCATAAATTTTACGTGCGTACGTGCGTAAAATTTACGTTCGCAAATAAAATAGAGGCCAATGTATGAAAAGTCGTACGTAAGCGTAAACGTAGAACCTCGCTCAACTTCACGTTTAATCTCAACACTTTATATCTTGCCTCTATATTATTTACGTGATTAAAATTTACTTGCGTTAACGTACTTAGCCAAAAAGGCGTCATTGGAAATCAACCTTTAGTAGTGCTCGCGCGTGAAACAGCGTTACTTTGGGGGGGGGGAAAGTGACGGATAGCCGTCGACATTCTTCTACGAGTTTTAGCGAGAATGCCGTTAGAAGTTTTATCATCTTCCGATCGGGAGTGGTCTTAACCTACAATTAAGATATCAGTGCTAGCGTTTCTGGTGAACCAAAAGTTCCGGGGCGGCTATTTTTTCAGAATGCGCAAAAAAACTTTCAGTCAAATCTCGTATTCGTGGTCGTTCTCGTCCTCGAATCTAAGGGTCTCTATTATCTCCTTCGATAAAACCAAAATGGAGAGTCTGGACCAATACCAACCATCCAGTAAATAACTATAATAGTCGTGTTTTCGGGGAATGAAACCTTTTATCCTTGAAGTTCTGACGACTTCCACTCATGCAGATATTTACTAAACCACGGGTTTAAAAGAAGTTCCGAATCAATTTGATGGTAAAATTACAACACAGCAAAACAAACCGAAATGAAATTGGTTATCATCTTAAAAACAAGACCACAGTAACTCAACCATGAAATCAGTACTTTAGCTAAGCAGTGACCCGTATGATCCCCTAAGTAGTGACAGAAGGCCATAACCCCGGAGCGAGCAACTTCCATGTACTCGTGTCACATCGACCAGTTTAGTTTTAGAATCTCGTAAATCCCCAAAACCAGTCAACAAAACCGTAGTACAAACCTGAAAATGTATTTTTGAACTTTTAATGACATTCAGTTTTTCTTTTCAATTTCTTCGAATGCGCTCACAGACAGAGCAGAGCTTCTATTTTCGCAGGGAAAAACGCTCTATAATGTATCTAAACATAAATTGGTCATTGAAAACGTCTTGACATAGGCCTAGAATGGGAGTTGCTCGCTCCGAGTTCTGGGCTACTAGTAGCAAGCGAAGTGTCTGCAAGGGAAAATTAAAAAAAACACAGAGAGAATCTAGTCTTTCTTTAAAACTTAACATAGAAGCGGTTTAGTAACTCGTTCCACTTACTTGGCCGGACGTTATTGAAGTTGATCCAAATGAACTGATCTCTGTCAGCGCGGCAGTGCTCATGCATCATACCGAGGGCGTGTAGCAGTTCATGAATCACCACACCTTTAGTGGTACATCCCTTGCCCAAGGACAGAGGCTGTTTACCACCAGATTTACCAGTTGCCGAAAAGCATCTGAGACAAGCAATGCCACAGTTAAACTTACTTGCTAATAAGCCATTTGCCCTGAGCCTCTTGTTTCAAAGCGAGGCTAAGTGCGACGTCATTGATACGATAATGATTTTTTATTCTCCAGCAATGCAATAAAACTCATTTTCACCAGAAAGGTTTAAAACACTTAGTCTCGTTTTGAAATTGAGAGTTTCTGAAAATCGGAAATGGGCTATTGCCTGGTAACATCTGACAATAGACGAAATGACATCACGCCCGGAGGCCAAGCTGCTTCGCATGATCCAAAATGGTGGCTCACGACGCTTCAATTTTACAATTTTGGAACACAGTTTCCGTAGGATCGAATGGACTACGAAAGGCTCAGATAAAGTGTAGAAACTAAACGAATTGTCATCTTTTTGTGATGACTAAAATAAACGGGAGCTAATAAGCAAGGACGTTTTGAGCGACACCGGTCAACCGAAAGTGAACGTTTTGCCTTCTTGGGCAACGCTCTTGCCCACATTTTAGGGCAAATCGTGTCTATACGAGTAAAGACACTTGGCAATACAAATTTGTGGCGTCAAGGCATGTTAAAGAGGAAAACGCCTCACTTCTGGTTAACGTGCGCCTTCCAAAAAGTCTTTGCTTAAGCTCCTAACCTCTTTTCCGGAATGGCCTAAACACAGGCAAGAGAGAATGATCATTCTCTCTTGACATAGGGTGGTGGGCTTCAAATTAAAAAACAGCAATTTTTTTAACACATAAATTTGCTAAAAAAAACATTGTAAAACATTCTAAGCTGCAAAAGAGCACACCAACAGGTCTAAACAGACATCGCTGCCAAAAATATCATTCATTTACGTTTCCATTTAAAGTGACCTGCAATCATTCTCTTGCGCCTTCAAGCAGGCTATAGGAGCGTTTTTTAGATATACAGTGGAAACGTTCCTAACGAACACTCTCGTATTAAGCGGACAGCTCTACTTACGGACACCTTCACAATACCCCGTTTTTCTCAACTCCCATATATACTCCGGATATAAAATTCCCGTCAGCGGCGGCCGGTCAGCTCCAATTACGGTCACTTTGTCACGTCCTGAGGGTGTCCGCTTATTAGAGCCGCTTCCACTGTATATCCTTTAGGTTATGCCGCGTATTCTAATTATGACAAATTTGTCTAACTCACCCCGATCCACGATGAACCCAAATATAAGCTTTCTCATTAGTGTGTTTAATGAATCGTATGCAGGTATTTTTTTCAAAGTCTGCAACAGCAGCCTGAAAAGCCTTTCTCCCAACCACTCCTAAAATAAAATAAGTATGATCGTTAAAATCCATAGGGGAACATTTCATCCATTGGGGCAAACCTTCAAACCTTCCAAAAACAGAGAGAAATATATGTCTGACTATATATTAGCATGACCAACACTTTGGTGTTATTTATCCTACATCTTCTGGCATATTATCGGAGTGACACACGTCACGGACCTTTCTTTACATTACGAGTAAGACACAGCTGCTCTTGTACCTTTTCATGTAGCCGAAACTGAAGTTTAGCACACTAAGTAATTTGCATTAGAAATGGCATCTGGCAACGCCATTTTTATACGGAGTTGAGCGAGGAGGAATTTTAGTAAACAAAATGCTGATCTTTTGACCGGCTAAGTCCTTGGATTTTATTTTGAACGTTAACTTCATAGCCTTTTTTCTTTGACGTAAAACAAAAACGCAGAATTTTTTAACGGAGATTTGTAGTACTCACCGAGTGACTTGTCTAACATATAGGGAATAGCATCTGGATTCCAGCGGTAACGTTTTGGCGGGAAAAAGTTACGTTTCTGTCTGTTTTTGGAGGAATTCTTTCCTGTTATTTTGTCCATGGCACCATGCATGAAGATAGCGTCTTGGTGATGGGTGCGGTCAGTAACACCTATTAATTTTACAAAGGAAATGCAGTTGAACATGAAGAAACATTTACCATGTCTACTAGTTTTGCTAACATGATGAAAATAGTACCTTTCTTGTTGTTGTCAGTTTTGTCTTCCTTTTCATTTTGTAGCTCGCCATAGTTGATGAGACTCCATGTATACGTAAAAAGATGAAAAACAACTAGAAAATTATAAGTGACATTCATTTCCCAGCTAGCACATCATGAGAAGGTTTGATTTGTTGCAAAAGGTTGTTTCATATTTTCTTATCGGTAGTTTAGTTGCTCGTAGGTAAAGACGGAATGTGAACCGTTCGGAATGTGCGGTTACATTGTCACGTCATAAATGCGCGCGCATTCGAATAACCGCTATGGTGGAGGGTCTATAGTGCGACGATTTTGCAGTCACTTTGGGATTGCCTTGATGTGCTTTGTGATTGGCTCAAAAATCGTGTTGGACTATCTTAACCAATCAAAAGTAAAAGCAAAAACAATCTCGACGCGTTTTCGCGCGCTAGAGCCTGTTGGTAGCGCTGGCATAATCGAAACTCCCGTAAGCGACGTCCCCTTTCTGTAAGTTTCGATGATCGCCAACAGCAGGTTTCAGCTGCAATGCTATGACCACAGGCAGGCCACCCTCCGTTCCTGTAGCAGATGTTGTTAGTGAAATCTGAAGATCGATCTTTTGTACTCAACAGAAGAAATACAGATGAACATGACGGTGACTACAGCTAGTTTACTCCAAAATACAGATTTCAACCTAAGTGTTTCAATGGACGTCAAGCGAAATCCTAACTTTGTCATTATTGAGCAGCCCTTGAGGGCAACGCCCCATAAAGAATTACCTTCCATCTCTGTCGAAAAAATACAAAATGGCGGACGTAACTCCCAGAAGGCTTTGCGTGTTCCATTTCTTCTTCGCTCAGTCCGTCCCATTTCTTCTTCAATGGACCAATACTCAGATTTTTTTTGCACTGCAACAAGCTAGGGTGGCTCGGATGACCACGGGTCCCGTTAAAATATTTCCCCATTAGTACTTGTCACTCAAATAAAACGCTTTTTTTTTTTTTTTTTTTTTCAATGAGACCGAACAGATTTGAACAGTTTGGAAGTCCATTTGGAAAGAACACAAAATTATTGCGTGGAGTTATTGGCTCTATATAAACGCCGACTGATTATCTAAATACAGTATTCGATGATGTAGTTAGCCAGCTGCCCGGGAACTGCGAAAACAGTGCCCTCTCACGGTCTCCAGGAGAAAAGCTTCAACTTGTTGCAGTTCTTTCCCTGCGCAAGAAAAGTCTAGTCCTTTCTACAAGAAAGGAATACACTCATGCTATTTAAAGATCGTCCCGTCAAATAGAAACATATTCACTTGGATAGTTAGAAGGGCTTTAAATACAATATCCGACAGAAATAAAACTGACACTCAATTTGCTTTGTGAATTTAACAAACAGAAAATTACTGTTATATAACAGTGTTAAAAACCCAAACCTTGACCATGTCACGCACGTTTTATAAGTGTAGAACGACAATAATGTTTGGAATTTTCGGTTAGATCACGTTATAGTGTCATGCTATATTTTGGGAAGGGAGGGGCGTTGTGGAAAGTCCCATTTAAAGATAATGCCACTCGTTTTCTTGTTTCATAAGGGTAGAAGTTACTATACAGCCCCGCCTTAAAAACGCGCTGTAGGCAGACCATTGAACCCCATTATGGGGGTCTTGGTTGGCATGTTTTTTCGCTGTCCCGAGCTGTTTATAGCTTTATTTTGCGAGATGATTAACCGCCGTGGTCTGCCTGTACTTTGACTGGGAAAAGGTGTAATTACGAAAGGTAATCTCATATAGAGGTCCGCCTATATAATTTTTTTTCTAATTTTTGTAACCGATATTTATGTTCGGCCTAGGCGCACAGACGCTATTTCTAGTGTATTCTGTTATAACATTTAAGACGACTTCCTTTGGCTCAGGCAATCCTAGTGATAATTATCTTCTTGTCCTGAATGAGATATGAACAGAGATTAAATATTTTGCGTTATCAGAATTATGAATGCCGTCCTATACACGGCGGGAGAGCAGGGATTTGCGTTTGAACCCTTTAAGGATGCTCACGCCCAAAATCTTCCCAAACCAAATCGTGTGGGGAACATCAAAAAAGGTGGACACAATTAGGTCTGTCTAGAACATTCTTTTAGGCCCCTGAGATAAAGTTAATTGTATGTAAGAAAAGCAGAAAAGTGAAGCAAAAACTTCTCACTTGCAAACGTTTTTCGTTAATCGGTGCATAACCTGTGCGCAGACGCCCCTTCTCTTAAAAACGATTTTCTTAGGGGGATGGAGCGTCTGCACACGGCTAATCGGTGCATATCAGCAAAGAAACTCAGTAATCGATCAATGAAAGGATAACAGCACGGGCACCCGACGACAATTTTCGGAAAATTATCTGTTCGGAAGACGATTTGAGATCTAGAACTTTCGGATCATTTTCTGAAAAATCAGCAAAAAATGAAACGCCTAAAAAGGTCACCTAGATTTTCGATCAAAATGAAAAGGATAAATTTTTATCCCTATTATTTTCGGATCACTATACTTTCAGCTAGGAAATCCGTTTAAATACTAAAGTACGTTCAACAATGCTATGTTTATGTGTTTTTGAACTATATTCTCATTGGGTGCCCCTGTAACAGGCGGTCACAGTCTTTTTAAGAAAGCAAACTGCAGGAAACATAAACGTAGATACCTACCGCTCCCACTGCACGCTAGCTTATATGTGTCGTTTAGTCCTAGTTCTAGGTCAAGATTAAAAATCAAGGTCATTTTGTAATTTTTTTAGCACAATCTTCTCATAGATACTACCTGTTTCAGGCTTTCTTGAGTCTCTCAATTTAGTCGGCACGATAGGGAGAAAAAGAGCGCGAGAAGAAAGGGGGACTGAAAATAAGGGGTTCGAAGCTAACCCTTTTTAACCCTTCATTATCGTAACTTGAGCGCTTTGGTTTTACAGCCTCCCTGGCTAGGATTTTGTTGAGTGCTTCCCCCGGGTTCTAACGATAGCCAAAACATTATTAATTGACCCCATCATTGCACTATAAACATAAATCAGGAATAAAAGGTGGTGTTTAACATTCTAACGTAGAAGGAGACTAAGCAGAGCTTCTTCTTGCAATTACGTTATCAACAAAACAATAATTAAAATCCTTCAGTTATCTGTTTTTATGGATCAGCAAAGTGACCCCTGCAATGCCACTCTACTCCACATTTCCTTTGATCCCTCCAAGACTGATAGATGGAAAACAAATGACCATTAGACACATCATACCATGATATTAGATAACAGATGCTCTTAAGACAGCAATGAATGACATCACAATTAAGCATCAGGGATAAAAGTGATAAGATGTACCTCAGAAGACTCTGTCACGCTGGACTGCTTCAGGTCTGCAGGTCTACCCTTCAACACATAATCGCCATTTTGTTCTTCTGTATCTATTTTTTCGGTAGACCATTAAGGACTGAAAATACTGTGTTTCACTCGACTACGGGCGTAACTTTGCATTTTCTTTCATTTATTTACCATTTTCACATAGACCATAGTGCACCTTGTTTTTCCCTTGGCCGTGGGAGATCTGGGTACGAGATTAGTTTACTATACTCCCCGCAACATTTTACATATCCGTTGTTTCCAATTTCTACTGGGTATTACATTCGCCCCAAGAAAAATCAAAGACAATGGTTTTGCAAATGTTATTTTTTTCTTTTGGGGGTTGGGGGGAGGGGGGAGGGGTAAACAAGGTATATCATGGTCTATGTGGAAATGGTGAATTTTCTATTTTTTTTTTCTCCGAGAATTTCGCATCTTGATCCCCCATTGGGCCATGGCGGTTTAATTTTCTTTTTTTTATTTAGTAATACAAACTATTTCAAAACAATGCCAAAGGAAAGTAGCTGAAGTACTAAAGCTTTCTATCACTTGAGTGTAGACTGTGCAACTACAGTAAACCTGTATTAGCTCAGTGTGTATTAAGCGGACCGGGCGATATTTTAATCGACACTCTGTACATGCATAAGCTTCAGCAAACACTTAGGGCTTGGGATAGTCTCCCTCTTTCTATTAAGCATTCTACTAGTGCTCAATAGTTTAAACGTTTCCTACATGCTCACTATAAGACCACGGTTAAGTTTCTATCGGCCGCCATAGTTACACCTGTAGCACACTTATTGCGCACACTCTTTGTTTCCTTTACATACATCTTTTTTTTTCGTTCGATTTTAGTATTTTTGTCTTATTGTTTTAGATATTGTAGGCGTTGGAAGTCAATTGGGGCTTCGTCATGCCCTGTTTTCATCTCCTGACAGCGTGCTGTCATTTGTATGTAGGTAATTTCTTTCTTGACAAATAAAAATAATAATATTATAATATTTAATATTTATATAGCGCAAATTAACATACAGGAGGATATGGTCAAATGCGCTTTACATATTAAAATTGAATCCAAAATTACTATGTTACCTATTTACAATTTTGAATTTACAATAAAATGCGACGATGTATACTATCCATTATGGCTCTTGATGAAACACTTTAAATTAAACGCTTCTCTAAAATAGTGAGTTTTAAGTATTGACTTAAGGGTGTAAAAATTTTGCTGTGACTGTAATGATTGCGGGAGACCGCTCCAGATCTTGGCGGATGCATTGGAAAAGGCTCGATCGCCAAGCGTTTTTTTTCGATCGTCGTTAATGGTCTTCTAACTGGATACTGGTGCTCGACCGGAGGTTGTATGTCGAAGTCTTGTTGTTGGAGACCATGCTTTATATCAATAAACTAAAATAAAATAAACACTTTGCAATTCAAGAGCTCACCAACAAAATAAAAGAAAACAACCATTGATTTGTCCAATTGCACGATTTCGTGACAAATTCACAACGATCTTGGAATATATAGACGGAAACTGAATTAAGACGATCCCCACCCCTCTCCACCACTCTCCTCGTTCTCCTGAAACAAAGGATGGCATGGGATAATGGCACGCTTTTGCTTTCTCGACGGAGCGTGGGGGAAGGATTGCTTTTTAAGCTGTTCAAAATTGTAGCTGCGTTAATTTTTTAAAGCTGTCCATATTTGGTACCTCTAGAAGTTAAGAGGATCAAGTTATCTTTTCTTGCTTTTTCTCTTTTGCCTTTCCTGTTATGGGGCGTAAGGCGACAGTGGGAAACAAGACAATTTAAAGCGCGCAAAGAATGAAATCTCATAAACTGAGCAATGTTTAATTTATCCAAGCCTTCTTTGGCTTAATTTTTTTAATATTTCAATGAATCCCGAAATTGATTACGTTACCGGAATGGTTTAAGTTCTGAAACTTTGTAAATTTTCAAAATGTTTTTACCGAGCGAAGGGAATGTGACCTCCACTGACTTTACGGTACTCCCATACATCATCGGTAAACAACGAGACTTTCGAGTCTTCGAAATAATTACCTTAAGTAAACAGAGGTAGATTGTCGGAACGAGAGCTTATTCTTCTTCTCTTTTTTTCGGTTTACTTAAGGTTACGAAAGTTGAAGGGATGGAATAAAGCCTTCGCGCCTTTGTGGCGTGAGCGGAAAGATCAAGTTTGGTTGAGGTATTAAAATTTGATAAATAAATCCGATTTTCTTACTTGTCGATGATCTACGTGAAACTTCTCCTTAACTTGATTTCACAAGCAAAAACTTGAATTGAGAGAATTTAGCTTGTTCATTCATTTAGTGGCTGAAAAGTTTCTTAAAGGCAAACTTTCAGAGAACAAATGTCCAACCGAATGAAAATACAAAATTCTTAACTGTGTGTACATGAACCAATTTTGACAATTTTCCTCTCCAAATCACTTGTGAGAAAATGTAAGTCACTATTACGGGTTAATAGGTCAAGTCAGCATTTGCTTCCTTTCTTTCGTTGTTACTATTTTTTTATTCTGCCAATTATCTTTACTCGTCCACTTACGTTTCGCCCCAAGCATTCCAGAGATACCTCAAAATTCCACATGACTAAACAACAGACAGTTGTAGGTCGCACATATGATATATCGATAGCACCGTACCACTTGCAAGCAGGGAGCCGCCTACATCTCAACTCGAGAGTTTTACCTTCTTTTCGGCCCGTTTTCGTACCTGAAAGGAATTCAACATGTCGAGCGAAGTTCTACTCAAGGTCCGCGAAAGGATGCAGAAAATTAAGGACAACATCGAGCTTGCGGAGGGGCGCGAGCATGAAGCCAAAGAAAGTCTCAAAGAAATTACAGCTGATGTAGAAAAGTACGACAACGAGATTTCCTCTATGAAAAACAGAATTATTCTTCTAAAGAAGGAACTGGAGGAAAAGAACGACCTACTGGAGGACAAAAAGCTTAGAAGCGAACAACTGGAGTTAAAAAATGAACAAGAGAGTGAAGTCGTGCGCGAGTTAGAAAACGTCGAGGTTGATGAAGACCAAAGGATGCGTGAGGTTGAAAACGAGTTGGCAGAAACAACACAAAGGGCAGAATCGATGGAGAATCAAACCACGGAACTTAGGCAAAAATTGGGGCAATTAGAGAGCGAAATTCAAAAGGTAGGTATTAATATTTTTCTTTCTGGAGATGCGCATATTGTTTATGATAACAAATTGTGCTCGATTAGGTTACCTGTGCCTTCCCAAACACGAATACACTTCGGGAAAAAATTTTCCTTTCGTCCTTTATGTAGCTTGAGCAAAAGTGGGCGACGAATAATTTAAAGGGCCATAAAATAATGAGAATGAGCCTTCTATTTTCTTATCGCAAGAACCAAATTGGTCTCCTAATCAAAGTGAAGACTCATAAAATATTTGATGCCCATCTGTTGTAATGGATACGTCAGGACACAATTGGCTGCCTCGGCCATTTAAGATTATTGATTACTATCACCGCTGATAGCATTACCTTGCAATGCAAAATCGCTTTCGAAGCTTTTGAAAATCAGTTAAGGAGTAGATAGTGGCCGCAAGCCGAACATAAGGTTCGGTTCCCTATTTTTGCATGCAAAGCAATCATCACGTCTCTACTAGGCATTGACAAATGATTTTCTTTTTCAGTGGGCCGGAAACTCATCGCAATCACCTTTTGTTTATCGGCAATTATAGAATGCCTGGCTTTGTTATTCACTTTCAATAAAGTTGATATCAATTAACTCTCTACCATACAAGAACACAATGATGGTACATTTTGAAGAGGGCGAGGTTAGGTAAAACAAAGTCAGGGACGCCGTGTTTGCGGCCTATTCTCCTGGAGGGAGGAGTAATGATGCCGTGAATAATGGTAATAATGCAGTGTGTATATCAGTAACGGTGGGTATTGCATTCACAAATCGAAGCTAAGCGCAGGCCTGATTAACTTATTAATTTATCTACTCATTAACCTGCCTGGTCTGATTCATTTGTAAACAAACGTAAGAGAACATTGTCCAATTGGGCAACTGATGACCATCCTTCCCCTCCCCCCCTCCCCCACCCCGTTTTTTTTCTCCCATCTCTGGCGTGACGGAAACATTCCAATTCTGGTTAAGGTTATACCAAATATCCAAACTACTCATACTAAAAGACGTGACGATATAGGTAAACCGAAACAACGGATCGGGGTTATTCGCCTGAAAATAAGGAGCCAAAAATTACACCCTGTGACTATGGTGTAAACAGTAATCTACCTACAAGTGCACAGAAACCGAGGATAACTATTTATTGTCGTTATAAAACTTCGACGATAGAATCTGGGTAGTTCTCTGAACAACTCGTGACTCGAACTTTATCTCGTGCTATTAACACGCAAACTCTTTTAATAGACCTAAAACATAAAAGACTCAAACTCAAAGTAGTCGTTCAGTTTCACTCGCCGTTTTTGGCTTGTCTTCCGGTTTGGGCCAGAATTCAAAGGCTACCCAACGACCGAATGCTTCGAAATACGTCAGAGGTGCCTCAAATAGTTCCCTCTTTGCTTTTAATAGAAGCCTAATTGGTTAATCTGAAGTTGACAACTATCTATCTGTTCGGATGTCTTCGGGGGAACTTTGGTCGTCTCAAACGTTTTAAGTGACTTTTTCGTCTCATCTGAAACTGTCAGCTACCCTAATGTTCCGGTTGAAAGTTCGAGGAAATGGAGTAGCCATACTTTCATTAGAAGATTCCAGCCGTCTTTTAAACAATAGTCATCGCAATAACTTGGTAATAAAATGGAAAAATAAACCTCCGAAAATTGTAAGTAAGTTAGTAAATTAAAGGAAACCTCTGAATGACTTAGACGAATGGAACAGTGATACAGAAATTTTTAACCTTTCTCGAGCTTTCGAGTCGTTTCGTGTACCTGAGAATTTGTGTTGAGAAAATCACTTTGGGAGGCTTTTGGCAGACTAAAAGGTCTACTTACCTTAGCAAGGAAAAGTAGGATTCGAAATCTGCTAAACACTGAACAACCCTGAACAAACGGGGCAACGAACGGGGAAGACTTTGAGCGCTTTCCTAAACTCAAATCTGTCCAGTCATATTGAAAATGAAATATTAGTCTTTCCGCGAAATAATTACTAAAAACAACTTGTCAAAGCAATGCATACCATTTAGAAAACAAACTGATCTGGCTGGACAGTCCTGATCAATGGTGAATTCTCCTAACGACTGGACTAGTTCTGACAAATGATAAGTCGAGATAAGCGCCCTTTTGAACAGCATTTATAGATCAGTCACATCAAACGAAGAGTGAAGTTGAAGTTCAACAAAATTAATTGATCACTGTCTAAAGATAAATGCAAAGTAACCCATTCATAAGAAGATGAGATAAAAGATAGCTGAGTAAAGCTTTTCCATGAGGAGACACCAGATGTATGTTCTAGCTATTGCGATAGTGTCGGCCAAAAATAAAAATAGATAAGCGATGTTCTTTGCACTGGCTCTACATAAATACCGTGCTCTTGTTGACCTTAGACAAAAATAATATTATTAGCGGCACAGCTTAGCTTCATTGACATAAGGAACTTAGCACCAATTTACCGGCAGTAACATTAGAGGATTGAAGCGCCTACAACCCCGGTGTGAGGGGGAAGGCGGGCCGGGGGAAATCGACAAAGTGTCCCGACTATTTTGTCCGAAGTTGTATCTCCCGTGCAGGTGCCCCAAGGTGGGGGTGTGGTCCGAAAAGTTTCAATCAGTGTTAATTGTTTCGTGAAATTTATTTGCCAGGCCAGAGATCGAGAAAGAAACGCTACACAGCAAGTCGAGGATCTAACGGAAAAGGTCCAGCAAGCGGAAAAAGATCTGCGGCATCTCGAACAGAAAGACGAAAGTGCCAGCGAACGAGAGCAGGAGACGGAAGAGAAAGTAAGCTTCCTTCAGCAGCAGGTGAAAGAGATGCAAGCCGGAGCGGAGGACCAGGAAAGAAAAATTCCCCCGCTAGAACGAGTGAGAGAACAACTGTCTGCAGAGATCCTCGACACTAAAAAGAAGGTTAAAGAGGTACAGAAGGAAATGGAAGACATGGAGGCATTGGTGGGTGATTCCATCAGCGATGACGAAGGTGATTTCGCGGGGAAGAAAACACCTCCGTCTACAACTGCGTCGACGAAAGAAACGCGACAAGAAGATGAGGAAGACGAAGGCGAAGACGAGCCAAAAGAAGAAAGTGAAGAAGACGAGGACTGAATTACAAAATAAACAATAGATCACATAAAATCTAGTTAAGTTTACTTTTTTTCTGTTGTTGTAGAAGTTTAAGGCGCTCATCAAAGACCTTTCCAATCATCAACTCACCCTGCAAAGGCTAACCCCGTTCCCAGGGCTCTCTCTCCCGCTCCGAGAAACGAGTAAGAGAGAGAACTGGGAACAAGGTTGTCAAGGTCAGTTGAGGTTACTCTTAAAGGAAGATGTGGGCTGTCCTAAGGGTTAATTTCCACTGTCGCGTAATTTTTACGTGCGTACGTGCGTAAAATTTACGTTCGCGCGAAATCGTAAAAGACCAAGGTCGCTCAACTTCAAGTCTGAGCGCGACACATCATACCTTGCCTCTTTATTTATTTACAAGAGTAAAATTTACGTGCGTGTACACGCAAGTAAAAATTACGCGACAGAGGAAATCCACCCTAAGTCCTTCCTAAATCAATGCTGGTTTTGGAATCCTTACTGAAGTTTGATTGAGTTTTCAAACAAATTGTTTATAAGGTCAACTCCAAAACGAGGTCTCCCTCGTTGAGCACGAGTTTAGAAACTCTCGGAATAGAGGCCTTAGAAACGCGGTACATGTTCATATCCTCTTAGCACTGTAGCGCAGATAATAAACAAGAGTATAGGATGAGTAAAAGCCCTCTTTGGTTGATTTCATCACAAGTACAAACTCGTAATAGAACTTCGGGCCTTAATTCACGAGAGAAAGGATAAACAAAGCGGATAATGAAACCATTATCCTTTCTCGGACATAAACTATACTAATTGAGCATTTCTTTTCTTTTCTTTTTCTTTTTTTTTTTTGAGGTTGATGGTCAAAAGTGGTTATGCTTTTTTGCGTTGATTTGCTTCCTCTTTTGTACTTTGTAGATGCCTAAAATAAGCGCGCCTCTACTTTTAAATCCCTCCAAGAGGGTCCTGAAAGACACTGAAAATCCACAACCATCGTGACTTTTAACCGATAAGCATCAGCTATGATTGGTTTGTTTTAAAAAAAGTTCCACTTCAGCTATGATTGGCTAGTTTTTAATACATTTTTTCCTTAAAGGATTTACTGGACTCGTTTGAAAACCACTCTAATAAAATTGGTCCTGAAATGTCTATAAACTATAACCATTCTCCTGTTTCCGAGGACTGAAGGCAAACATAAACGAAAATAGAAGTCAGGGGCACCCAACGTCAATTTTCGGAAAACATATGTTCGGAAGACGATTGGAGATCTAGAATTTTCGAAACATTTTTAGTAACACTTCGTGCTTGCCTGCCTCTCCTAGGATTTTCGAACATCTAAAAAATGGTATAATTGCCCATTTTTAACGGATTTTTACCGTAAAAAGGTCACCTAGAATTTTCGGGAGCCTTTTTTCTGCCTCTAATTTTCGAAAAGATTAGTGTTGATCCCTACAATTTTCTGATCACTAGACTTTCAGCGAGGAAATCCAAACACTGAGATGAAAAATTTTTAGGGAATAAAAATATGCCTACATATACCGTTTAAATACTAAATTAAGTTTAACAATGAATGCTATGTTTAAGTGGTTTTGAACTATATTCTCGTTGGTTGCCCCCAAGAAGTGGTTAGTCCCTCTGTTTACTAGCCTTGGGGCTGGTGAAGCTTTGATGGAGACGGAGTCTGCGTACAATTGGACTGGGGTCATGATTTTCGTACTGTGCCTCAGAGAACAGTTATTGTGTGACAAATTGTAATGGCTTTATAAAACATGGGCAAATATTCGCGCGCGTTCGTTTTTCTTTTAGGAAAATAAATCGCACGAAATTCACGCTTCGTTGTCATTATTACGCAATAGCCGCTGCCACCGTTAAAAAGACTGAGTAAAGTTATTTCATGAAGCCGGGAAACACTTCACGGAAATATCATATGGAATACGTCACCTGGCGTGAATTTTCGCAGTCGTGAAGTTTAAAAACACGTCTCACAAAGTGCGTAATTATTGTCGAATACATAAGTAAAGAAATATTCGACGTTGTCAGGGTATTTCCGACCCACCCTTACTGATAAAAAATTTGCATAATATACGGGTGTATCCAACACGTCATGTATTCAACTTTCCTACGGGTGTATTGCCGTAAAAAGCGAATTTGTTGAACGAAAATTTATTATCCCAAGGCAGTACCTTCATACACTCTGAGCTCATTAACGATTTTCGCACTATTAAGCCATCATCTTAACCTTATAAAATGTAAGATTAAAGATGTTTTGCTGTTTCTATTCGTATTCTTTTAACGTGTTTCGCAACACTAAGGAAGTCATTAACAACAACGGGCTAAACGCTATAACCACAAAGCGAATCACGTTCACCACCGAGGGAGTAAACTCTTTCAACCATGACAGTGATGAAGAACTAACTTCTCCTTGCGTCCTCTACAAATATTGCTACATTCGCAATATGAGAAGATTGGAGAGCATCACTTGAAACGCACTGTCTCGATGCACTATCGAATTCTCCTAATTACCCGAGAAAGAAATGCACAAGAACGTGTTGGGAGAATTATGCATTAGACTATGGATGTGATATTAGCCTGGCCTTGAGCCAATGAAAAACACAAATTATTAACAAATTAACGTAATTTACATGCAAATAAATGAAACTTCTTGTGTCTATGTTGCCTTCCCAAAATCACTTAAGTCGTTTTTGAATTCTCCACATTCTTTGATACAAGTTTTGTCTCTCATTCGTCTCCTTTCGATTCGCTCTGTTTTTTAATTTCAAAGTTTTTAAGTTCTGAGCAAAATACCAATATGAACGAAGTCGCAAGGGGCAAGTTGCGAGAGCGTGTACAAGAGCTCAAAAATAAGATTGACGGTGCGGAAGACAGGGAGCAAGACGCGAAGGACTTGCTAAAAAAAGCTGAAGAAAAAGGCAATGAGCTAGAGTCGGAAAAAAACTCCAAGGTGGGCAAGATTGCAATGGCTAAACAGCTCTTGGATGATAGAAACGAACAGCTCAAAAAAATGGAAGAAAGACTGCAAGAACTCACGGAAAAATGTGAGCGAGAGAATGAGCTGGTCAAAGCGCTGGAAGTGATAGAAATCGATGGCGACGAAAAGCTGAGTGACCTTGAAAAGAAAGCGAAAAACGTGAATGATGTGGTTGAGAGCAAAGAATTGCAGAACAAAGAGCTTGAATTGCGTTTGGCGCAGCTGGAGAGCGAACTAGAGAAGGTTAGTAGCAATTATCCTAATGTCTAGCAACCGTTCAGTGAAACGCAACGAAGAACTTGGGAGCAATAGATTTGGAGTCTTTTGCTGGACAGTAGTTAAGGCTAATGACGTTTAAGCCAACTATTTCTAAGCCGTACATTTTGTTGAGTTAAGTTAAATACATTTAGTCGTTTAGCGTAGTTTTTGGAGTGAGTGGTTTTAACTTTATGTTTTGTATTTCGAATAATCATTATTCAAATGAAACCTTTTTTGAAGTAATTCTGCCAACGCTATTTTAAAGGTTTATAATGCATTCAGTTTGGAAGGTTCTGTCATTTTAAACGTCGTATAATGGGCACAAGTATGATAATTCTTTATTATAGCCACTGTTAAATAGAATTGAAGTGTTTATAGAGATTATCGTCTCATTGATTACAACAATACGTCACTCTACAGGGAGCAAAGCTAATCGTCGTTTACACAAGCTCTATTTAGAAAATTCTCTTGACCAGCCTTGTTGACTGGACCGTAGGAAAGTAAATAAACTGGCTTCCTAAGGAAAGAAAATGATTTTCATATTGCAAATTGTACCGTGATCTCTCAAGCAGAAAGACGATGAATATTACCAAGCGATTACGAAAGTATATTGAGGCAACTTTTATCAAACCTTCGCATTTACCTAGATTTCGAGAATCTCACTTTTCTACACGGATATTCACGCGCGCTCACGTATTTTGTTTGCTCTATTCTCCCTAAGGAAAATAAGGGTATACTAGTAGTTCTAGTGTTTGCCGAAGATGAAGTAGTATCGTGCACATGGCACATTTCCGTTGTGAATTTTAATTGTCACTTTGTTATTTGAAGACATCTTTACATTTATGGGATTGCATTTATTCATCTTAAAAATATGCGTAGTAACGCTTCAGGATTGTTTCGTTGGTGTGTGTACGTGTAGTCTTGACAGTCTTTTTTTTCCTTTCCCTGTTGTCTAAAACACTAATTTAGAAAGTTAGGAGAGGAAGGTAGGCGTAACTTGGGCGTGATCCCTTTTTTTTTATCTGCAAACGTCTCTCCCAGTTTTCTCTCTCCAACTGCGTCATCAACGCATGATGACAAGACTTAAAAAAAATACTTAGCCCTGGGAACATGCCCCAATAGCAGAAGAACATAAATAATACAGTCATCTTAAGTTTTACATGTGTGAGACGCTCAAGGTATATATATTATTATTGCTTATAGCGCGCAAATTAACATTCGAATATGATCAAATGCGCGTTACATCTAAGATACCTAAAAACTATAAACAAAGGCAATAAGAAAACTATATACATCATATAAAAACTAAAAATACATCATAAAAAAAATAAATTACCAATTAAATTATCTAAAAAGTTTAACCTTAGTTTTAAAAGTGTTAAAACATGTCTCGTGTCTGATTTCACGAGGGAGTGAATTAAAAAGCCTGGGGGCTGCCACGGCAAACGCCCTGTCACCTAGCGTTTTCTTGGTTTTACCATTGTATGGTAGGTTTTCCTAACACAAAAAATTACTAAATGAAAAATAAACAATAAAACACTACATTAAAGCGTTTTCATAGCGCCATTGAATTTCATCCACAGTCTCAAACAGATAGAATATCGCCATGTCAAGCTGACTCCTACACCTGAACTGAAATAACAGGGCTCCTATAACTAACTCTCTGAGAATCGGGACGAGCAATCTGTAAGGATGTCACCCGAGAAGATCCCGCCCCGATGAGCTGTCCCCGGGTCTTCGAGGGAAAATCAAATACTTCTATTTTGTCCTGACAGGTTATAAAGCGGGAAGGCGACGCCGTCGAAAAAGCTGAAAAGTTGCAAGATTACATTGAAAAGGCCACGTCTGAGATGAACGACCTCAAACAAAGAGAGGACGGCGCTTACGAACGAGAGGACGAAAGCGACAGAAAGTTAACCTTTCTTAGAGAGGAGGTACACAACAAGGAAAAGGAGGCAGAAGAAAAAGAACGCCAAGTAGCTAATTTGAAAAGATACAAGGAAGAGCTTAAAACTGAGAAAAAAGGGGTAGAAAAACAGACAAAAGAAAAGCAGAAAGAGATGGAAGAGATTTTAGACCTTACAGACGATATATAATCAGACTGGCCTCCAACTCGAAGGATCAGATCTTGAACAAGGCAGTAAACAATCGCCTTATCTAGTCAACTTTTGTAACTGGATGCATGGGATAAAGATGCATTAATTTTTTTAACAAAATAAAGGTTAACTTATAAGAAACATTTTATTGTCTTTATTATTACCGGAGCTTATTGATGTTAAAGACGATATGTAATCATACTGGCCTCCGACTCGAAGGACCAGGGCTTAAACAAGGAAGTTAACAATCGCCTTAGCTAGTCAACTTTTGTAACTGGATGCATAGGACAAAACGCGTTAATTTGTATAACAAAATAAAGGTTTTCATTACTTGGAAGCAACATATCTTACTCTTGTCATTTTCAACGGAAGAAAATTCCTCTTTTGTTAAATTCATTACAATTCTGTTGTTACTAAATATAAACACAAGAGGGCCTGTTTATTGAAAGGTTTTGCAACAGACACATAACTAGAAAAGTTACTGACTTTTGTAACAGAGATCTTCAAAGCGTACAACAAAATCACTGCAAATTTCCTGACAATCATAAAGATTGAATAAAACTTATTTCATTACAATACACCTGTTGTTTAGCAAAGCTGCAGAGAGGGTTCGGTTCGGTTCGGTTTGGCCGGAACCGGAAACGAGAAGCGAAGGACTTTGAGAAAGTCTTGGTAAGCACGGACTCGAATCGGTTAACATCTATTTACTGTTATGATTGTTGCTATATAGCTGCAAATCAAACCTCCCCCTAGCAGCAAATTCGTAGTGGCAGAGTGGTATAGATGGTGAACTGCAGACCCAACGCTCCGGGATCAATTTCCAGAAACTTCAAGACACAAGCAAATTTCATGTAAGCGTAAGTGAGAGGAAAAGGGTAGTGTGGGGTATTTTCAGTGAGTATTTCCCTCATCACTGTAGTCAGTGTTCACTCTCAAATAGGACATTAGTTCGTGTAGGCATCATAAGGTATCCAAGGTCAATTTTCAGTAAGGAAGTGTTTACATTCATCAATACAGCTCTACTTCTAACCGTTCAAAGCGCAGGAACGTTGCAAGAGGAAGATAATATTGCTATCAAAAACTACAACTTTTTTATTTTCATATCTCATATAAAACAGAATTTTTAATATAATTCCTTGACATATAAACCCTACCGATTTAATAGGTAACTTCATCTTAATGACAATTCAAGTAATAATTTAAAACACTATATGTAAAGAATGTCAAGTATAAGCAACAAGTACAAATCTTCAGCTCGCCAACAGGGTTTGACGATACAACAAAATATAATCAACTGTTTCTATTGGGAGATGAAAATCATTGCTTGCGGTATATCTTCTTTTGCATGTTTTGTTTGATTAGAAGTGTTCCCTTGGGTTCACAATCAAAAGCTGGATATTAGTACCTCGAATAAAGCTTCACGCAAAAAGCTACTCGCGCATGCGCAATTAGACACTCCTACATAAACTTTACAATAAACTCTATTTTTTTATTTCCTTTATGATTATTAACCCTTTCTTCGCAAGTGAGCCAACTTAAAATTCCAAAATTTCTTACTGCGAGATTCCAATGAATTCATTGAGAGGGCGAACGGCTTATTTAGAAATTCTTTTCCCACGTTAAGTTTTACAAATTTCGTTTGAAAACAAAGTTCATTCGTTGGTTAGAAGCGATGATATAGGAAATTTTAAAGACGTTTCCATGAATAACGAGTCATTTTCTTTTCACACTTTTCATACAATGTTTGTTAAAACTGCCCCACTTTCTGCCTAAAGGCCCATCATAGAAAAAAATGAACAGTTAACGAAAATAAATAAACTATCCATGTGCACGTAACTCTAAGTAAGAACCAACAAACAACCGTATCATAGTAAATGAAAAAATCCCCTTTTGGCTTGTCCTGATTTCTCCTCAGTGAACAGATTCGCGCCGAAAGTTTTAAGCATCATCAGTATAGTGAACAGTCATTCTTCTTAGGTATAAGGCTCGGCACCGAGGCACGCGCCTTACTATAACTTCAATGAATCTTTCCAAGAGACAGGCTTATCAGACATGTCATCACTTGTACTCAGAGGGAAGAATAGTTAACTCCTTTTATAACATCCATTTTGAAATCACTGGTGATCCCTGCAATCTGATTGGCTCTCAGCAGTGAGATTTATTCATGAATCACACTATTTATTGCTCTAAATCATATCTGTTCTTAATCGCGTCATTCATGTTCTAAATCGCATCATTTCTGTCTTAAATCGTACCATTTTCGCTCTACATCGCATCATTTCTGTTTCAAATACAAAATAAGATGTGAAAGTCTTTTTGTTTTCGCTTTTCAACAAACCGGCTGCTTGATCAATAAAATATTGGTCCTGACTGAATTCGATTTCAAAATGGCTGTAATATAGTGGTAATTGAACTTCCTGTTGTGCAATTTTGGTCTGAAACCATACTTGTGATTCCAAATGGAACTCGCGCGATTTTAAAATCACGCGTATGATTTGAGACCAAATTGTACTCCACTAAGTTTAATTACCATTATAAACCCTGACTGATATAGACAGAGAACGTCTAAAAGACATTTCTTTCATACAATCATGTAAAATAATCCGCCATTTAAATTTGTAAGCGAAGTGAAACATCTACATGTTACGGTATCTCCAGCTATCAACATTAACAAGGAAGGGAGATTAACTGAAAGTAAAATTATCAGCAACGCGAGAAATGATCCTTGTGAAAATATCCCCGTCCACTGTTCCAGAACTTCAGATAGATTCCCAGCCTTAAAAGAATATCCGAACACTCCAATCCAAAATAGATACGATAACACTGTCCAACGTTCAAAATCCAACTGACCTCTTATTGGGAAAGACGCTTCATTAAAACGAACGCACGAAGGGGCGTAAACTGTCCGTACGGAAGAGCTGGATGATCATAGTCATGACACGCTCCAAACAACAGGATAGATCTCAGTTTTCACTTACTCAAGTACGCCATGAAACGTCCTTTTCCCCAGCAAGGGTGGGACAAGGGAGGTTGGGGCATCACCAAAATCCATATCCCATATCAGACCCAAAGTTATCACGATCTCTTCGACCGCCGCGTCCTCCTCTTCCTCCTCCTCCCCCACCTCGCCTGTCACCCCCACCCTCGGGACATTCCCGAGCAAAATGGCCGCTGCCACCACAGTTATAACAACCGCCGCCACCGCCGCCTGCAAAACGAAGAGCAATGACAAGAGTGAAAAGGATGAAAATTACGCAGATTCATGTCATGAATCAGGGTTTGAATCAATGAGCTGACATGTTGGGCGCTCTAGACACTACGCCGCGGAGAGATTCAAGGCGAGCTAAGCCAGTTGGTGAAACTGTACTGGGATATACCTGCCAGGTATACTATAAGTGCTAGAGTCGGCAATATCGAAAGAATCCTTTGTGATGATAACGGGTGCTAAAAGCTCAGTGAAAATGTAAACGTGGTGTTGTGAACAGCAGGGGAGAGAAAAATTCCCCGACGGCGAGAAGTGGAGCCCAAGAACGCCAAAGAAGAAATAATGACGAATGTTTAAGGGTTTGGACCAAGAAACGAAGAATGTTCCACGATAACTCGACAAGACAACTGAAACACAGCTCCTTGTCTCGGGAATCAGAATGGAAGAGACCACAATAACCACCCTAAAGGCCACTGATCTCAAGCCAAGTGCCCCCTAGCAACTCATGTTTACCACAACTACCCTCCAAAGTATTAATATTAAAGTTCTCGAACTTTCAAATCGATATAAACAGAAGGGAAAGAAACGGTTTTCCTCTGCTATGACCCAAACTTAAACCTGAATAGTACTCCAATGAAATTTATCAAAATGTGTCTCGACATCAGTTGGATTTAAAATGTCTTTAAGTTTAAATGTTAACAAAGAGAAGCGCGTCATCCCCTCCGTGTTGGGTTACCTTGCTAGTCTCTCTACCCTCCCTCCCCCAACGTACAAAGTAAGAGAGACCCCTGAGGAGGATTAAGACACATGCACTCAACAAAACAAATACATCCATACCTCCTCCTCTACCTCCCCTCCCTCCTCCTTCATTATTGTAGCCGTTCCTCTCACGGAACTCTTCGTAGCGCTGCGCCATGTCTGCTAATTCATCAGGTACTACCTGTAAACCAACAGGGTAAAGGGTATTTTTTTTTCTATTACCTTGTTTTAGCTGCTTAAGGGGGAAACTGTAATATTCTTTCATAATCTGCCTTAATTGCGGGCGTCGCCATCTTGAATAATTGTGACGTGTTACGGTTGCCCTATTGTTATTAAACAAAAGCTCTTTGTGTCAGAACAATAGAGCAACCATAACACGTCACAATTATTCAAGATGGCGGCGCCCGCGAAATTTGAAAGTGAAAATAAGCGATTTTAAAATTCACTTTTCCTGATATAAACACTTTTCTAAGGACAAATTTCGAACAAATTTGTTTATCAACATAATTTTATTCGATTTAAACTTATTCTGTAGTAAGAGTGGAGGTTCCCTTTAACGTGGTTTGATATTCTTTGGGGTTTCATGAGAAGTAAAATCAACCAAAAAAGGTTCCTGTCTGGTACATTTTCTCAGGCAAAACTAGTAATTAGAGTTAGAGTCTTGTGCCTACATGTAGCTGCTTTGAATTTGTGTTTGCTCAACAGTACCATAAAATTAGTACTAGCGGATGTTCTGTCCGTTGTATTTATTTGTAAGTACTCAAAACGACGTCACGTATATACAGTAATAAATATTTAAATTTCCCCTACAACCTGCTATGCGGACTTAAAATTGAGAAGGCTTTTGTCAGAAGGAGGTGGCCACAGTAAACACGTAAGAAGCAAAGGAGTTTATTTTAAAGTACGCCATCACTTTCTCCATCAAAAGTGTTACATTTTTGAAAATAATCGAACTTACATTAAGGGTCTGTTTACATGAAGGTGGAGGACCCCAGGTAGGTGAGGTAACATGTGGCGGGTCACCCCACCCAACATGTAAACGTGACCACATTAAAATGAGAGATTATATGGACAGTGGGTTACCCCACCTAATCGGGTTACCTCACCTACCTGGGGTCCCCCACCTCCATGTAAACAGGCCCTAAGTATACAAAATAAGGCCCCTGGTTGTTCAAACAATGGATACCGCTATCCACCGGATAAATCACTATCCAGTGGATAAGTATTATGGAAAGCAAACGCGTTATCCGCTTGATAGAGATATATCTCGTGGATAGCGCTATCCACCCTTTGAACAACAGTGGCCTAGTGTTTATCTATGCCTTGAAAATATGTCCGTTACCTGATTTGCTTCAACCATAATGTTGATCAGTTTATGAGCCTGTCTCCAGTCATCTCTCGTCACAAACGTAAGCGATGTACCCTTTTTACTGCAAGATAACAGGCCATCTAAAGTTAGTTTACAGTCAAAACACAGAATGATCTGTCTGTGCAGGATAAAAATGAAGAACTTCAGGGGCGGATCTAGAATAAATACTGACCGATTTCTTAATCGAGGTTCGAGGGCGCAAGCTTCTAGACAGGTCCGGGGGATGCACCTCAGTGAAATTTTTTTGATTTCAACTCCCCAAAGTCACCTTTCCTAGGTTTCCGAGTCATTCAGACAAGATATTGGCCATGAAAAATGGACTAATTTATGAAAAATCTGCCCGATTTTCGTAAAACGGTGGAAACCGGTGTGGATCCGAGCCTAAACTTACCCGGCCCTTCCTGTGCGGCCGATTCGATGTACGTAGTCTTCTATACTGCGAGGAAAGTCAAAGTTAAGAACACACCTAGAGGAAAATAACAAGGAAATATATTAGTGGGTGTACCGCCGAATAACTAATACTTATAAGTTTCATAACTTGAAAGAAGGAGAATCCGGCTAACAACAGAAAGCTAAGAAAAAATCCGGGCTCTGAGTGAGAATCGAAGTCACGACCCTCCCAGTACTAAATCGGATGCTCTAACCACTGAGCTACTGAAGGCTAGTTTTTATGGAGAATTACATGTATCATCGTCTTCGCTGAAGAGCCCCATCCCCCTTCCAACGTAGTTGAAATAAATAAGCCCCTCGGAGGCTAAATTGAGGATTTATTATATACATACTGAGAAATACTCACCAAAAAGCTATGTCATAAATTTTCTTACGGTATTGTATGACTTTGAAAGTAAGCCAGTACTACATACTAAACAATCTCATTCCAATTGGTAGTAGTCTGCTACACAGCCGTTTTTAGAGTCGTCACGCAACGCTCCTTGTGGGAGGAGCGTTGCGTGACGACATAAAAACGGCTGTGTAGCAGACTAAATTGGTAGCTGTTCTTAGGAGAAATTACCAAAAGGACCTTACTGGAGAGAGAGATAACTCACGTGACACCACGAATGTCCAATCCCCTTGAAGCTACGTCTGTTGCTATGAGGATTTTGGCCTTGCCGGTTTTGAAATCGTCTAGAGCTTGCTCACGATCATACTGGTCTCTGAAGAAACAAAGAAAAGACAGTGACAACGCATTTGAAAAAACCTAGATAGATTTCCACTTGGCCAGAGTAGCGAGTAACAAATACATGGATAACTTGGAGGTCAACGATAGGAATGTGATGTCGAGTTTTGAGCCTGGTGAACACATGAAAGAGACGTTTTTTTTTTTTCAGTCAGTGACCCAGTCGGCTGGGAAGAAAAACTTGGAGAACTCCCAGCAAGTGGTCCATATTTCCATGAAAAACAAGCACCTCTGCAGTGTCAGAAGTAGACTAATGGAGCTTACCTTTAGTTAGCCTGTACACTGACGTTGTTATATTTGTCTTTTCGTTATTCGTTCTTTTCGAAAACCCAAAAAACATCGGCGAGTCCACCCCCTTGCCCTGGCGGTCATTAAGTCCCCCGGGGTTTTTATTTTTATCACGCGCGCTCGACGGACTTTGAACAGAAAATTCGAGGGTCTGTGCACAGGCTAACCATTAGTCACAACTGGCTACCCCGTACCAGGCTCCAAGATAGTACTAGATAGTAGACAATAATAAGTGATGCAAAAAGCGCGCGGGGGATGGGGAGAGAGAGGGCGGTGGAGAGCGGGAATCCTATTTTTCCCGCCACCATCCCCTTCTCCAGATCGCGCGCGTCTTATTTTCACTTGGTTTGGTTTACTTTCGCGAAGTCCCTAATATCTGACACCCTTGGTTACTTAGGCATGGGTCGCACTTGGGAAAACTTTTCATCTTTGCCGGCTACAAAACCACGAAAATTTGAAACCGCAACCGGAAAAGACAACTTTTAATCAAATCGAGGAGGGTCGCACCATTTACATGGGAAAACCGAAAATTCCCGTTGGAAAGTCACATGTTTCGCACCATTCCATTTGGGAGGCTTCAGAAAATATGGGTTGTGATTTGCGGCGATGCAATTTTTTCGACTCTTTTTACTCTGTTCAGCTGATTTGGGCAACCTCGTCCCGAGGGATTTTCCCTAAAAAAATGTTTTTGAGGGAAAATCCCTGGGGATGAGGTTGTGATTTGGGCATACGTTGTCGCGGGTCGCTCTACCGCCACGCCAATTTTTCTAGTTTTACCTTTACGCATAAGATTTCCACCTGAGTGCAGGGTTCATATAAGAAATTGCAACCATTTTTCAAGGACTTTTCAAGGACCAAATTAGATTTTCAAGGACCACCTGCTAGGAATTTAATTTCACAGATTGTACAAAAATGCACATTCCCAGTCTACTCTAATAAGACTAAGGCTTAAACTGTTTGCTTCACCAACTTCTCTACATTTTTTAGTTCACTTGTCTTTAACTGATAATTAATAGTTTAGTTTAGTTTAGTTTTTAACTGATAGTTTATATTCTCTGAGCTATGATTAATATTCTCATGTATTCTGTCTTGGACAACCAAAAAGCATCAAAAATTCTTTCCAGGCCACTACATTCAAAGTAGAAGAAAATTTAAGGACTTTTCATGGACTTGCACAGAAATTTAAGTACTTTTCAAGGAAAAATGGAATTCATGGACTTTTTAAGGCCTTCCCCTAAAATTCAAGGACTTTTCAAGACTGTACGAACCCTGGTACATGTAAGCACCCTTGGAGAACTGGCCGCTAAGACCACACCATTCATTATGAGTATTACAACTAATCACAACCGTCCAACCTGATCTGCCCAGTTCTAAAAACAATGCACGGAAAGGATGGGGTTTTAGTGAAAACCTTTGAAAAAAAGACTGGTTTACTTTGAAGATGAACGGCCTGGCTGTATTGATCTTTTAACAAATTCTCTCAACTAATTCTTTAAAGAAATGTATGAAGATCAGTCTGGAGAATATGTATGTTGATATTAAGGCTTAGAGGGTTATGATAACCTCTCACTAACCTGTCTCCATGAATGCATTGAACACCTTGAATTCCAGCCAACATGAAGTCACTTGCAATGTCATCAGCTCTAGGAAAGATAAGAGACGGACCATTAGAAAACTTATGGGGAGGGTGGTGGGCAAGTACAAAAAATATTTGTGCAGGTGAGAATTAAATGAAAAAATTCTTGCGAGCCAAGAAACCCGAAAAAATATTCATGCACTGGCCTAGAAAAATTCTTACAAGGCAAATGCCAACGAAAAAATTCCTGCGGCGCGAAAATTCCCTAGTCCACCCCCCCTCAAATGTAACAAGGGTCTGCACAGTTACCATGTTAACAAAATTGAAGAAACAAAATAACGAAAGGCAGTTTTAAAAATTGTCAAAAACTACATTGTCTGCACAGTGGTATTTTTCTTACTTCACTTTTTTCCCAACGAAAATTAGGACTTTGTCTTGTTCACTCATGGAAGCAATAAAATCAAGAGTCTGAGGAAGGAAAAATTAAAAAAAAAATTATACAAACTCCTTTGTAACATGTTACAGTTAACAGGGTTTAAAGAAAGGCACGTGGTCATGGTCATGTAGACAAATAAAAGTTCAGCAGAGCATACATTAAAAATCTCTCGGAATCTTACAAAAGAAAGCTGCCTCCCACATGGTTTGTAGACTAGAGTAGAGAAGAGTAGAGTACCTGTTTGATAGGCATGAGGTCATAAGTTCAACCAGGAGCCTGTTTATCACCAGGTAACTTTTTGGGCCCGAAATCAAACATTCAAATCAACTGAAATCCAAAGAATAAGAGCGTGGACCCTATGTTATGTCATGTTATCTGCAAAACTATGGAGACCTCTATCTTGAATGTCAACAGCAACAGATTTCCAGGCCCAGTAATTATCGGGACTTTCAAGAAGTGGGCCCCAATGCCTTTAAAAAAAATGGCAAGATCATGCTGGCTGTGTTTTACAGGTCAAAATTAAAATCAGGTTAAAATTTTTTACTAAGGTTGATTCTCAATTTTCTTTGTCTTTTTGCCCTAAATATTCATGCATCAGTGCTAGCAGACAAAGAAACTTGAAAATCAAACTAGGTTAAAAAAAATTTCGCCCTACACCAAAAAGACCAGTTATGTTAAGCCGTGGGCCTTGTCTTTTTCTCCTTGCAACAGTGATGAACACACTTACCCTTTCTTTTTTATCAGCGGGATCCAATACTTCTACATGCTGAGTGACATTGTGACAAGCCTGTCGAGATAAACTTTGCATTATCTTGATCTAGGTACTTACAAAGCAAAGGCTACACTGTACAATGGAATCATCAAACTGTACAAAACAATCCAATTTGAAGTATGGCCGAAGTTTTCCCGCAACAGCACATGGTCACATTGGCTGATATTACTTCATGACATCTAACAATAAAACAGTATAATTACTGTTTTCTGCCAGAAGTTTCTTACACTGTAGCAGGCAGCATTGCAAAATCTATGATGTTAGAGGGTACAATGTAACAGTAGAAGTTAGTACCCACAAATGTTGACTACTTGATATATTTTTAAACACATAAAAGTTTTTTATGGCTTTATCACTCAATGATTGGTTCCTGGGGAAACTAAACTGTAGTACACAGTTGCCACCAAGTACTGAGGGGGGGCTGGGGATTTCCCCTGGCTATTTTCTGAAAACAAAACCAAAAAAATACTTCCAAGCTTTTCAATTTCCTGCCTACCATACACTCGGCAGCTTGAAATCTTAGTGATAGCCCTGGTAGTAAATAATTATTTTGTTTCCCTTGAATCTCAATGTTTCCTGAGACAGATTCTTGAAAGACAAAATACCACTTCCCTCAGGGCAAGTCAAAGCAATACATATTTTATGTGTACTTACATTTAAATCCAGAGACCCTACAAATACTCTGACTGGGTTTTTTAAGTACTGATCAGCCATTCTTTGAACTCCTTTTGGCCATGTTGCACTGTAACCAAAATAAAACAAAGTAATATGTCATTTGTAAAGACTTAGTGCATAGAAGTCTGAATAATACAACCTTTGACAACACTCATGAACCACAATAGCAGCAGTTTATCTTTGTCTGGAGTTATTTGCGTTTCTGTCACTCTGTCTCTAACTAAGGCTACAACCCACATACACTGTATTTGCTTTAAAAATGAAGCCCTTGAAAAACAAATACTTTTTACCTACCTGGTCATTATTGTCTGCCTGTCAGGTCTGATATCAAGAAGGATTTTCTTGATTTCTGGCTCAAATCCCATATCAAGCATCCTATCTGCCTCATCAAGAACCTACGGATGCACAGGTCAGTAAATTAACAAAAGATTATAAGGAGAGAGAAATATGATTTAAATAAAAGCCTACAAAGAAAGGCTTAGCCTGATTCTTACCAAATATGTCACACTTCTGACATCCATAATTTCATTCATAAGCAGATCATTTAATCTTCCAGGAGTAGCTGACAAAAGAAGATAAAAAATTAATGAAATACTATTAATTATTTACTGCAGCAGGATTAGCTCAGTTGTTTCAGTGCTGGACTGAAGAGTGGGAGGTGCTAGGTGCCATTCACAGGGCCAGACCAGTGCTTGGGATCTCGGGGGCTCTGCAAACCTCTAGAGTTTCGCATGGCTTGGATGAATATGTAAAATGACAATCCCATCTCCAGTAGGGGACATAACAATAGTGTCTCCATTAAGCACTTTGGTGCTAAATGCAGACTGTACATTGACACTCAAATAAAGTGTATTAATTTATTACTGTTATAATATTATTTTTCAACCTCATCTCCAGGGTTCTCTACTACTGGTCGACAATAATAAATTAATAGTTTGAGCATTTGGGCAAACCGTAGGCATTAGAGCATTAGAAAAGCCGTTAACTATCCGTTAGCTATCTGTAAGTTTTCTAACAGATAACGCATTATCATTAGTGTACGTTTTCCCAAAACGGGTCACATATGGAAAACATGTACACACTGGATAGAGAACCAAAAGAGCTTTCTTGCTGTTGAATTCCCTGCCTACTAATAACATTTACCCAGAAAATTGAATTTTTAGTGACAGCCCAGCAAGGAAACAGTCTAGCTGTTTTCTCAACCCAAGTGCAAATGAATGAAGGTAGGGCTAACAGGTACAAAAAGTTATTGATTTTTAATATTATCATGAGCTTTACCTTTGATGGCAGTGCAGTGGCATGTGACCACCATCTTGAATCACAAATCAACTATCACAGGATCCTACTTAACAATTATTCCTCAAGCCTGAATGGGCTCTGAGTCAATAGCCCAGGAGGCTGAAGGCCGAATGGGCTATTGACTCAGAGGCCGTGAGGGAGAGAGGAATGTATTGTTTTAGTAAAATCCAACTAGTTGGTCAAAAATATTGCTTTAGCTAGTTAAAGCAAGACTTTAATCCTTTTTTTGCAACCAAAAATCCGGCACTTTTCCCCACTAGTGGGCTATAACATATAGCCTAGTAGTAGCTGAACCAATCAGAATGCAGCATTGATAATTGACTACTAGTTGATTTTACTAAATACTTAGAGTACTATTCAGAGTGTGGGCTCTTGTTATTCCTTTCTCATGGTTTTTGTTGATGTACACCTGAATGCAGATAAGTTTGCCCCTTTAGTTTCCTCTAGGGCCCCTATTTTTTAGAAGGGACCCTGGGGCTACCCAAGTAAAGATCCTGGTAAGAACACTGTACTTTAATTACGGACATTAGTCGTCAACACACATGTAAGTACCTATGACAATTTCGACTCCTTTCTGTACCACCTGTATTTGGTTCTTGCGGCTTGCACCCCCATACACACAAACGCTAAAATGGTGAAGAAAAAAAGGACATTAAAAACAGTAAACTTCACATGCAATAGAGGTGATCATAGAATTTTGGGCATACAAGCTCTCACTTCTAATAAGTTACCAAGGCTGTGCTCTAAGGAAAATTGAAGGGAGCCCAGTGCTCTGAAGCTGTAAAATCTAGGGTGCAGAGCATATGATTTTCTAGTCGCCCGAGGGCAAAAGTTAGGCGCCACAGGCCACCGGGCTCTGATAGAGCACAGCCCTGGTTACGAGCCAGATAGTGATAAAATAGGGCAGAAGAAAATGACTCTCACTTAGATTGCACAAAATCACTTGGTATATACCTAGTCATTTCATTAATATTTCTATATTTCACAGTTTTCCAGTACATGTGTACTTACCTTTTAATGCCTCGGTAATGGAACTTCTTAACTTCAGCCTCAATTTGCAAAGCCAGTTCTCGTGTTGGAGACAAGACCAAGACAGTTGGACCACCCCTTTTGTCACGAGGTCTATAGTTCAAGAAAAAGATAAGTTCAAGTCTTGTGCCAAGTTGTTTATCAGGCCAGAGCTTAACCTGGCTTCCGAAGAATAAAGTGACTAGGAATATTTCTACTCCCCTTGGAGGGGATGTCAGTCCATCACAGCCCAGAGCATTAAATTTTTTCAGTACCCCTTTTAACACCCCAGTGGATTCACGCACAGTGAGTGTAATGCCTTGGAAATGGAACCTCTCTTCTACAGCCTCAATTAATTGTGAAGCAAGTTCTTGTGTCGGAGATACAACAATGCAGTTGCATCAACCTTTTTTAACTAGGTGTAGAGTTGAAGTAGTGCTATCAATAATGAGTCAGAACTTTTAAGTTCCCCAGTATGTGATATTAGACCAAGAGTCACATAAAAGTGGTCTAATATCAAAGACTGGGGAAACTGGAAGTAACATTTGTCAGTCTATCAGAAATCACTTATGGTAAATTGCACTAAAAATAATATACTGATAAATTGTTTATTGTCATTTTTTGTAGTTTAACAATGTTTATTAATTTTTCAGACATAAATAGTGAATACAAAAAACTGCAAAATACTTAAAACCATTACAGAACTACAAAATGCAAAAACATCTTAACAAATTTTGATATTCATTGATTACAGGCACTTAAAATCCAAATCAAAATATCATTAATTTTCTGGACCGGTCAGACTGTTTGGAGTTACCGACGTCAAACTCACGATTGATCAACCATTTACATGTAAGTTACAAAGGAGCATATTGGTATATTTACGTTTCTTGTCCATCGATGTGCAGGAAAGCAGGAAGGAGAAAAGCTAACGTTTTTCCTGTACCTGTCTGATAAAAAAAATGGAATAAAAGTTGTACAACAGTTCGTTTAAAAAAAAACTTTACTAACAACAGTTAATTTACTTCTCAAACAGTACAGTTTATTACATACTTATATTGAAGTGATATCAAAAATACTAGAGAAAGAAAAGGAAAAAAAAGTAAAGTGGGTAAATGATTACAAGGGGTATCACTAAAGCTTAAAACTGAACTAACAGAGAACACAGTGGAGGCATTTCTCTTATTTATGGTCTCAATTCTATTCAGTATCAAAAAGATTGCTTTTATTTACAAAATCTAGGACATCGACATTGCTGATCCTAGCAGTATGCAGGACGAGTGTCGAATATCAACCTAGTATATGGCCTCGCTCTCCATGTGTTCTCCGTAGCTCAAGTGGATGGAGCACCCGCCTGGTGTTTGGGAGGTCATAGGTTCGAATCCTGTCTGGGACTCAAATTTTTTCTTTGTCCCATGCTCATGACATGCTGATTATTTCGCTTTCACATAGGAAGAGCTTGTTCAACAGTTACCATGGACCCCTTGCCTGTGGGGGGCTGTGGGGGGGAGGGGGGGAGAGGATCCATTTCCCAGAGCCACCTACTTTTTCTGAATCTCCCACATCTCAAAATCTTTTTGACAACCCTGATGCTGCTGATTCTTTGTAGAAATGGCTAACAAAAGCAGTGGTGTATCATTTTACGGTGGAACATTGTTAATACGGTCACCAATGGGCCAAAAAAAATGGCCATATTTACGGGGTGGTTGAATTTAACAAGAAAATGTAAGGCGGTTTTTGCCAGGCGGCAAAAAAGTGGCCATAATAACGAGGTGACCGTATCACCGAGGTGGCCGTAAGGCGGGGTTTCACCGTGCTATTTCTCACCTGTGCAATCCCAATCAGATCCATTCCAGACATAACTATGGGCCAGGACTGGCACTGGAAGTATATGAAAAATACCACAGAACCCTTAAGTTTGAAACCAAACTTAAAATCTCCATGCCACTGTATCAAACAAAATATTGAGCTTTCAACTCAAGCTTGAGCCTTTATTGCAGAGAAAAAAGATGGCACCAAATCTACTTGATGTTATGGATTTTTTAATTTTATTTTGGGAACTTGTGACAACAGAAGATAAATTTGTAATCATTACAAAAAATTGGCCCCAAAGTAATTTACAAAGGTAGTATTAGTAGTATTAGTGGAGAAACTTAGCCCCCAAGGACATTCCTCACATTTTGCCACCAATATCTACATCAAAAGTGAAAAATGAAGCTTTGCCTGACCCATGCCACCCCCACTTAACAAGGTTGTGTCTTAGTTCAAACTACAACTGTATTTTTAGGAAACAACAAATGACCCAAGAGAGGTGCAGATTGTTTTGTTTGCCAAAATATACCCAATTTGACGATGGCATCTCAAAATGAAACGTTTGTTGCTTATTGAAGCCCCAGGTTAGTACATCTCTTCAGATACAGTTCAAGTAAGTGGTGTGCCGATCATCGATAATTATTACAATTCTATTGATCATTGATTGAAAACTTTAAGCAAAGTGATAATTGAGTATTGAAGATGTGTTAAATTGGACATCACAAGCTATTTTTGACAAGTAAAATTATTTACACCTGTAAATTGCTGTCATTTTATAAGCTCATGATGCAGTTATAATCTATTGATGTCCCTTTTCTGAAACATTTCATATGATTTTTGTCCTGATATAAAACACCACACAAAATGAGCGTCCTTTATTAAAGTGGTTCACAAAAGAAAAAAATATATATTTTTTAATAAAAACTCCATTTAATGGACTTGTTATACAGAGATTTTTCTGATTATAATCAATGATCAATTGTTTTGGTTAACTTGATTATTTCAGATGATCAAATATGAAATCTCAGCCAACCCCAAACACTATAGATCTGTCGTTCAAGTACACTGGTTTGAGATGGGAATTTGTGAGGCAATTCACATCAGGTTTAATCAACAAAATGATTATGTACTGTTTTTTTTTAGCTGTTTTGTTCATACAATTGAAGTACAATGTGATTCCTACCCTGGTAGAGTGGAACCTAAACACCATGAACCCCTATTAAATTATTTCAAACAACTCTGTATCATGAAAGTCATTTTTTGCTGCAGTTATAGTTTGTAAAAGGCAAGGAACATTTTGCTGTATGATTTTTCCAGCTTCTTGGCACAGTAAGGGTTCCACTGTAACACTCAACAAGTTTCAGATATAAAAGAAAGTAAAAAAGCAAGCTTGTACTAGTTTCTATTTGTTTCATACTGTACCTGAATGGGTGATGGTCGTTCAAATCCTTGTTTACTGATCTCATCCATTACCTCAGCTGCAAATGCCCCGGCAGAAAATTAAATGCTTAGCAAGCTCAAATTTATTAGAACAGTTTTGGGAGAAACAAACATTAAGGCTAGTTTTCATAAGGTTGCTAGAATTACTGAAAACAATTAAGTGGTTGGTTGACAGCAACTCTTACACAATCAAAGCAATCGATCAACAACAATCACTGAGATAGACTTGCGTTCTACCTCAAGGCTGGTTTACTTACGATAATCAGCAAATGCTTCACCGAATGTCCTAATGGGGTTTGGAATTTGGCGGTCTTGTACAGATTCTCCATAGTTTTCTACCGTGATTTTATTGTTGTCAAACCTTTAAAAAAGATTAAAATTATTTTAATAAAATTATAAACAAATAATTTCCTCTGGGTATGCAATTCATGGTGGACTGTCACAAAAAAGGTAAAGGTAATGGCCTATACAAGCCAAAGGCCCAAACAGCCAGAGCTTATCCTGGTTTCCTTAGCATGAAGAATGCCTAGGAGTATTGCTACTCCCCCCCTGGATGGGATGTTAGTCTCGCAGGATTACCCCCAGCAGTATGTTGCCCATACCAATTTATACATGTACACCTGGGTAAAGTGAGACAAAGTGGAGTAAAGTTCCTTGTCTATAGAAACAACGCAAACGGCATGGCTAGAAAACCTGGACCTCTAGATCCATAGATCATGGTGGACTTTCGTCTGGGATAAAAATAATATACCTGCTGGTAACATTGTTTCTTCATTAAAAACGGTCTATATTGTATAACGTTATGGAAGCCACTTTTGCTTGGAAACTTGTTAAATTGATAACTTGATTGGCCACTGATTTCAAAAGGAACACCAAGACAAAAAGAGCAAAAGCAAACTAATGTCTTCAGACTTTGCTCAAAGGCCACCAGTGATTTTGCTACCTCTGCGTCCTGCATCCCTGACACATAAAAATCCCCAAAGATGCAAAATAATTCATGGCATGCGTCCCATAGGATACAAAGATCAATAGATTGATCGATCAATCGATTAATGTGTTTTTGCAGAAATATCCCGTTCGTGTAATTTCTGTGGCAGTCATTATCCTTTAATTGCTGTTGTTTAACGATGCATATTTCTTTTAGCCTTTATTGTGTTGTAAAATAGAACGACTGTAGCTAACATGATTAGCCACACATTTGACCCGCTTATTTTTAAATGCAAGCTAGGACTTCTCTTGTTGCAATATACTTCCATACTTGTACATGTAGCTGCTTGTCACATGAGTAAAAATGTTTTATACAAAATCTTCCCTTCTATTTTACCTACCGTAAAAACTCGTGTATAAGCCGCACTCGTGTATAAGCCGCACCCCCAACTTTCAAGCATGATTTTGAAAAAAAAAAAAAACCAAAAATGCGCTTTTGTAAAAAAGGTGATCGTTTGTTCGCGCATCAAAATGTTCACAAATAAACTTGAGGAAATTTAATGTTGTGTATTTGCAGTGACATTTTAAATAAGTTAGTCAACTCTGAAAATATCTTTTAAAAGGTTCTCTTTACTCAAATTCCCCATTTCCTGCGAAAGACAACAGTTCTATTCATTGCTAAAGCCCACAGTTGAAATGAAAATGGAACGATGGAATGAAAATAAAGCGCTGGAGAATGCTACAAAACGATTGCTTAGTAACCACGCGTTTATTTGACGAGGGAAGTCTGGACACCAGATGTTTATAAAGACGTATGGAAACCATCGATCGGGGAAAAGCTTGTTGCTAAACGAGAGTTTAACAACCCAATGGACAAACACGCCGTGAAAGTAGTGAAGGACGACGAAACGGTCGGCCATTTGCCTCGCGAATTCTCTCGAATAGCGTGGTATTTTCTTGCACGTAGTGGGGAAATCAGCGTTGAAGTGATCGGTCGCAGACGACACTGTAAGCAGCTGTGCGGAGGAATGGATATTCCCTGCCAGTTAGAGTTTAACTGCTCAAACAAAGCGCAGATGAAACGCTTAAAAGAACTACTGGCGAGCAAGATTCAGGTATAGAACCTGCAGATGCAAACAAACGGCTCCTTTAGGAGCCACCACTTCTGCTGAAAGCAATGATCAACGACAGGTTTCAATATGTTTAATCTTTATTTACTGAAGGTTTTCAGTTCAATTTGTGACCCCTACAAGCCAGTTTACTCCCTTTGAGAGCAATGGTCTCGTGTATAAGCCGCACCCGCGATTTTTGACTCAAAATTTCGGCAAAAAGGTGCGGCTTATACACGAGTTTTTACGGTAATTCATTGGTACATGAATGGTATGCAAACACTTTTAAGAGGAAACAATGCTTTGGTAAATCTTTCATCACCCAGGTTTGACTTTTTAAAGTTCATAAAATGTACACAAATCAAATCCATGAAAGCACAATATTATTTTATTCTTGAACATACCTGAATTTTTCTACTTCCTCTTCCTCCATGTTTGCCACAGATGGATGCTCATTATAGAAGATTTTCTTGATAGGTGGAAGATCTGGATGTTGTAAACAGAGAAGGTGTGTGAACAGCCACAGTCAAACTTAGACTTAAATTACAATGCATTATCAAAAAATAATACTGATTTAATTCTATGCAGTGATTTCCAAGCAGTTTGAAATCCTAGGGCTTGGAAATGGAATCCTGGACATTACGATCAAACATAAGATATACCATGAACAGGCTTTTTTTCTTTGCCAATGTAAGTTGTGAGCTTTGATAATGAGAGAATTAATAAAAGTACAAGAGTTACAGATCAAAATTATATTCAGGTTAAAATAAACCAAGGTTGATTCTCAATTTCCTTTCTTTCCTGGCCCTAATTCACGAATAACTAGGGCTGGGAGACAAACGAAATAGAGAATCAACCTAGGTTAAAAAATTTTAACCTGAATATAATTTTGACCTGTAACATGTGTAGTGGACTCAGTTTCTTACATATAAAATTTTCTGTTTTTGCGGGACATTATGAATTCCACTTCAACAACTGGCCGTTATAAATCAAGGCAGCTGATGAGGATGAACAAGTTACAGCTACAGGTCAAAATTATATTCAGGTTAAAAATAAACCAAGGTTGATTCTCAATTTCCTTTCTTTCCTGGCCCTAATTCACGAATAACTAGGGCTGGGAGACAAACAAAATAGAGAATCAACCTAGGTTAAAAAATTTTAACCTGAATATAATTTTGACCTGTAACATGTGTAGTGGACTCAGTTTCTCACATATAAAATTTTCTGTTTTTTTGCGGGACATTATGAATTCCACTTTAACAACTGGCCGTTATAAATCAAGGCAGCTGATGAGGATGAACAAGTTCATGAAAACAGCACATTTAGCTCTACCTGCCCATCTAGCAGCCTCTCTTTCAGCTCTTTCCTCTTTCAGTCGAGCCCAAGGAATGGGTTTAAAGGGAGTCGAAGACTGGGAGCTTAAAATAGAAAACAACAACAACAACATATAATAAACAATACTTAAAAAGTGCAAGTGACAAATTTGAACTAGAATGAATATGAACTACAGCATAAGGTGACTAAGTATGGACCTTTACAATGTAATAATGTAAAAAAAAAATATGCATAAATACCAACCTTCCCTTTGAATCACCATTTTCCATGGACAGACCTAAAAAACCAATTGAAAATCAAATCATGACATTTGAAATAAAAATCAGTGATTTGAACATAACACAAACCTTCATACATGTACATTTCAAATATCCAAGAATAAGAAGTTCAACTGTTCCAAAATTCAGAACTAGCTAGATATGCTGAAATACTAACTAGATATAATATCAGACTGACACAATTTTCAACCAAAGGATTTGAAGCTGAACTAAACAGCAATTTAAACTGACTTGTCTTCTGAGGACTGAAGAAATGGCTGCTATAGTTTAGTCATCTATCCTGACTGACCACAAAGAGAATTCCTCCATTTGCCTAGGTTATGGTCTGGGTACCACAAGGAAGATGAAAAAAAGGCAGGCCAAGAACAACATGGTAGAAAACCATTGTGGAAGACCTGGATAAGATGGGATCATCGTGGGCTGAAGCTTCGACCCAGGCAAAATACCAGGCCAGATAAAAGAAACATGTAGCAGAGCTGCCCCATACAACTGTGAGGAACTGTGATGGTTTGTGTAACAATATCAATATCAAATCCACTAGCCCCGGGGCTATCAGACACTACTTTCTTTGCACGCTGCTCCATACAGAGAAGTGATTCACCTAGTGTTAACTTTATGTAACAACAACGAGGTTTGAGGAATTTATAACAAGTACCTCCCATACTGTTGATTACGGAAGACTGAGGGCTGATGATTTGTTCAATCAGTTCTTTGGCCTTTTTAATTGCATCATCATTCCCAGAAATTTCAACTGGTGTTTCAGAGTATGTGGCACCGTCTTTCTTTACCTGATAAAACAAAACATGAAATAACTCCAATGATGTACATCATGTGTCTACATGTATAATAATATTGTTGATAGTTTACAATAAAGATTCATGAGATTCGGAAGGCTGTAAACATTCTCATGTGAATTCCATTTGAGACCAATAGATACATGTACAAATGGCAGCTTAGTGCCCATGCTCTACTCTTTTCAAAGTCGCCTTTTGGAGACCTAAAATTATAAAATGGTCACTAGACATTTAAAAATATTGGTAGCAAGAAAAAGAAAAATGCATTGCACAATATTACATAAGAGGTTTAAATAACATTTCATGCAAATGATTATCTAAAGACCATTGACACGACAGAAGAACCCTAATAACTCCAACTCCCTGCTAACTTGAACTAAGCCCAATTCCCTTGGATTTCACCTCACTTTTCAGTCATTCTTACTCAGTTAACTCAAACTCGGATAACTCAAATTGCCAACTAACTCAAACTAAATTTCATTTCCCTTGACCTTGAATAGCTTTCCAGGCTGACTTGCCTGGATACTATATTCTTCATTGTTACAGGTTTGTCAAAAATAGTCAACAGCTTCTGAAAATCACGGCCTACTTCACCTTTATGCAGGGCTGTTGCTCTGATTATTTCCAGACTAAAAGATGCAAAATCAGCCAACTAATTCAAAACTCTCAGATAATAAAAATTACTTTGAAATTGCTCATATTAATGTTTCCTTACACACCTTGATGTAGGCTCCACTTTGTTCCTGCATTTCCCTTATTTTTTGGCCCCCTTTACCTAAAACCAAAATATGGAAATACGGGAATAAAATTAATATCCAAAAAAAAAATTAAATTTTGCAAATGATTACAAATTACGGTAAGCAATGGGAAAAAATATACTTTCATGGTGTACACACTTAGTCACTTCCACAGTAGTCAATGGTTTTTTTTAGTTGTATGCTCATATATTTCAAGGGTATGATGTATCAACCTTACAAGGCAGACATCTCGCAAAGATGAGCATGAGCAAATGACTAATGAAGGCTAACTAACATTCTGAGTCTGTAACCATACAGGCAAACAACTTCTCTGAGGCAGATGGTGTCCTTTTTTAACAATTTGTGTTTGACTTGACTTACACAGGAATCAGATCCAAATCAACCAAGCTCTACAAAAAGAGCTGCTATATTACATTCATCAACACACCAGTTTGGCAACACTGGGTTAAAAAGCCACTCTTGCTACTTGCTGGGGTGACTGGGTTATTTCATGATTCAGTCAATACCCCACTATAATACACCCCTACGTAATTTATCCCCTGTATTAATGATTACCACCCTGATGGTGCAATATGGTTAAAAACAAAATAAAAAAATTATTTTAGTGTCTTGGTACTTTTTATCTCCGGGTTCCCCTGTTACTCTGAGGTAACTCCTAGTTGGCAACATGTTCAGAAGTGGCTGCTGAATACCCCCTACTTTCCAAGCTGTATCACTGAAAAAGCTTTAAATACTCAGTATACATATGGCTGTGCTCTCAGGAAAATTGAGGGGAGCCCAGTGCTCTGAACCTGTGAAATCCAGGGTTCCCAGTATTTTCATCAAAAGCTACAATTGGCGACAAAATGAGTTGAGACAATTTGCCCTAAAGGGGCTTTTTGGCATTTTCCTGACTTCACAAGGGGAAAATATAGCTTTTCCTCCCTCATCCCCTCCATACAATGTTGTGCCACTGTTCGAGCTACCTTTAGAAAACAACAAACTGGGACAACAACTCTGGGATATCTGAGTAGTTACAAAGTGGACAGGAAAACAAGGGGAGAGTTAAAATCCGAAACGCACATTTAAAATGCGTTTGAAAAGGTCACAACAAGGAGTACTATAAAAGCTGAAGAATGTTAATAGATTCACAATGTGTATCAACAACAGTAACCAACCAATTATGAAGCGAATTTCGTCTGAGGGAACCATCATCTCAGTAGAGTTTCTTTCGCGTCCTTGACCTCCACGTGAGCGTCCAAAGCCGCCTGAACTTTCTCTGTTTCCTCTGTCTCTCCAGCTCCCGCTAAAACCGTTTTCACCACCACCTCTGCCAAAGTTGTCACTTCGATTCTCACCCGCGCCACGTGAATAGTTCGAGTCATCTCTGTTTACGCGTCCAAACCCTCCTCCTCCCCGTCCATAACCTCGAGAACTTGAATCAACTTGGAATCCATTCTTCTGCGCTGTGTTATATGTATCATTTCTGTTATCTGTTGCATTTCCGAAGCGATTTGCTCGTCCACGGCCGAATCCAGGTCGTCTTTCACTGAAATTTCCATCGTTGCTGCAGGGCTTTCCATACCATCCTCTCCCTTGGGGTGGTATGTAAGAATTTTCAGAAGGGCTCGTGTAATCTTCGCTTGCTTCCTCCCAGTCACTCATTTTTGCAGCAATTGAGCCGCAAATATCGTTGAAGTTCTGGTAAAACTTTGCTCAACCTTCGCTTGACGCTTTCATTGCAGGTAAGAAGCCGCCATGTCTGTTTTAAAGCACACAATGCTTCAAGGGATATGTCTTTCGCCTGTAGTGCCTAGTCTCCTCTCGGTTTGAGAAAAGCAGAACCCAGTCCTCCATAGTCATTAGCTCCTCTCCCTGTAGAGACTTCAGTAGCTCAGTGCTTAGAGCATCCGAACTTAAAACGGAGGGTCGTGAGTTCCATTCTCACCTGAAGCTTGGAATTTTTTCCTGACCTTTCTGGTGTTAGATTTCTCCTTCTTCCAAATTATAAATATTTCGACAAGTGGATGCAGTCATCCAGTTCGTTCATTCATCGAACAAACAATTTACATACGACACAAAAGAAGGTTGTGAACATTCCAACCTCTCCCTCATATCCAACAAGCGCCCGGAATCAAAGTATTCTAATTTTCCCGATTTTCGAGCTTAATTTAAGTTCGAACCAAACAGTTGCCAGCTTATTGTCTGTGAGTTAGTGTGACAGCTGTTCGCAAGGACTTTGACTATTTCTGCAAACCACCGAACTCCGAACTATGAAAATAAAAACCTCTAAAATCCTCTCTTCCCTTTACTGCGACGGTAAAGAGAAACCTTAACCTATCTAAATAAAGCGAAATAATCTGAATTGTGCTTATTTTTATTTCCCGGGCCTGGAAATAGCTTGCTTCAAGGACCCATTGCCCTCCTGCCAGATTCTCGAGTTATCAAAAAATCAAATGCTTTTTCGTTAGCTCTTTAGTTGCACTGTCTCTAAGACACCGAGAATCCAAATGTCTTAAATACAGGGCTACATCCTGGAATCACCATGTGCTACGATTTGATGCGCGCCTTAGCGTCTGAAGTGCGCGAGCCCAGTAAAGCGCGAGCTGCCTGACAAATAGCTGCTATTATGACAGAACTCAACGTCATAATGGCCGGATTCTTTTAACAGAGGAAGCTTGCTTTGCAGAGTCAAGTGCTAAAAAGTCAAGGATTCCTACGCGACGCTTCTTATTTTCATCCATCTTGGTGTCATTAAAATGAGTTGGAGTTTTAAAAGAGTGACAGGAATTCCGTTTAAAGGGTGGTTTACTGCGAAGACGACTAAAGCGAAGAAATGTAAAAGAATTGACGAAGATGACTTTGATGAAGTTGCTGCTGTACATGTTCAGACTGGTTGGAAAGAGGCATCAGTTTTTGATGAGAAATTGAAAAAAGGAAGTAATTACCTCGTTAAAAAAGAGAGACACTCGAATGTATTCTCTGCTTGGAAACGAGCGATGGCAAGCCAACCAAGGGAAAAAAATAAGAAGAGGGAAGTTAGTTTGAGCGGCGACAGTAGCAGTTTTTTAGAAAGTCGCTCTTGTCCTAAGACGTGGAACACAAAGACTGGAAAAGAAATTAAAAGCGAGTCAACACAGCTTGCCTTTCCAGAACTCTTTGAAGCGCGTCCATCAATGTTTGTCAACGAGTTAGCTCCGCCCACACCAGCTACTTTATACGGAGGTAAAGTAGACAGACAGTCACGTGACCCAGCACTCATCTTCGAGGAGGCCACAGACAGCAGCGTTCCTACTAATCACGTGACTTTAAACGTGACGGCTGGAAATGCATGGGAAGAGACAAGGAATAGAACAACAATCAACGAAATTTTGACGAAGTCCTTCTCAAGGTTCAAGCTAGAAAAGAAGACCAAAGTGAAGAAAGTCCGAATTTGACAGATTACGCAGGCATAAGGAATCCTGTTCATTTATAACTGTATCATCGTCATTCATTATGTTATTACGTTTTAAAGTGATTTTATAATATGCAGTTATTAAGTAGTAATAAGTGAAATATTAACTGCAATGAATAAATATTGAAGGTTACCTGAGGCCTTCGCACACATTTTTTTCTTGTTCCTGGGGGGGGAATCCCTTACATATCCACCGTTTCCACGCTGGGAGGGTACTCCCTACAATGGCCTACCTGGGGAGGTTTCGCCCAAAAGGGGTACCTTTTTTAGACGTCAGGAATATGAACGGGTAAGGATTTCGTTAGTTAAAAGATATAAAAGGGTAGGGATATCTGTCATTTCGGTCCTAAAAAAAAGACGAAAAAGCCGCTCACAGACGCATTTAAGGCATGTGAACGACACAAGAAAACTTCCTCGTGGTTTAAAGAGACGGTGAATTTACACCAGTTGAAAGGGATACAAGGTACTGATCTAGCTAGGTATATATGAAAGGAATGTCATTTTTCACGAAAAGATATACGAAAGGGGTACCTTTTTCCCTCAAAAAGGGGTACATAAAAGGGTAAAGCGTTGGACCTCGGGGGACGTAAAACGTTGTTGAATAGCCCCCTAGAGGTTGTATACTGTGGTAAGCCTTTCCTTTTCTAGCCTACGTAGCATGGCGAATTTGTTCGGGCGCGCAAACAAAGTAAGTGAGCGGCCGGTGACAGCAGTTAAAGTCTCAAGGGGCTTGGGGAGCGAACTATGAGAAACTATTTTATTTTTCACTCACTTAATTTTAGCTTGTTTGCCTGCACGCCTAAAAAAACCACGAGCTACGAAGGCCAGAACTTTTTTGGGGTTGAAAGAAAATCTGGGAAATTTTAACCTGGATCACTGCACATGTTCGCCACTACTAACTCAAGCTACAATATACAGGTTGTCGGAACGATTTAAGGTCAAGTTAACGAGACAAACTCGCAAGGTCATGAAGGGGTTGAAAATCCATTATAATTCGGTCATAGAGTTTGCAGTTATAGGTTCCATAGAAAAATCAAAGTTTTGCTTTATGATTTAGTCTCATCAAGTAGGCTTTCCAGTTGTCCATTCGCGCTATCAATAATTTTGTGCACCACTCTAAACTGTCAATTAACCAAGTCAGTCACGTCTTGATTCTACGTAAAATTGCTGGTCCGCACATTGCTACACATCGCTAGGAAACTTGACAGTATTCAAACTACAGGAGATACGCGCGTGTAACAAATCATGCATTTATCCAAGAGCCCGTAACCCGGCCGGAGCTACCAGGCTTGGTATGTCAGCACGGCCTTTTCACGGGGAAAATGGCTTTGAGAAAGTCTATCATTCGCGGGAAAATGGAAGCTCCGCTCCCTCTATAAATGTAAGCCGTTCGAAGATTTTGCTGCCATGCAGAAAAGAAAGCTAAACGTCTCTAAATCATGAAAAATACAATTTCAGATCCGTAGGTCTTGATGACTAGTTTCTTGGACTTAATTGCACGAAAAATCGATACAAAAATAAACTGCTCTGTGAAAACGCTATCACCCGAGTACTTGATAGTGATCCCTCCGGCTTATGGGCCCCTGGTTCAGCTTATCATGTATACAACGTAAGGGTTTGAGGGAGGAAGATCTTAGCACCAAATGTTTTCTGTATTCAGTTTACATACACTTGTCCCTAGCGCTATGATCTTCGTAGCTGAGAGGTAGAACTATCCCCGTACCACACAGTAATTTTCAGGGAGTTGTAATAACTCCACTAGTGGGGCTACTTTAACTCCTAACAGTGGAGCTATTTTTTGGCAGTTATTTTTACTCCAAAAAGGAGTTTAAAGAACTCTTTTTCAGGAGTAAAAATGACCCCAGATATTGAGGAGTTAAAATAACCCCAAAAAAGGAGTTGTCCTGTACCTAAAAGTTTTACTCCACTTTCAGAGTTTAATTAACTCCAAAAGGAGTAAAAACAACCCACGTAGCAGCATGTCAATTATCTTTCCTCCAGACTGGGAAGAACCTTTTCAGGGAGTAAAAATGGGGACAAACCCCAAAAAAGGGTTGTACAAAAATTTTTACGGCTGGTCGTTTGGTGCGGATAATCAAACTACGGCAAAATCCTAGTACCAAACCAGACAGAGATTCGTTTTAGTGGATAATCACGGCAAAAAAGGCCAAACACTTCGTTTCGCATTACTTCTTTACTCCCTCTTCTACTTGCAATTGGTAATCACACGGACCGAACTTTCTGCATGTAAACCCAACGGAAAGTTATTTCGCCTTCTATGATTTTCCTGGTGCTAAGATCTTCCTCCTTCCACGTAAGCAGCCGCTGAGCCGTTCTCTCCGGTCTTCTCTACAAACTCTTCTCTCAATACTGACTGAGAACAACTCTTCACAATTTTAACTTACAAAAAGTCAGATCGATCAGCCGTACCGGCAGTTTAAAAATGAAATGGGCAATTTTCGAGAGTTTTTACTAGAAACACATCCCTGCCGTGAATACTATACTTAGTAGAAGACTGATCTGGCTAGAAAGTTCTGATTAAAAAAGGAATTCTCTTTACGATTGGACCTTTCTGAACAATATCAAATTCAACAATGAAGCACACACCAACTCCGCGGTGTCGCCAAGAACTTACGCATGTGCACAGCCATATCACCCGGGCAGTGGCAGCCACGAAAAGCTCTTTCGTCCTCATAAGGACTCATCAGCACGACATTGCAAAGACTTCTCGCCTCAGGCGAGAGGTCTCAGTTACGTCCATGGCTGCCACTGCCCAAGTGAAATGGCTGTGCGCAGACGTAAGGTACTGGCCATACTACGGAGTTAGGTGTGCTTCGGTGCTGAACTTGGTATTGGACCTTTCTGCCCGGCAGCCAGTTCTGATAAATTGTAAGTGCCCTTAGGAAAGTCGTCAAAAAAGGTGCAAGCTCGACAATACCCCCACCCATCTGACTAGCCTTATCAAAGAAATTTTTTCAGTTGGCCTGAAAATTCGAGACAGGACTTACTTTGAGCGCATTGACTAAGCTAGCTTTCTCATACAGCACAGTGTAATTTAGATCTTACCCTTTTTGTCTACTAATGTGAGAGAGGGGGTTATGCACATGAAAAACCATCTTTTTATAGTTGGGAAGGAGGCAAACAAAAACACAGTGTTTCTATTGATTTTAGATTGGTTGATGTGCTTAACAAACGTCCTACCCAAGAACGTAAACAACTCTGCTGTTGCGCAGCTGCACCGTTTATCATTTCTTTCAGTTATTAACAACAAAGTCAAAAGTAAACAATTAAAATTTGCTAACAGTAA